CTTCAGGGATACTTATAAAGAATAGTCATCATTCTCACTTATCAAAACAATGTTTACTACTAAAATTGAAATACAATACAAGTATTATGTTTCAATATCAAAATGCTGGTTAGTAATTGCTTGATATTTATTGTTAATTTTCATTTCCTATTATTAAGTATTGCCCTAAATTTTTATTACATAAACTCAAAATTATTCGGGGAAACACTCAAATTTTCTTAATATATTTAGAATAAAACAATAAAATCTATAAGAAAAACATGATTTTTTTATTTTCGTTTTGTGATATGGCACTGTATAAAATTAAACTATCCCTAATAAAGATAGCCTCATATGCGAATAGCGAGCATTCAGAGAAAAACTTGCCGTTTGATTATATGCGAGTATTTGCTTCTCCTACCACTCCCTTTCTTATATTTATTGTTGTACACACATTATATATAATGCGTGTACAACATGGTACAAAGGGTACCACCTCTGGTACAATTATGCATGTATATATTATTATTTTAAAGGTATGAGGATACCACGTCTGTGTGTGTATAATATATATTATATATATATATATATATATATATATATATATATATATATATATATATATATATATATATATATATATATATATATATATATATATATATATATATATATATATATATATATATATATATATATAGAGTGGTGTCGCTGTGATTTAACCAGATTGGGCTAAATCCCAGCAACACACTGCTCCGTCCTCTCCGCCCTTAACTCTAATCGGAAAATTTAACCTGGCTGGGGAGAGGGTAGAAATACTGTAGCCTAAAGTACCCTATCCTTTTAAGATTTATCTTATTGTCTCAATAAACTTACTTGAACCTTAAGGGAAGTCTTAACGTCTCTGACGTTAATTACTCTCCCTTGTTCGACTAGCCAGTATTCACATTACGCCTGAGGGTTCTGTCGTCTGGGGTTACTGGATGGTCACCTGCAGCCCTCAGTTGGTACTCTGGAGTGCAATGGGGTTATAGAAGCTTCTCGCTTCTCCGGGGGGACGCCAAGCAACTGCAAGCACAGTGTGTTTGCCTGTGGCGAGGTAACTTTTCCGCCTAGAGATGACGTTTCAACCACATGATTAGGAATTTATTCCAACACGGGAACCGCCAGAAGTTCGAAACACCACCAGCACCACTGCCGTCGTGACCCCTGAATCAACAACTCACAGCTGATTACTTTCAAACTTTTCTCGAACCGTTTCGCTCATCAATAAACGCCAAATGCTCGTTAATCCATCGCCAAATCCGCTGTTTATCAATGAAAAATACTTTACACACGACTTATAACTGAATGACTGAAAAACACTTTACAAACGACTCACAACTGATGATTTTATTTTTCGAACACTGCTTCGCTCACGTTCTCTGCTCGAATCGCACCTCTCTAAATGCTTCATTTAGTGCTTCTGGTGCAGTGCGTCACGTACTGCACCAGACCAATAATTGCGAACAGAACCTAACCTAACTTAAGCCTAACTATTCAACATATTTGATTATGTATAATCCCAAAGATAGTGAAGTGTAAAGTGGGTGGACAAAGACGGAGGTAGACTTGTTGCAATTAGATAAATCTAACCTAGTACGATGCATACATATAAAATCATATATTACTATAGGAAATTCTCGTAGTGTATCACTACTTTGCTCATAGAAGATACATGATTCATGTATGATGACTATATTTGCTGTGTGGGCATAAAATCATACCTCTTCTATAACCTTATAATATCAAATATTAAACATCGTTTTAGGCATAAACAAAAGACCTACCTATGGAGAATACTGTCTTGTAAATAAATAGTAGTCTGCAGCGAAACAAACCTGCTACAGACTGTCATTGTAATAATAAGGTGAGCACCTTTGCTGTAACCAATGTTTCAAAAATACCCTCTGAGGTCTCATTATTATTATTAACATCTTTATTGACAAAATTAATTACAATTTTGCCTAATCTGAGGATTTTGTAAGTCTTATTAAATTGAGGATAATCATGAGGTCTCATTAAGATCTTTTGTGTTTTCTGCAATCCTTTCTTCAGCTACCCCCTCACAAGATGGGTATTATTATATGAGGTGTACAATAAACTATTGCTCACTAAGGATGAGTATGGAGTGCACAATAAACTATTGCTCACAGGCAGAGTATGGTGTGCACAATAAACTATTGCTCACTGGATGAGTATGGTGTGCACAATAAACTATTGCTCACTAAGGATGAGTATGGAGTGCACAATAAACTATTGCTCACAGGCTGAATATGGTGTGCACAATAAATTACTGCTCACAGGATGAGTATGGGGTGCACATTAAACTATTGCTCACGGGATGAGTATGGGGTGCACAATAAACTATTGCTCACAGGCTGAGTAAGGAGTGCACAATAAACTATTGCTCACAGGATGAGTATGGAGTGCACAATAAACTATTGCTCACAGGATGAGTATGGAGTGCACAATAAACTATTGCTCACAGACTGAGTATGGGGTGCACAATAAACTAGGTGCCTCCGGTGGCAACAATCAAGCCACAGTTACCTAATGCCCGGGGTAACTATTTACTGTCAGGTACACAGACATTATAGGTCCCCCGTCAATTATTTCCTCACATATATCACGTTACCATGATTTCCTTGTGTAGAGATTATAATTATATAAGAAAGACAATATTTGTGCCTTTTTAGTGGATTCTCAGGCCAATTTTTCCAACTCAATATTTGAGGCTTCAAAATCCGTTCTCTCTCTCAACTAACAGGCCGCGTTTTTTATGTTATGGTAAGTACGTTACAAATGCAGCCTATCAAAAGTATGGGCTCATAAATACTACGTTTTCTATGCATCGGACTCTAGGATAGGTTGCTTGGGTTCATATGGTTTTTGTCAAATTAGGTTAAATTATTTCTGGAGTAGCAAATCACGAGCTGCACTAAAGCACAGTGTTGGACGGTGATTTCATTTAATTTCTTTATTATGCACCCCATCCCCATCCCGTGGGCGGTGGTGTAAAGGGTTACAGAGGCACACATAACCGGTTCAGGAACTGAACCTTCTAGTTCGTTTAGCTAAGCAAATAACAACGGTGATGACTCCACACCCCTGCCCAAGTATTTCATATGTCTTATGTTACTTCTCAATAGTTGCATCGAAAACAGTTGTAATGAGTACTCTCATTCAAGACGTGATTGCCAAATTCCACACATTTCCATCCCGTTAAAACTACATGATAACAGACTTGCAAGATCATAAAAACTGGAATATACAATCAGGTGTTTCCTGTTAGGATACTTCCTGTCTGAGAAACAATTCCTCTATGCATCATTCTCCGTTCGTAGACCAGTTGTTCTCAGTGAGAAGCCATCACTCGACTCCTCAAGAGGTGGACCCGCGAAGAGCTTTGCTCTACCCTATGCAGGCGATGAGTCACAATAACGTGGCTGAAGAATGTTGACCAGACCACACACTAGAAGGTGAAGGGACGACGACGTTTCGGTATCGACTTGAGAATGGTCCAGGACGGACCGAAACGTCGTCGTCCCTTCACCTTCAAGTGTGTGGTCTGGTCAATTTTGCTCTACCCTTTAACCACTAAAATTTGATAAAATTGATTTAAGACTAATAATAATCCTCACAGTTGTGGCTTAAGTAATAGCCTATTGTTTATTGTTAGTTATGATCTAACAGTTGTTATCTAACAGAGTTTGTAGTACTGAGCTTTAGCCCCAGAGAGCCAAAGCTCAACCCCCAGCAAGCATAACTAGGCGAGTACATAGTCGTAATGGCTTGGCTCAGTTTTTTCTTGAAATCTGCTTCTATTTATTTATTTATTTATTTATGCATATACAAGAATGTACATAAGGAATGTGAGGATACAAATATGGTAATTACAGTCTTGTAAAGCCACTAAAGTCTTGTAAAGCTTTTAAAACTAAGGCTGGAAGCATCTTCTACTCTGTACAGTTTCTTCCACTTTCTTACTGCTCTTACACATTGTGTGGAGGAGGTGGGAGGCGGTGTTAATCAATGTTTTCACCTAGATTCTCAATTGTGTTTTCAGGACAGAACATCCGGAATATCAATGGCCTTTGGGAATACCCCACTGGTTGCCGCCCGCGTAAGAATGCCGTGACGTCACCCGAACCTCCTGGTGACGTTGCTCAGGATCTCGTGACGTCAACAAGTTCCCCCTTCGTTGCATCAATCAGGATCCCTCGTGACATCAACTAGGACCCCTCGGGACGTCACCTAGGACCTCTCGTGATATCAAGTAGGATCCCTGTTGACGTCATCTATGACCCCTCTTGTGATGTCAAGCAGGAACCTTTGTGACATCACCGAGGACCACTCATACCGTCAACCATGACCCTTTATGGAGTCATGATAAGCCTTACAGAAGGTACCATACAGAGAGCCGCCTCGCGTGGCCCAGAATCCCAACGCCGCAGCCTCGCATAGACTATATAGTAAACCAATATGTATCCAAAACAGGTGTTTTTATGTACAGTCGAAGTGTAATACTCGCATAGGTTTAGCCGTGCTAAAGAAAGTGAAAACAAAAATATTTTTGAATACACTGCGCTTGGGGGTCGCGTCTTAAAATGTTTCGTCTGGTGTGATCGCCTGAGGGGGACGTTTCTCTTCTTCCCAGACGCTGTGTGTAAGATGTTCTCATTGGCTCTTGTGACTGTAAGTTGCATTTTGATTGGACGCTCGGTACGTGGAGACTCAAAGACGTTGGCAGAAACCTCCATCGAGATTATCTCTACTTATCTATTTCTTGGGAGTGCAGATAAGAACTTGTTCATTGTTATTATGATCTCACTTTGAAATATTGGTTCAAAATTTACGGAAGACAGCAGACAAGAAGTTCCCAGGCAGGAGTGCTCTCTGTGGCCGTGTTTACATAAGAGATATAGATGCTCAGTGGGTGGCAAAAGTAGGCGGATCTGGACTACGAAGAACCTTGAGACGGAGTCGCTGGTAGAGTGTCTCTACCACCCACACACACACTACCAGGCTCCTCTCTAGTGGTAGGCTACCATCTTCCTCAATAACCAGATGAAGGAATAGTGGTGTCTAGTGACGATAAATGACCCCGGCCAGCAGAGCCAGAAATAATGTGGATAAAATGGTGGTGAGGGAAATGTGGGCCAGTGACACTGCTTGTATAGTGAAGGATCGCGGAAGTGTGTTGGTGGAGGTGGTGGCGTACTGCCTCCTGGATTAACCCAGCTGGTCGCCTCCACCAAACTCTCCCACAAACAAACCTTCCATTTGTGAATTGTGATAAATGAATATAATGACGTGAGTGCTGGAGGCTGAGCTATGATAGGTTTCTGGTGCTTGAGGTGACTCCGACCCAGCCACCATGCTGCTATCTCACGTCTTCCGGATTACTGTACACCTGCTTCTTGTCGCCCGTGGTGAGTCTTCTTTGTTATTCACGCCTTAAACCTTCCTACTTCACCATCTAGCTCCGCTAAATGTGGGGCCAACTACCCTAAAATAATATCACAAAACTGGCCGAATGTATATTAAAAAGGACAGATTTTTAAACCTTAACAGGAATTTAATACAATGTTTTGAGTAATGATCAACCTTCGACTAAGATCTTTTCCATTCCCCCCACACACCAACCCCTCCCTCCCTTCCCTCCCTTCCCTACCAGTCTCCTTCCCCTTCCCCTACACACATACCATCCCTTCCCTCCCTTACACATAGACGAGACCCTCTCTTGACACTGTTTTCAGTCAAATGGAACCCTTTGTACATTCTTTTTGAGAAATAAAGCATGACATAATTCGTCACAGCTGAGAAAAGTAATGACATTCCAAAGCCCATGGTCGAGGAGGAGAAGGTCATCCATGTCAGTTTCTGTCAGGAGATTACATCTATAGAACACGGTGGGCCGCCAAAATGGCCCCACAGGCTGGACCAGTGCTGGCCGAGGGGGCCACAATCTGGACCAGTGCTGGCCGAGGGGGCCACAATCTGGACCAGTGCTGGCCGAGGGGGCCACAATCTGGACCAGTGCTGGCCGAGGGGGCCACAATCTGGACCAGTGCTGGCCGAGGGGGCCACAATCTGGACCAGTGCTGGCCGAGGGGGCCACAATCTGGACCAGTGCTGGCCGAGGGGGCCACAATCTGGACCAGTACTGGCCGAGGGGGCCACAATCTGGACCAGTACTGGCCGAGGGGGCCACAATCTGGACCAGTGCTGGCCGAGGGGGCCACAATCTGGACCAGTGCTGGCCGAGGGGGCCACAATCTGGACCAGTGCTGGCCGAGGGGGCCACAATCGAGGGATCGGATGTGCCCAGGGCAAAAAAATAAAAGAAAAAATGGACTAGACCTGTGGACTGAGAGGCCGGAGAGGACGCCCCTCCCCTAAAAAAAGGAATGGCGCCCAACCTTTTGGACGGTCTGCGTTGGACGGTCTGCGTTGGACGGTCTGGGTTTGGACGTCGGCCTGCATGAAGCCAGACCGTCGCTCTACCGTGCAAGTCAACCTGGCAATAGCAACCAGTGGGCATACAGCAGTTACAAGGCATCAGTAAACAGTGGATCAAGTTGCAGACATGATCATCTATTCACTAATCAATAACTGTATCCATAAATTATTGTACATTTATGAAGATAACGTACTTTACAAGACTAAAAAAATAACTTAGTTTACAAAAATCAAAGATAACTTAGTTTACAAAACCAAATATAACTGAATTTACAAAGTCAATGATAACTTAGTTTACAAAATCAAAGATAACGGAGTTTACAAAATCAAAAATAACTTAGTTTGCAAAATCAAAGATAACTTGGTGCGTATTTGTGTGGGTTCGAACACGCGTAAACCATAACCAAACACGAGAAAGTTCACAGTAAACAGTTGGGTTTACATCAACAGTAATATACTGTAAACAAGAGCGATATATGAGCTATAGTTATCTTATACATTAAGCTGAGCTATAAATAGTTATCTTACTCATTAAACTATCTGAGTCATAATTAGTTATCTTACCCATTAAAGTGAGCTATAAGTTGTTATCTTACCAATTAAAATGAGCTATAAATAGTTATCGTACCCCTTATACTAGCTAAGCTATAGTTATATTACCCATTAAACTGAGCTATAAAAAGTTATCTTACCCATTTAAGTGAGCTATAATAGTTATCTTACCAATTAAAGTGAGCTATAAGTAGTTATCTTACCCATTACACTATCTGAGCTACAGTTATATTACCCATTAAACTGAGCTATAAGTTGTTATCTTACCCAATTAACTATCTCAAATGAAAGCGAAATTGTGTGTATCATACGATAGAAGGAGATAAGGCTACAGCCCATTGTTGACACGTACGGGCTCACCATAGCCCGTGCTACTTGGACCTTGTTCCGAGTAGCTGAATCTATAACAACATTGTTGACAGAAATTCCGGTCACCTGTGACGTGTTACCTCGTGACAAAGTCAGTCAACTGAGTAACTATTGTGATAATACAAAGCAAAATTTTACTTTGATCGTTACTAAAGCTAAGACACATTGCTAGATATGAGTACCCCCTTATCTTGAGGTTATCTTGAGATGATTTCGGGGCTTTAGTGTCCCCGCGGCCCGGTCCTCGACCAGGCCTCCACCCCCAGGAAGCAGCCCGTGACAGCTGACTAACACCCAGGTACCTATTTTATTGCTAGGTAACAGGGGCATAGGGTGAAAGAAACTCTGCCCATTGTTTCTCGCCGGCGCCTGGGATCGAACCCAGGACCACAGGATCACAAGTCCAGCGTGCTGTCCGCTCGGCCGACCGGCTCCCTTAATATATCTTATTTCAAAAGAAATTTTAGAATATCTCTAAAATTTGTTTAATTATGTTATTGTTGATGTAATAGTAATTAATGGCTTAGCGCTTTGCCTTGACATTTACTTGCCAATTATTATTACTGTTATATTATTATTATTATTTATCAATTGGTGCCAATTTTGTTGTGGAGATTTCAACAGGCTGGGTAGTAATGATCCTTCTTATCCAACCCTGCCAGCCACAAGCTTACTCCTTCCCCTACAGCCCTCTCTGTCTCTGTCTGTCTGTCTGTTTCTCTCTCTCTGTCTGTCTGTTTCTCTCTCTCTGTCTGTCTGTTTCTCTCTGTCTGTCTGTCTGTCTCTCTCTCTCTCTCTCTCTTACTCTCTCTTCTCTCAGCCTACTAATAGCACCCTCCCTTAGATTTCATTCCCAACCTTCATAGTCAGCGATACGTGATCACTAGCACATCTCTCTTTCCTTCCCCCTCATAGCCGCCTACTCACACCTACTGTGCCTACCAACCTCCCTCCCTCTCCTCAGCAGATTACTCACACCTCTCCCTCTCTCACAACGTAATGGAGGACTCGTGACTGTGGTGGTGGTGTAGGGGTCATGGTAGTGGTGGAGAGGTCATGGTGGTGGTGGAGGGGTCATGGTAGTGGTGGAGGGGTCATAGTGGTGGTGTAGGGGTCATGGTAGTGGTGGAGAGGTCATGGTAGTGGTGGAGAGGTCATGGTGGTGGTGGAGGGGTCATGGTAGTGGTGGAGGGGTCATGGTAGTGGTATTGGGGTCTTGGCAGTGGTCACGGTGCTCTTCTGTCTTGTTACGGACTCTAATCATCCTACAGATTAGTTTTGTGGCTGAGGAGTTATGATAGTCATGGTCTCTCCAGGGCACAAATCCAGGACAGGTTGATACGGGGGAAGAAGTTGTTACCCATGCAGCAGGTCCCCTCCCCCCCCCCCTCCTCCCTCTCCACGGCGCCGAAAGTCTCCAATGGAAAGGCAAACGCCAATACGATTGGTTTCAGCGCCGTCGCAGGAACTGTCAGAACGAGGTTGAAGGCAACAACGAACTGCCCCGGGGGGTTCCAGCTCCGAAGTTGACCTCGAAGTTGGTGAAAGAAGGCACAGGGACCCCAAACCCGGAGACCGCCGTGGTCGGGGCCGGAAAAGAACCACCCCAGCAAGGGCAAGAACGACCCCAGCCTCCTGAAGCAGAGCCTGGGGGGCCACACGAGCCCCAGGAGGTGGACGTCCCGGTCCCGCACCTACGGGTTCCTGTCAGAGATCGTCACAGCCCTCTTTCACCCGAGGTGAAAGAGGGCGGTGACGCTTCCTTCATGACTTCCTTCTTGACCCAGCAGAAGGAAGAGTAATAATTATTAGTTACAACAGTTATTATGATAATAATGGTAGTAGTGGGAGGATTATGGTGGTAATGGCGGGTCATGGTAGTAGTAGGGGGGTGATGGCGCTCGTGTGAGGGGGCTGGCGGCGAGGACCCGCTGGACCAAACCAGGGCCGTGGCCACCATTCACAACACGGACACTTGACCATCCGTCTTTATGGACACTGGCCGCTTGCCAGCGCATCCGGCTTCGGAAATTCCCACCAGATATATGCAGACAATGTCCATTTTTTGTACCATTTATGGACGCAGCATGTTACACAATGGACCACAAAACACGCTCCCGCCAAGTTCCGTAAACCCACCGACTTGTGTCAATTCTCTCTTCTATATAACCAAAATATCTAGTGTTTTACATGTGGCTATAGACAATAACAGACAATACATGGCAGCATCTCAGAAAATACATAGCAGCATCTTAGAGTCATATCTACAATTGTACGAATTAAAATACATTTAGGACTGTAGAGGTCTGTTATTACAAGGCCAAATAACACCAGTACATTATTACAAGCTATCCTAAATAACACCTTTATTGTAGCATTATTAAGGTAAACAGCAGTGATGTTTACATTACGACAATGCTGGATACTACGACCCTTAAAGGGAGGTTGAGGACAGTACTCAGGAGGTGGCAGTCGTTCGCCAGGCGAAGGGCCTGCCCTAAACATTGGCGGGCGACTGGCACTCCTTAGCAGAGGAACAGGTCAGAACAGCAATAATTACAGGTGTTTTCCCTTTCAAGCACGGCCCCTCGGGGTAGACAGGTGGACCAGGTGTCCTTGGAAGTCGTCCTCCTTCTCTCTCATTCTCTCTCTCTCTCACACACACACACACATTTCTCTCTCTCTCTCACACACACACACCTCTCATACCTCTCATTCTCTCTCTCTCTCTCTCTCACACACACACACACCTCTCATTCTCTCTCTCTCTCTCTCTCTCTCTCTCTCTCTCTCTCTCTCTCTCTCTCTCACACACACACACACACTCTCTCATTCTCTCTCTCTCTCTCTCTCTCTCTCTCTCTCTCTCTCTCTCTCTCTCTCACACATACATATTAATAAATTCTTGAGCTAGAGAAACAGGTTTGTGTATGTGGAAGTGTGTTAAATTCGGCGAAGGAGTACCTGCCAGGAAGGAGACAAAGAGCTACATTGAGAGAGGCAAGGAGTGAAATACCACAAGGGTCGGTACTGGGGCTTATCCTCTTCCTAAATTATGTAGTCTCACCAATCAATTGTACCTTCTTGTAAAGAAAATGATTATATTAGTATTATTACTACAAGCGCAGGAAGACAGGGTATGCGTACCAACTGAAGTGGCCTAGTTGAGGTGCTGGCGTAGCGAGCACCTGGAGTAGCGGGCACCTCACCTCCCCAATGTCACGTGTCGACCGAGGAACTTTCACCTCAGTGGTCCAGACCGTTACCTGCATCACGCGCTCGGTCATCACCCGTAGCGCAGTCTGCTCGCAACTAATTGGACTCTTGTTCGAGTCCCGGGAAGGGCGACACGCTAAGGCTCATTTCCTCACACATAACACCCTTATTCCCCTGGCAGTAAATATGTACCCGGGAGTCAGAGGACTGTTGTGGGTTGCATCTGGGAAGGGTCAGTCGTTGGGTACCCCTAAAGGGACCTCGATAATACTAACAGGCTTCCTGTCATTGACAATAGGAGACCAATTGTGTAGTACAGGATAGGGTAAGATTTGATGTAAGATACCTAACTGGTCATGCAAAATGTACGCCTAATTTACCTGTTGTGCAAACAAATGGTTAACAGATTTAAAAGATCGTTCAGGTGACTGTGATCCTTCCCTCCTCCACCCCTTCCTTACATCCCCTCCACCTCTCCCTCTCCCTCTCTCTCTCTCTCTTATATATCTCCTCATCAATAATTTCCATGCTCTCTCTCTCTCTCCCTCTCCTCGTCGATAAGCATTTAAATTAGACACTAATGAGGCCACTCAACCTGCTGAATGACTTAACAGGTAAAGTTATTTCCTGTTGCCACCGGTACCGGGCGATGAGCCCCGCCACCTGGCACCGGTCCGCCATGACCCAGTCTGCTGGGTCACTCAGACTGGGGTGACCTAGTCTGCTGGGTCACTCAGACTGGGGTGACCTAGTCTGCTGGGTCACTCAGACTGGGGTGACCTAGTCTGCTGGGTCACTCCACAACACACACCTGTCTTCACAGGTGTTCTAGTGCTGTCAGTCTTGTCTTATGGTCGCAGCATGTTCGTCTACACATGTTGCTTGGATTCATGTCGATTTGAATCATGTCAGGAACAAAGCTTCGACACTGACAGCTTCAGTATTCTGATTTTCAGCTTTGACACTAACAGTTTCAACACTGATACAGCCAGTTACAACACTGATACAGCCAGTTACAACACTGATACAGCCAGTTACAACACTGATACAGCCAGTTACAACACTGATACAGCCAGTTACAACACTAATACAGCCAGTTACAACACTGACACAGCCAGTTACAACACTGATACGGCCAGTTACAACACTGATACGGCCAGTTACAACACTGATACGGCCAGTTTCAACACTGATACAGCCAGTTACAACACTGATACGGCCAGTTACAACACTGATACAGCCAGTTACAACACTGATACAGCCAGTTACAACACTGATACAGCCAGTTACAACACTGATACAGCCAGTTACAACACTGATACAGCCAGTTACAACATTGATACAGCCAGTTACAACACTGATACAGCCAGTTACAACACTGATACAGCCAGTTACAACATTGATACAGCCAGTTACAACACTGATACAGCCCATTACAACACTGATACAGCCAGTTACAACACTGATACAGCCAGTTTCAGCACTAGCACCGGTAGTTTCAACACTGACATTGACAGCGTCAAGCTCAACACCTGACTTCTTCATTAGCATTGACAGTGTCACCATTAGTATTTGCTGTAGGAGTGCTTAGAAGAGAAGCGAGACAATGACCTTTATTACGGGCTCACCATAGCCCGTGCTACATGGACACTCCGTCCTGACTAGCTAAATCTTTAACAACAACAATGACCTTTAAGAAGCCAACTAAAACATTTACAAAATGTATAAAGAAAACGAACAAAACAAGGGGACTAAAATCAACGACGGTTCGTGCTAGAAAGATAGCATTGTAATCGACTTACATGCCAGGCAGGTGGAGTAGAGTGCTCAGACACGAGTAGAGTGCTCAGACACGAGTAGAGTGCTCAGACACGAGTAGAGTGCTCAGACACGAGTAGAGTGCTCAGACACGAGTAGAGTGCTCAGACACGAAGTTAATAATATAGACAAATCCTACGAAGGTCATTCGGTGCAAACGACGAATAGCATAGTTACAATACAGCCAGTCCGAGAATTCTTACACTGTGAAACGCTAGAAATTTTTCTTGAGAAAGCCTAGTAAAGCGGTGAGAACAGGTTAAGAGAACCTGACCACAGTATAGGAGAGAACCAGAGATATGAATTAAATTTATTAGAAACTGATGGAAATTATGGATAGAGATTGTCTTGTAGACGAGAAAAAACTTTGGGGGACGCAGGTGGAAACTTGAAACACAAATAAATAGGAAAACGTAAGGAAATGCATTTAGTGCGGGTACTAGGCTACTGGAGAGCGCTCGTGGTAGTCACATCGATACATAATTCATTTCAAAACAAATATAACAGCACTATAATGTCGGAAGGAATACAGGCACCCGCTACAACAGTCCAGGCGTCCTATTATTGTTTAAATCTCGCTCCCCGGCGTTACAGATAAGTACAAGAGAAATGAAAAGAAATATGAAAGAGCTAATCTATATTTCAGCATATTTTTATATAAGGCTGAAGTCCGGGTTAAATATGCCGCAAAACCCTTATATATGTAGTATGAAAATTTCCAACTTTTAATAATAATAATAATAATAATAATAATATAGAATTTGACACAGGTAAACGGACAAATAATAATAATTTTGACACCGTAAACAAACTTCAATTACCGGAAGAAAAGGAGCTAAAAGTAATTGCAATACTTTATAACGTTTCTACATATATTATCTGCGGTGAGTAACAGGACCTGGAGCAGCTGTAATTGGGTCAGATAAAAGAATGTTTTCTTGGCAGTTCAAGACCTTTACCTTAATCTTCTTGCTTATGTCCTCGGCAATAGTATAACTTCTTTTTTAACATAGATAAAATAACAAGTATTTAGCGCTTTAATTATTTTCTTCCATCTTGTCATAAAAAAGCCTGCTGACATGAAACACACACACAACAGTTGCAAGTTAACGGTCCCTGCCAACTACAGAAGAGCAACGCCCTGCGTACATGATGACACTTCCCATCCCATCCCCCCTTCCTGCTCCCAAAACAACCCCCCTCCCTCTCCCTCTCGTCTATCCTTCTGTTAATCTTCTATCCATCCTGCTGCTCCTGTTGTTGTTGTTTTAGATTCAGCTACTCGGAACAGCAAAGTTCCAAGCAGCCCGGGCTATGGTGAGCCAGTAGTGGACTTACCAGACATAGATGTACCATCCTGTTTCCAAAACAACCATTTATCTATTTTCCATCTTCTCTCATTCCAGCCCTCACTTTTGACGTGGCGCAATGCATCGCACATTTTAATTAGGCCTAACCAATTATGTTATTCTCCATGACCCAGAAAGCTGAGAATAGCCTCATTAACATATCCAAGAGGATTAATAGACCGTGCAACACTTTCTATCTTCCTCTTGTTTCCTTGTATACATCCCGTTCAAAGTCATACATTGCATTTCTTAATTATTTAGTGTTCCGGATAATATGATGATAATAGTGAATGACTAACCCTTTATTTCCCTGCATTTTGGGTTGACGGGCAGCCTACCATGCAACTTTCAACCCGTTCTCGCACTTTCGTATAGTCAATAATGACTTATTAAATACGTGCATATGTGACATACTAAACATACTAGTTTACCTTGAAAAGCTTCATAGAAAACACCGACCTTACCTAACCTTCTTAGTATGTTAAGATAAACATCTTATTCCTTCGTAATTACAATTATTAATTAACCTATTATAGGTATAGGTTTTATTAAGGTTTTATACCTATTATAGGTATAGGTTAAGTAATAATTGTAATTACGAAGCAATAAGATGCTTATCTTAACATAACATACTAAGAAGGTTAGGGAAGGTCGGTGTTTTCTATAACGCTTTTCAAGGTAAACTAGTATGTTTAGTATGTCACATATGCACGTATTTTATAAGTCAATATTGACTGTAAGAAAGTGCGAGAACGGGTTGCAACCTTCTGGGCAGCCTTCCGAAGAGCTTGATGGAATGGCTACCGAACTTTGCAGTAATAGTTAATATATTGACAAATTACAAGTATTCTCATGATTAGCGAACTGCTGCTGAAGACGATCACAAATTTCTCACATAAATTAACATTTTGATTGCGGTTAACAGTTTCACTCACTACTTCCCCATTTGAAATTTTGACGGAAAACCCTTTGGTGAAAGACCCTTTTGCTTTTTGAAAATTCTGATTCTATAATCGAGTTAAACTTGGTACCTGCGCACTAAAACGAACTCGGTAACTAACCTGTGACATCAAACTTAAAAACAGACACAAGTCATCAAGTTAGTCGTCACTGAGGACTCGATCGCCTCTGATATCAGACTTAAAACTCGGCTGGAAATGGATACTCCAAGTTAGGTTAACACGAAAGGAAGGAAGGAAGAGACTCACCATGGGACCTTAAAGCCCGCCTCATAAACAATGGCCAAAAGTATTGCTAACCCACAATAAAACTGGATGATAACGCTACATTCACTTGGGCCATCGGAACCTCGAAGAACACCCACAATAAAGGAGGATATCTGAGAATACCAGTTGATATCCTCCTTTAGTGTGGGTGTTGGGTATCCTGGTTGGTAGAACTACAGTCTTCTGCTTTTGTGGACTGTGGTTCAAGGCTCCAGTGGCCCAAGTGAGTGAAATGGCCTATAGCTCTTTAATCCCTGAAAATCTGTGGCTCTTAAACATATATGCCCAATTTTAACCTTAAATGTAGTTATCAAAGAGAAGGCGCCAAGCCGCGAAGACTATGTAGCCTAACCTTACTGATTAAAGGTTAAAACCTTACTGATAAAGATGGTTGGTTGTTCAGGCGTGCTGGGGATCAACTCCCCGCCGGTGCTGCGCTCGGAGAAGACCTGGTACGTGACGGAGGACGAGGAGGTGGGTTCGGTGGTCACTCGCCTGCAGGCCTACGACCAGGAGAACGACCATGTGGTCTTCACGCTGGAGCCTCAGCTCCCCGGCCAGGTCGTCCACACCCGCCTGGAGATCGACGACGGGAACCGCGTCAAGGTTGCCAAGCCACTGACGGGACTGGTAAGTCAACCCGAGCGGCAGAATAGTGTCTCGATTTCAATTGAAATTCAACATTTGTATTTATAAATGGATTCATTTGTAATGAATAAATTTAATGATTTTGTTTTAATAATGGCCTAGCACTGTTCATCATAATTAGAAATTTACATACTGTACGAGCTGACGAAGGGAGTACGGGGCTATATACTGAGTTTTGAATGTTCAGTAGCATTAGCTATTTAGTTGATAATGTTTTTGAATTAATTTACAACAAATACATAATACCATATGGAAAAGCTTTTGTTAAGTATCATATAACATTATATCATTCAACTATCCATGTCTCGCCTACGGTATCTGGGAGTCTACGACCCAAAACCACCTCATACATAATTACTCAACACAAATTAACAATTATAATAATGAACTGCAAGTGTCCAACCTGTATATAAATCCTTGAGCATGTTAACTATAAAAGTACTATGAACATGTTTGAACATGTTCTGTACTTGTGTTATGTAGTGTGTCTGGATACAGTTCTGTTGCAGCTCTCTGTAAGATTTATATTTTCGTTTAGTTTCAAAGATGTAAAGTGCAAATGAGAATAAGACCAGTGCTTTTATATTTAGTATGTTAAGATTGATGTTTAGTACAAATAATAACATTCCTCCTTTAATTGTTCCTTCCAAATAATCATGTTCATGATGTTCAAGCTATGTTTGCCTGCTGCAGGCCGGATCGGGAGAAGCCTCTTACATCTTAAGGGTGCGGCTTGATGATGGATTCAGGGAAGCTGTCACTGAAGTCAGACTGGAAGTCTCCAAGTCTGGCCAGGGAGGTGCAAGACACCAGCAAGGCTCCAGAGATTTTGGAGTCCCTGGAAACTATGGAAGTCCTAGCAACTTTGGTATATTTGGAGGCTTCAGACCACCAATTGGTCCAATTCCTAGTCCTGATGTAGAGTCTGGACGTAAGTAGTGGTGGTTAGTTTTAATTATTATGTACCATATACTCATGGAAGGGTTAGAGCCAAGTAACTGGGCTAAGAGATTGACCTCGTGTCCTAGCTTAGCAAGCTACAGTTGTGTTTAACTTTGAAAGGAAAAACTAATAACAATGGAAAGAGTTTTTTGTGCTCAAGTGAGTCAGTTATAAAAATGTGACTATGTGTATGTGTGGGGGGGGGGGGAGTACATTATTAAAGGGGGGATAAAGGGATGTCAGAAAACAGTCATAAGAGAACCTCATTAAAACTGCTGGTTTGCTGTCCACCAAAGACAGTAAAAGATCCATTGTACTGTGGGTGATACCAGCTAATTCTAAATCTAGGAAAAACAGGAAAAAATTTTTGAGTTGAGACCATAAGTTCCTGAATCCAACCTTTATTGAGTTCCTAACATTAGTATGAGGCTGATTTTGTCATTATGAGTCTATTATAAATCATGAACTAACTATACTCATGGGTAATTACAGAGAGGTGGGAAGAGGGAGAGAGAGAGAATGTGTATATCCCACCTAGTACTGTATATAGATAAATAAAGGTTACTGAAATGTACGCTTCTGATACAAATGTAAAAGTTTGAAAATTGTGACATGTTTTTTCTTCAAAGTCAGATTTGTAAAATTTCATTAATAATTGTAAGAAAATTAATGATAGTGTCAACAGTATAATCTCTCATATCATATTACATAAACATTTGTCATTTATTTAGGCTGTTAAACTTTGCCCGAAACGCTTTGCGTAATACACAGAGAAATCCCATTAATGTGATATATTATATCAATTACAGTACTGTATATCAAAAGAATGAATGAATTATATCAAAGAACAAATCCACAGGGTTACACATACTAATGGCTTCATTAGTATGTGTAACACATACTAATGTGTTACTAACATGCAAATTATTATTATTATATATTTATTATTGTACTAAATATTCCATGTACTGTACAATAACCTATGGTACAAAGTTTTCAGTCGAAACAATTTTCTTCTCCTCCAGCTGCTCCTTTCTTGAAGGTGAACCAAACATGGGAAGTTAATGGTGATGCTGCTGTTGGAACAGAGATAGATAAGGTGTCGGTTCAGGACTTTACTGGTGAGGGCTACAGTATTGTCATTGAGCAAGAGCAAAGTCTGGTCATGGTTGACTCCCACTTAGGTCATGTTATTAAAGTTGCTACCCCTCTTCATAAACAGGTATGTTGGTAGGGTGTAAGCTCGCAATGTTTTCTTAAAATTTACAGAATATCAGTACTGTATTAATGTTTTTACTGATTTAATATTTTGTTTTTAATATAACTTGACTGTGAATAATGTAAATGGTACAGTGCTGTACTGGTAGATGTGAATGCTATTTTTTCCCTTTGACTCCAAAGAGTAAATAGGTTGCTGATACTGTACTTGCATATTTGACCTTGAGGGGGAGGGTCAGTCCACAGCTCTTCGGTTTCGCCTTTTAACCTTTAATTGACTAGTATTTAACTTTATAGAACTATCAAACTATTGGACTATCAGACTCTGTCATATCTGTTTTTGCTTCTATGTCTCTCATATTTCTTGTCTTTCCCCAGACAAGTGTGTCTGGGGAAAGTGTACATACACACAGCTAATGTGTACACACATACACATTTGGTTCATTTCAAGGTCTCCCAGGGTCAAACAAGGAGGAATTTTTGAAACCTGCAACTTGAAGAACAAATTCAAAATTAAAATTAAAATTCTTTTTTTTTTTTTTTAAAGAATGTGTGTACAAAGCACATGAGAGTAGTGTACAATTGTGGGGACAGGAGTTACACATACTAATGAAGCCACTATTATACAAAGCGTTTCGGGCTCTGGTCAGAGGCCATAGATTCTAACAAGAGGCCGATTCTCTAACATGTGTGATTCTTTTGAAAATTCAGTACAGTATGTAAATTTTTATTTTGTGCCTCTACTGAGTTTTACATCTAAGTTCATAAACTGCATGTCTTCATCTGTAGGTTGGAGTTCACCATCTGAATGTAACAGCATCATATCCCCATGGCAAGGTCTCAGAACCAGTAGTTTTAAGAGTGTTGCCACCTCAAACATCAACAGTATCTCTGCCAACCTCAGAGAGCCCTAGAGCAGGAATATACAACCAACAAGATCTGAGGGTGGTTGGAGGCAGTGGTAATGTGGCAGGCAGCACCGGGTCAACTTCTGCAAAGCCGTCCACAGAACTACCCATTGAGATTCCTACACCTGATGTGAGCCTGACTGTGATACCTATTGTGGTTGTGGTTAGTGTGTTGCCACTCCTTATGGCATTGTACTGCTGCTGGCGCAGACATCGCAAAAAAGTTAAAGCACAGGCTAAGGTAAGTCTTACTCATGATTCATTCATAATTTAAAATTCTACCTTGTAGATTTGTTATTTACTTTTTAATTATCGAGAAAATGTTATAATGCATGAAATATTAAATCAATTTTTTGAGATGTTCACCTTACTTGCCAAATGACCCGACCCTCAGGAAAGTGCCGTTGTGTACAGTGATAAGGGTGAGGAAGCAGCTGCTACAGAGATCACACCTGTGGAGCCTGGAGAGCAGCCTGACAGGGGTAGACGAAGGGGAAGCAGCATACTAGGGCTATCAGCACTGTGGAGGATACGAGCACAAAGCAACACGTACGAGGATAGCATCAGGGGAGGATCAGGGGTCAGTCTTTATACTTCTACTAACTACTTTATACTAACTACTATAAAAGAAATTTTATAGTAGTTCTGTTCATTAATAGAAATGTAATTATACATTTCTATTAATGAACAGAACTACTATAAAATTTCTTGATAAATGACTTTGTTTGATTTTTTTTATGTGGAATAATCTTCAGTTATGTACCTTAGAAATATACTCATTAGTAAATGTACTGTTAGTACTTACAGAAATTATTTTACTTAACAGAAAAGAAAAGTGAGTGAACTGTCATCATCCACAACAGATGTGTGGGAGTTCCCACGTCACCGCCTTAAGATAATGGGTATCCTAGGAGAAGGATGCTTTGGTCAGGTAAATTAACACTGACAGTAACATGGTTTAAAAATATGGATTATTATAGTTATGACGGGTTATTCCTTATTATAATAATAATGAGATATAATAATTTTATTTTATTACACACACATCATATGCTCAAAAGAACAATACTGTATTAATAATAATAATATTAATAAAAATAATAGTGTATTTAGGTAAAAGTACAAACAAAATGAATTACAAGCAGAATGTTGAATTTCTAGAAAGAGCTAGTATATATTATGCCTGAAGCCACTAATACGCACAACGTTCAGGCATTTAAATGATTTATCTGGCTTGGGCAGAATTCTGATGGCTTGTAAACTGTTCCCCCCTTTCTCCCTGATGTGTTTTTGATGAGTTTTTCTAGCTGTAGGCTTTTTTGAATAGCTTGGTCTTGGTTTCCATGATTGCCATTATATATTAAATGTTAGCCTCTAATTTCTGTACAGTTGCTTATCCTTCATAGTTCCTTCTGTCATCTAATTTATCTTGTAATTAATTTATTTGTGGTGCAGGTGTGGAAGTGTGAGGCACTAGGGCTGAAGGGTGAAGGATCCAAGTTGGTGGCAGTGAAAACACTGAAGGAGTCTGCAGGAGAGAGAGAAAGACGAGACCTAATACAAGAGCTTAAGGTCCTCATGAATCTTGGACGGCATCCTAATGTTGTCTCTCTTCTAGGGTGCTGTACAGAAAAAGGTGAGATATTAAGTAAGGAAACACAAATAGATATATAGCCACACTTAATAACAGTTAAAAATAGAAATATGAAATAATACAAAATATAAATGAGATACTGTAGTGTAATCATATCTGAATTTATCTGAAATGGGGGGGGAGGGTGGATCTTTGACAAGCGACCAGCTTCCTGTCTTCATAGAGGCCACTAGAGTCATAGTGGCCTTCAGGTAAATTCAGGTATGATTACACTATATTTTAATTTCCCTCCAGACCCAATTTTTGTGATCCTGGAATACATGGTTGGTGGGAAACTGCAGAGTTACCTGCGGGCATCACGGGCAGACACAGCCTACAATAACTTGCATGGCTCGTCCTCCTCCCTCACGCCAAAGGACCTCACACTCTTCACTTACCAGATTGCCCGTGGCATGGAGTTCCTTGTTCGCAATGGGGTATGTCCATTAGTTATATATTTACCTGATAACCACTGTTTCTAGAGGCACTGTTGGTGACAAAACACCCTTGGCTTGTGAAGGCGTCCCCATTTTTTCTGATGTTTTTTATATTAAAATATACTGTAATACCATTCTTGCTTTATATGGAATACCCTGGTCCCTTCTCCAGTTATAAATACATTATTATTATTATTCACAAACTCATTGTGTTGATTAAAATGCAAGGTCAAAGACATTATGTATAGTCTACTACAGTATATATATATATATATACACATGCATTACTATATCTAAACCAACTAGCAGTCACCAATGATTAATCTTTGTCAGATCATAAGAGGAGTAAGCAAATTTCCATCTTTGTGTACAGTATATACAATACTGAATTGTTGAATAAATACTGATATTATGTGTAAATTAAAAAAACATGACGTTCAGTACCGCACAGTATTATAATATGGGTAAATAATTTTATTATGGCTCACTTCAGATCATTCACCGGGACTTGGCAGCGAGGAACATTCTCGTCGGTGAGGAGAAAATCTGTAAGGTGGCTGACTTTGGCTTTGCCAGGGATGTAGCCAACAACCGTGTCTATGAAAGAAAGAGTGATGGTAGACTACCTATTAGGTGAGAATATATTTAAAACCAAAAGAAGGGAATTAGAGAGATATAGTCTCCACAGGATCAAGAAATGGGAGAGATATTACTTGCCATAGGAGGAGAATTAAATTAATAATTTTCTTCAAGTGTTAAACAGAAAGTATATATTTTTTAAAGGAAAATATCAGGGTTTAAATATATTGAAAATCAACATTTTAAATACTGCACCCAGGATTCGAACCTGGAATTCTCAATTGTGAGTCAAAAATAAACCCCGCCTGTACTACTGTTTTTTCAGACAGTAATTGAGGAATGAAACAATGTAAATGAGAGGGTCATGTATGCCAAAACCATCAAAATATCACAGGCCAAAGTTTATAGATGAAGATAGGATACCACAAACATAGCTCTAATTTTGTAACAACACTTCTGTAACTACTACAACAACTGCCACCATTACAACCACAGTCACAAACAAAACCATAATCACAACCACCACCACTGTGGTGTTGATCCAAGGAATTTTCACAAGGTAATCAGAAGGGTGTGGTACAGTGAATGATGTGCGCTTCATCCAGTCAGTCACACTAAGGCCAGCATTGAATGGGTGACCATATGACCAGTCTGGGTATTAGCAATGGGGGATTTCAGTAACCTATATAGGCTTCAAACCCTCAAACGACTGTATACCAAGGTGTCAACTGTTAGTCTGCGAGGAATAGTTTTACTTGTCTCTTCACTCATTTAATGTCTATATATTTATTTTAAAGATGAATGGCAAAGTTTGCTACTTCCATCATGTGTTCAATGTTTCTTTTGTATTTTGTTTTAACAGATGGATGGCCCCAGAGTCCCTTTTCGATAATATCTTCACCACCAAGTCAGATGTTTGGAGCTTTGGTGTTCTGCTGTGGGAGATTGTTACTCTGGGTGCGTACAAGTACAGTACTGTACTCCTAAGTCGCTCACAAGAATATTGTGATACAAATGCATGCATTATGGCTGCTTTTAACTTTATTGGCTTTATTTTATTATTAGTCTTTACAATTTGTAACTTTTCAAGAAAATTTGTTGGTGTTTACGTGCATGAACGTCAAACTAAGCTTATTTTTGAAACAGATGCAAAGCCTTTAAAGTTTTCTTATAGTTACTCAAGACAGTCAGAATCCAAATGACTTGTTTTATCAGAAAGTAATTAACATGTTCTTCTGCTGGCAGGTTCAACACCATACCCAGGGCTCGGGGCAGTAGAAGTGATGAGGAAGGTGAAAGATGGTTATCGTCTAGAGAAACCTGACCATTGTCGCAGGGAGGTCAGTATTCTAAAGACATTTACAAGTTGTGGAATCCATTTATATAGACTTTTTAAATACTACTGCAGTATATTAAAAAAATTTAACATTTGCAAAAAATTCCACCACATTTAACCTGTTTCAGATATGAGAAATAACTTGCAATATATAATTAGATATCATTTTTTCTCATACAGTATATATTTCAAAGGTACACATATGTAAGTTTCATTATAACATGTTAAATTATTCTAGCTGGTATGCATTATGATTTTTTATGTTAATATTTGGTGTAAGTAATTTATAGTAATGATTTGTATAACACTAACAATTTATATAATATTATTATATTACTGAATTTGTTAATTATTTTTTTAGTAATAGGCAAGGACACAAACGAAAAACATTATAAATATTTACATTAGTAATAATTATTTACCATGCATAATGCACAAAATTTAGAATAATTGTACAATATATAATATAATATATTAATATGCTCAGATTTTAAACTTACTAATATTAAATGCTATTGAGTTCACCAGACCACACACTAGAAGGTGAAACGTCGTCGTCCCTTCACCTTCTAATGTGTGGTCTGGTCAACTTACTTTAGCTACGTTATTGTGACTCATCGCCTGCTTAAATGCTATTAATTTTTTGGGGGAAAGAAATTTCAAAGACTGTGAACCTCATAATTCTCAAGTGTTTAAGGACAGCTTTCTTTGCCGGCACACACACACACACACCTGATGTCTCACACTTCATATGGAGGGATTATACTTTACAGCATTCTCATTACTATCTTCCATACTAATTATTCATTCTCCATAGGTCTACAACATTATGTATTACTGCTGGGACAAGGACCCCAAGGAGAGGCCCTCATTTACTGAGCTCGTACACACTCTAGAGGGACTTCTCATGTCCGAGGTGGAATATATTGAATTGGACCGCTTCCCAGACCACACCTACTACAATGTCATCACTGAGAAGAGTGATGAACTGTTGTAGTGATAGTAAAGTTAATTATTATCAGACAAACTGAGTAAGAGGCACACAAGTTGCTTTTTCATCATAAAGTGAATGTAAAAAAAGTTTGTTTTTATGTGCAGTTTTTGGTTCACATGTCTTTATTGTTATCATTTGAATAAAAAATACACACTCTAATTTCTTTACAGATACACACTCCTTTCAAGAATTTGCAACCTAAATTTAACATAAAAGTTATACGCTGCATGATACTAAGTGCAAAGCTGTCGAGTGTGACCCTAAAACTTCGAGGATAACTTGTGATTCCAAGACTTCGAGGGAGATTATATGATCCCAAAACTTCACATGAGATCCTGTGTAATGTCAAGATTTAAAGAGATGGGGGACTTGTGTGATCCCAAGCAGTCACCCAATATGGCAGCTATCATAGGTTTCAGATTGGAAATTAAAATGACTTGAAGGTTATTTGTACTCAATTGTGGGCCAGGGTTCAAAACTGGGATGTGAAGTATTTCTATGATCTTACTATCTCTTGCCCTACACTCTGTAATCCCTCATGTAGAGTAGGGTAACAATACACTCATTTGTACCTAAACTTTTTAATAACAAAATTGTGATGTGAAGTTGTTAGAACTATGCCTCAATAAATACACCAAGTTAAATAATAAATGAATATTTTGTCTGTATCTTGAACTGAATATTTGTTGTTCATATGTACCCATGAACAAAATAATGTTTTTACACTTAGTTACAAAATGGCTCTCAGTAAGGAAATATCATAGCTGCGTTATGAATCTATGAATTTTTTGGATGTGTGTATATATTGGTATTGGAATATATATATAGATATAGTACTGTACTAAAGCAGTGGATTGCCTGTTCAGTGTACAGCACTGTACCTCAAAAAGGATTTTTAGTTGATGTAGTGTACATGAGCTTCTCTGAAGCTTTTGATAATGTAGCACATGGAAAATTGAACTTAGAAACTACAAGCTCATAAAATTAATGGTAAAATACCAGAATGGATAAAACAGTTGTTAAAACAAAGAGAGTGAAGGGTTGTCCTAAAGGAAAAAGAATCTGGCAGGAAAAATGTTGAGTGTAGTAGAGGTTGCAGTAAACTGTTATCCCAGAACTAAGTCAAACTCCCAAACCAGGACGCATTGGGGGCTTCTCGACTATGTACATAACGAACCACACGCGACGGCTGATCACATTAAGATTTTTAACCTGTTGAACCTTAGCTCATTCCCCCTGCCAACCTTCTGTTCTGTTCTCCCTGCCCCCCTTTCCCCTAGCCCTCTCCCTCTGTCCTACACTGTGGCTTGTGGAGCTTGGTGCTGTTGCTCCTTCTGTGAGTTATATTGAACCTTTTAAAGTAGTGGCATGGATCAATATCTTGTAATTTGTTCAATATTTTAATAATGTACTTGTTTCTTTTGTTCATTTGTTTAATTTTTACGAAGTTATTAGGTATAACCAGAGGAACTATCTTACATTATCAGTGAATTAATGAATTTGTCTCCAATATTTGTTGTATTTCATCCCAATTATCCAGCATTTCATTAAACCAGGATCCATAATGTTGACTGAATAATTAATGGCCATATGAATTTAATCAACTTTAAAATAAATTTGCCTTCTTTATCTTTGCTCTACTTTATATAAATAAACGGGTTTTAAAATCAGGGCTAAATTGATATTAAAGTCTATAAAATATATTTGCCCTATTTTATCTTACCGCTGAAATAGTAAATATAACCCCATAATTCCAAGGTGTTGTGCTCCCTGTCATTTTACTTTAGAAATATTATTGTATATTTACAAAGAATATGTAGTTACAATTCTTATCTGCTGTGATGGTGAACCTCAGGGTGATTATAAAGGTACTGTACACAACACTGCATGTTAGTGGCTTTGGGAGACTGTACCAATTAATTACCATAACCTTGTAATAACATTGTACTGTTCCTTGTATATAAATAAATACAAATATATAAATTTCTGGTAACTGTTCTCCCAGGACATCGTCTTTACTGTTAGGTATCCACAGTCAGCCCGTCCTCCCAAGTTTTCCCTCTCACAAAAATGATATATTAAATTGCTTGAACCTAACTGAACCGAGGACCAATGAATAGAATACAGAACAGCCTGTCAATTTAACAAGCCGCTATGATTTATAGTACTGTACATCGTATTTTGTCCGTTGGGGATTTATGCATCAAAATTGCAGTGTACTATTTGAGAGGACAGGCTGCCACAATAGGGATACTTTATAGTTTTGTAATGCTTATTTTTATTTCCTTACATATTGTTATAAATGAGTGTTGAATTACAGTAACATCGCTTGATCAACTGTTATCAAAACACATCCATTTGACCTTCAGTGAGATGTCTTCAGTTAGCTAGTTTAGCTCATTTATTATGCACCCCATACCCATCTTGTGGACAGTAGCGGAAAGGGTTACAAAGGCATATAATGGGCTCAGGGACTGAACCCCCCAATTCATTTAGCAAAGCAAGTTACAATCTTAATGAGCTAGTTTTTCAATATAAATTCAATATAAGTCATCACAAGTCTTCAATTGTATGTATTTTGGTCATAATGCGAGCATATCTATTATTTCATGTTTATACTGGACAGTGCTGTAGCTTCTAGTTACAGCTATGAAAAATATTGAATTTAAAAAACAATTCCCCATTATGTATTTGATATATTGGAACAAAAAGCTGTAAGAAACCCATCATAATTAATTTTTTTTAACAAATTTTATTGATGTGAGGTTGTATAGGGTGATAACTACATGCTTGTGATAGACGTACCCTTTTCCAGTGGCAATATCCAGGCTATACTACTGTTATAGTATAGTCACTGTTGACTATAGTCAACCGTGTCACTGCAGGTAATGCTGTAGTATATTGTTTAAGGCACTCTTGCTTTATTCTTTGTTGTTATATTTTCAACACGATAATGCTTACGTATTTTAGATCTTATTGTTATTTTGTTGTTGTTATATTGCCTATTGGCTTTCTTGTTATTTCTCTGTGTACTTCCTCAGTGACTTCAATTTAAGTGCACACTCACCAGGTATCCTATGTCCAACCACTTGGGCTGGACGGTAGAGCGACGGTCTCGCTTCATGCAGGCCGGCGTTCAATCCCCGACCGTCCAAGTGGTTGGGCACTATTCCTACCCATCCTCCCATCTCAAATGCTTATCCTGATCCCTTCCAAGTGCTATATAGTCGCAATGGCTTGGCGCTTTTCCCTGATAATTCCCTCCCTCACCAGGTATCCTCAAGAAAACACCAAAAACTAATTATCACAAGTAACCAGTCTCATTTTTGTCACACATCTGACATTGTAAGAATATAGGTGCGGGATATGTGTTTAGGATGCGAGGTACCCAAGTTTGAGGTAGGCAGTATAAACTTAGGATGTGAAGCACTTAATGGAATGAAGTACTTAAGTTACAGGTGCGTGATATAAACTTTAGATGTGAAGCACCCAAGTTACAGGTGCATGACAAATATATAGGATGTAACGCATTCATCACTATAATCACTAAATCGTGCAATTTATGTGTCTGTTTAATGATCAACTTACGTTTACATTCTCTGAATTATTTTTTCTCGTGAAACAAGTGTATCTCAGAATTCTTGTTTCATATACAGTGGCACCTCGATTAATGAGTTTAATCCGTTCCGGCACCGAGCTCATCATATGGAAAACTCGTCTTACAAAACAACAACAAAACTGTTGTAAAAGGTGTCTGAGAACCAGCGGAAATGCTCGTTAATCGAGGAAAAGCTCGTTAGTAGAAACAAATGTTCTGTGAGTGGCTCGCTCGTTACTCGAAATGCTCGTAGATAGAGCCGCTCGTTAATCGAGGTGCCACTGTATATTGTATCCTATTTAGGTACTTATTGTTGGTCAATATTAACCTCATATACTCAGATTGAAAGAAATATAAATAGTGGTATGACACAGCAAAAGGCTTTGTTGACCCTTTAAGTACAATAATAATCTTTCAGGTAATATATTTCAGAACATTAAAATATCTTAATACAGCAGATTATAAGAGCTTTATGTAAACTTTGAAATACTGTATAATGTCTTTAATGTGTTTAAATTCACAACAATATAATTCAAACTATTAAGAATACAGTTTTGTATTCACATAAATTAATAATTTAAATAAATACAGTACAGTAATAGAGAAAAAACACTAAACATCTACAGTACTGTATATCAAAATGATATTCTGGAAAGAAAAGTTTAAATCAATTTACAATTACTGTAGTTTATTAATTCTGTTTGTGTTACAATACACAAATCTTTACACTATAATGTGATTCCATTTTATATGTAACATTGTAGTCATTTATATGTTCTACTGAATTGTTCAAATTTTATTTGTGGCAATGCTGAATTGACCACAACATAGAAATATTTATAACCTGATTGGAGTTTTACTTCAGTTATATAAATGTAAGAAAATAAATTTTGATATACAGTACATATGTTCTGTTTTGAGATGTGCATGATCAGTATGTTTTGGTCTAGGGATGAGTGTAGAATGTTCTCTCACAGTTGTAATACAGTCAACAGTAATATATGTTATTTATCTTGAATAGTTAATAAATACAGTACTGTACTATATAATGTTATATTTGTACATATGTTTTATACATGGATAAAAATATATACCAAAAGATGCTAGCATATGTTTATTTTTTTCCATTTAGTATGAATATTTAATTAGAAGAATAATTTCCTTTCAATTCACGGGAGAAAGAATACACCCCAAGAGGTGTATACGACTGTTCAGTGTATTCTTTTAATTTCAGTTCTTTTCATTCTCGGTCAATTCATTTAATTTAAAATTTGTGGGATGGGTGTCTTATTTTTCAACCATGTTTTTGTGACTTATTGTCTTCATAAAATATTTCTTTTAAGAGAGTCTTGTTTGCTGACTTTCTTTTATACAGGATACAGAAATTTGGACAACTTGACTACTGTTTATTTTCACGATAGAATGAGACAAATAAAGGCAAGGGGGTACATATATCACATGTTAGGGAGTCTGACCACCACTCCCTTACCATCTCACTTAGGTGTGACGGCAGTTTTATCAGTTCAGAGGTACTGTATAGTTCTTGAAAGGTGGTCAGAGTTCAAAATGTTCCTTAATGTATGGGTTGATTAATAACAAAGGCTATAAAAGGCCAGTGCAATGAATTTAATATGACATTTTTCAAAACAATAAAATATATATGCAAACGTTTAACATCTGATGACTAAATATAATTGCTAAGACTGCACTGTTAATACTGTATATTTGGTGCTAACATTTATTTTTAATTCTTCATTATATGAATACAAAGGGACTTTTTACAACTATTATCAACAGTATTTTTGTTATATAAAGTACAGCCCACTTGAGCACTTGACATAAAACTTGTTGTATATAAATAAATCTGTGTACTTGTGATATCCTGAAAGATTTTAGCCACCATTTGAAAAATAAAAAAAAACATACAATTCTTATTCATTACATGAACTACATCTTTATCAAATACTTTGATGTTTATTGTAACTTATATAGATACAGTTACAATACACAATGAATAACACTTGTACAGGGTGGGGTGAAATAAGATGATGCTTCACAAGAATAGTGGGAATTTGAGGTACTAATGTGGGACGGGGTTGATTTTTATTTTTAAGTTAGAGTTCAACTTTGTGCTCCTTTTTAGTTTGGTATGTTTCACTCTACTGTAAACACGTTATTGTCTGCTACATATGGAAATACTGTACCGTAGTTCTAATTCTCTACAGATAATTACTGTCTTAGATCACATTTATTCTCCAACCCTCTTGGTTAACCAGTTTATGCCCATTGTAATGATTTACAGCTTTCTTTGGTGAATGGAGTTCAACAAAGGATAAGAGCTGGAAGTAATGTGGAAGTCTTGTGGAGAGCTTAATTGAAACAAGAATGAAACATGTATTAAGTTACTGTTCCTGACCTCTTCTACATACAGTAAATGCAAGTTTATAACAAAATAAACAAAAATTGATGAAGTAAAAACTCATAACTTCTACAAATGCACACAAATACATCAATTTAAGAGGAGTATGACAATGTTGTAATGAGGAAAAAAGAGATGTGGCAAATATGAGAAGAATTTCTGGGAATCAGTTATAAACTTATAATGTGACTGAAACATGTAATACTGCAATAATAGTACAGTACTGTACTAGATTTATATGAAACCTAATAACAGGCCCTTGCAAACAAGCAGTTAACTGTGTGGTCATCACTGCTTTCCATCCCCTGGCGGCAGCGCATCTGTACCTCGGGGTTCCCCAGTCTGGAGGTTTTCATCTACTTTCTGAATGTCATTTCAGTCAGCAGATAGGGAATGAATTTCCATAGAATTTGGCTTGTTTTCACCCTATAATAAAGCATAATACTATACTGTATTATGATCCCACAAAGCTAATTGCCCATAAATAAAACATATTGTTATGGGCCCTCGTAGCCTGAAGGTTAATATTTTTATATAGTTTAGCATTATCGAAGCTTCTCCAGCATGGTTTTTCACACAGATTTGTTAAGGCAGTCCATGCATAGATTTTCTGCATACAAGGCCTTTTCTGCTATGTCTTGCTTCAATATCTGAGCTCGAAGTTTCTATAGGTGTGATGAAGCAACTACCACCATCACTTGTGCTTCTGGTGTGTGACTCTTTTCACACTGTCACCACTGTTACTACACAGTTTCTTTGCCTACAGCAACTGTGCTGGTGCACTCACCTCCCAGCCTGTCTCTTCCAGTCTGTATCATCTTCATTCTTCAGCATTCTTTGAGCACCACTCTATACACAGGTGAGTTTTTCTGCATTTCTTTCTATTTTAGCCTCAGTTTTTTAATGTTTATCTTATGGAGCAACAGAATGTGACAACCCAGAAATAAGTCAGCTTCGAGTCACTGAAGCAGTCATTGAATAAAATTATGTGACGGATTTTATTTAATAACTGCTTAGCACTTCTAATGACCCAGGAAGGATTGTGTGAAATGTTTCCTTTGATGCTGAGTATGTTTTCCTACCTGACTTCATATGATTCTGGTCTTATGATACAGCAGATCTTACCTTATAATAGGAGTAACCGAATGATTCTGCATGTTTCACATTAATTCAATGCTGATGCCTCATCACCCCAGGAAAACAGTGTAATGATGATGATGATGACTGACCTCCAGTGATCATTGCACATCTGGCTACAATATCCTTGGGAAATTGAAGAGACAATTAGTTACAGTTCATTCTTCACATTTTTGATGATCATAAAGAAGCCTATGCTTAATATTCTCACCACAAAACAAAACTTATCATAGTGTGAACTGACCGATAGTGTACAGATTTTGATGTCAATTTAATCATTTTTCTTTGGACAAAAGTAGATATATTTCACATTCAGGTAAAAAATAATTAAATATTTTCTTTTCAATAATTTCTGCTCTATATGTTAGAATTATCTTGAAGGCACCAGAAGGGTAGGATCACTCATATAGAAATAAAGATAGTACAGTAAACATGTTTTGCAATGTTATAGGGGGTATATATTTTAGAAATTGATTTCTTGTTAAAAATATTTGGCTGCATATTACAGCATCAGCTCTACACCAAATCAATCAAAGTTTGTAAAGATTTGGTTAAACCATGAAAAAATAGGGAAAACATAGTGGCTTATAACATCCCAACTACTGTACTGTATTAACACCCTCGCTATGTACTCGGGTCGTCAACACTACTTGTATCGGAACCTATGTCACTGAAGCCTGAGAAAGATTCATCGCAAGTACTATCACTGAACAAACTTGTGTCAGAGGACACACATAGTGGTGGTGACTCTAACGGTGTTGACCCAGGGTGGCGAGGCAGGCTGGGTGAGGCGTGTGTACTGTACACACTTGCGACATCATCCACCTCAGTCTCTCCCTCACTCATATCAGACCTCTGTGTAAGGTCTTTCTCTGGATCATAGTCTACGTCATCATCCATAGCAGCATCATCAGACAAAATGTCGCGTATTTCCTCCTCAGAGAGTCGTTTTCCATGACTGCTGGTGACCGAAGAGCGGGAGCTCATGGACGATGCGTCAGACATGGTTGCTTCTTTGAAATTGAGGCTCCCCATGGCCACAGGACATGCTGGGATTTTTTTCAAGATGACGGACAATTACTGGGGCTCCCAGGCATCCATTTTGTACCCGCATCACCGCGCCAGTTTTGAATGGAACTCTAAAAATATAAGATCCCGGAGGCACATTACGCACCCCTCGTCGAGCGCCTGCAGGTGCGTTGCGCAGTTCAGTGGTTAAGCCAGCTTTATCATGTTAATACATCTGTTTTTCAATATGAAGATAATGCATGGATATATTCTAACAATCTTATCTAGAAATTGACAAGACAATGCCGAAATATAGTACCTAAATTGGTGAGCCAACTGTGTACAGTACCTAAACTGGTGAGGCAACCATGTACAGTACCTAAATTGGTGAGCCAACTGTATACAGTACCTAAGCTGGTGAACCAACCGTGTACAGCACTTAAACTGGTGAACCAACCGTGTACAGTACCTAAACTGATGAACCAACTGTGTACAGTACCTAAACTGGTGAGTCAACCGTATACAGTACCTAAACTGATGAACCAACCGTGTACAGCACTTAAAACTGGTGAACCAACCGTGTACAGTACCTAAACTGATGAACCAACTGTGTACAGTACCTAAACTGGTGAGTCAACCGTATACAGTACCTAAACTGATGAACCAACTGTGTACAGTAGAGTCAAAACTCAAATTCCATTGTAATCATGTGGTATGATTTTCTTTGCAGACTTGTACATTAAGCATCACTTTCAATATACTATATAACATCATCAACAGCAACAACATACTTAAGTAAAAGCTCTTGGTAATACATATCTTGCAAGATATACAGTACTGTATTACATTTGTAAAGAGATATACTGTATTCTCTTTACTGAAATTATAGGTAATGTAGAGTAACGGATTATTTACCACATTCTTCAACAAACACCCAGCCTATTTTTTTAACATGCTAACTGCATAATGGTTAGTGTTGTACTCAACAGTTATAATCAAAGGTGTTGTACCAAGTTGTAATCAAGTTAGTTGTAATCAAGTTGTTGTAATCAAGTTAGTGTTGTACTCAACAGTTATAATCAAAGGAAAATATTTTCTTTTGGTACTGAAATACTGTAAATAAACATTTGATGTGAAGCAGTATATTCTGTGGCAAGATCTGCAAACCATTTCCCAACATCTTAAAACTCAAAAATATTTAAATGCTGATTTCTGTTTTTAAGTTGAAATTAAGTTTATTTTGCTTTACATGATTATGGATGCCAGACAGTAGATTACAAGTGCTCTGGAAGATCAAGAACATATAAATATCACACATTTGTCCAAGTAATTAAGAGTACTGTATGTGAAATAAATACTAGAAATAATTAGAGCACTTTACAGTACAAAGATCCTATTAAGAAGAATGTGGCATTACATTTTAATGCATCATTACTACTTTAAAAAAATTATCTTTGGTGAAAAGGAATATAAAAAGACATTGCATAATACTGGCTCTTATCTAAAAATGTCATTTATGGACAATATTCATTATTTTAAAATTGTACATATTTCTAGCTACTACTGACGGACTTAATTACTCTGTATAACACTCAACAGGCAGAGTCTTTGTCAGACATGGCAGTAAAAGCTGTGGTGTGGATATACATGCTAATCCATTCTAAATCTTTAATCAAACCAACTACAAAACTCTATACTCATGCTACACATTAATTTTCACTATACGTACTTTCATGGAACAATTTACCCATTTTTTTTCAAATGCAACCCATCCTCCTGTGGATAGTGCTTTCTGTAAAATGTGCACCATCGTACATATATTGACATAATTTGACAGTTAGATAGTAGAATTTGGTACTATTCACATTATATGAGTGAGAAAAATAAAGCTAAAAACAAACTTACCATAAATATTCCTTAGCCTAGTATAGCACATATGTGTATTATATTAGGCCTCAGATAGTAGGATTAGGATAGTTAGGCTAGGTTTTATTAGCAACAAATACAAAACCTCTTCCAATTTGTTCAAATTCAATAGTTCCAAAATCTACTTTCTATTTGTCCATTTTGTCAACACGGTACTGTATATCAATATATGTACGATCATCCACATTGTTACTATAAGTACTGTACTGTCTAAACAGGATGATGGGCTGTAAAAATAATATTTCAATCATGCTTAACTAATTCCTCACTTAGGCAAGAGCCAACCCACAGTCTCACCTAAAGTGTACTGTACTACCTCAAGCAGAAGGTCAATACCTTGAGCTGCAAGAGGCAGTTGTGATATGCTGTAAGTCACGACCTGTAACCTGTAACCAAGCCAATCGGTAACCACCACAGATGACAAACCTGTAATCATCACTGATGAGATTCTGTAACCAACATTGCCGAAACACACCTGTAACCATCACTGATGAAACACGTATATATAACTAGAGTATCACAGATGAGACACCTGTAATCATCACTGTTATGGCTATACCATCATGCTGGAGCACTCACTGTGCTTCATCTTGTATTTAATAATTGGAATAACATTGAATTGAAATGCTTTGTATACAAGTGTACCACATACTAATGGGGTAGGGATAATTCTAATGTGACTCAATAAAATGAGTTTGTACAGAGTTACAGATATGAAGATTATACAAATAACATCCTAACTGTTGCTTTTTTATGCTTCCAAATTTCAGTACACCATATTGTATACAGTTTATCTAATAGACTAAATCAATATACAGTATATGTAAAAGAGAAAATGATATAGATATAGCAATTAAAATTGTATTTCCATAGAATCAAGAAATTTTATTCAATTGATATATTACTGATGGTATAAGTAACCCATAAATTAGAAAGCCTAAATTACACTAGATTAAACAATTTTACTGTCATGCAGGCGATGAGTCACAATAACGTGGCTGAAGAATGTTGACCAGACCACACACTAGAAGGTGAAGGGACGACGACGTTTCGGTCAGTCCTGGACCATTCTCAAGTCGATCACAATCGACTTGAGAATGGTCCAGGACAGACCGAAACGTCGTCGTCCCTTCACCTTCTAGTGTGTGGTTTGGTCAACATTTTACTGTCATTTTATCCTCCTTTAAAAAGCTGTTTGTAAGTAGTCAAGGTAATCTCGGAAGAACTGCACACCACATTACGCTAGTTTAATTAGGTATTCATTTATTTAGGCCACATGAAATTCTATCTACAGTGGTGCATAATATATAATCTCCAGAAACTTGGGTATTTACTCCTTCATCATTATAACATACAAGAGTTATTCTTTTTATTAAAAACAAGCATTAATGAAAATGTTCACGAAGACACACATTTGGACCCTCTGTACAAACATTACAAATGCCTACACAAAATGTTGCAGAGAATTAAAATACACAAATTATATTACCCCATGTGTATGTTAGAATTTCCAAGAACCTTTGCTTAATAAAACAAGAATTCCCAAGAACTTCTTGCTTGATAAAATTTAAATCAAAATGGTAAATATTGTACTGTACTCTAAAAAAATTATGTTCCAGGAAATAAAGTCATCGAAATCTATAAAATCAGTGTAGGAACAAATCAAGTACCAAGATGGTCATGGCCTATTATGTAAGGCAACTAACACAGAGAAATTTTATGCTGCCCAGATACATTATTGCAAATTAGTAATGGCTGCTAAAGTGCTACACTTTCTATAAACTGTTTTCTTGTTTTTAAAAGCAATACATATTTGTATTACTGTCATTTCAATGCCATAAATTTTCACATAGTTATCAATTTCTATATTCCATGTACAGTATATTGTATCAATAACTCATGTTACGATGTGCCATACAGTAACAGCACATTAAATGTCACTAAACAGAGCCTAAAAGCCTCAGAGGTACACAAAGCCACGGTCTAATAAATAAGACTATGTTTCCATAATTTTTTTATGACATTCTCATTCTCATTTTCATACATTTTCTTCCCACCATCGTTTAAAGTGACATTATAACACTAACCTTAAAGCTGCCCTTTGCATCCTATATACAACAGGGAAACAATCATTCATATTAATCTCAAAAGGCCATGTGTACAGTATATCTAAATTATCTATTTTCTATAGGCACACTAGTTCTGATAATACTGCTTTGTTTTCAAACATTAATTATATAATACTGTATAACAATGGATGGAACACAACAATCAAAGGTCTCACAAGTAAACACATTACTAATCATGCTATGAACAGGTAAAAGGTAATAGTCAGGAGAAAGCACTAAGCCATTATGGCTATATAGCCCTTGGATGGGAAGAGGATAAGGATTTAGGAAAGGATAGAAGGAATGGTACTCAACAAATTGGACGGTTGGGGAATTGAACACCAACCTGTAAGCAGTGAGCCATCCAGTCTCTCAACCATCCATCAAGTGCTGGAATTAAAAATTCAGCTGGGTAAAATCATCAGGATAAATGGAGGGACCTTTGACAAGTCACCGGCTTCCTGTCTTTGTCGAGGCCACTAGCGAGATGTGGCCCTCAGGTAAATTCAGGATCATATGAAAAGGATGGAAGGGACCTGCTCATAGCACAAATGGTAATTTGTCAACTTGAGAGATTTTTGGCTGCGAGTTAAATTCCCCTCAGTACCCTTTTGACTTTCAAAGTGTTATATTCACACCGGTGTGAATTTCAAGAAGTAATAACACTATATTTTGTATTTTCTAGAGTGTAGGGGTGGGGGGTAGGGAGGGAAGACAAAAGATGAAAAGAAGTACTAGGAAAAAGTGAAGGCACAGGAGATGAGGAGATATGTGAAGTTGAAAGATGTACTAAGATCCCTTGATATAGAGGTCCTTGTATAGTAAAAGAGGAGTTTAAAGACAAAAGTGAGGGATGTCAATATTTTCTTTTCCCTCTATAGACATTTACACTTCTTAATTTTTGAAGATTTTAACAGTAAAAACTGCTGAAAAGCAACTTCAGTTTTTATCAATCAACTACTAATTAAAATAAAATGTATACATCCTGCTCTTGAATTATTGTAAATATAAATACTGTATGTATCATTCTGCCATATATATAATCATATAATCTTTGGAGTAATAAATCTTTACATATCTAATCAAACAGGAAAATACACATCTAAACACTCTAAGTAAACTTAACAATTCAATGAAAATTATAAATACTTGTGTGTCAATTAATTACAATCATATATTGCATATAAACTGGATACTAAGCATGAGACTTGAGCTTCCAAGACAGTTCAAAGTTCAATAAACACATCATATCCTGCTTGAGCAGTATTCTTAATCTACAATAAAAGAACCAGCTCCTCAGAGTACTGGGGATACATATATGGATAGAACGCCAAAGGAGTGTAATCAAAATAATAAACCCGCTTCCTTTCAAAAGGATACTAAATGTGGAACCATAAAACTATATACAGGTATATACATCTAATGATACTGCTTGACTTTTTTGTATAACAAGCTTACTTAGCCTTGAATTGTCAAAATATAAACGCAAGACACACACACACACATGTATCAGCACAGTAAACAAACTCTCTCGCCTCTTACACACCAGCTGTGAGAGGAACACAGCCACACTAAGTAGCTTCATAATGGTCAAACTTCTCTTGTAACAGCATAATAAAACATTCTTTGCATATATAAATATATACACAGTATCAGGTTGTATCTAAACATTGAAGAAATAGCTTTAAATATTGACGAAACATTTAACTGAAAAGCTACTTTACAAACTTCTAATGTCTTGTCTTTTTTTAAAAGTAAAAACTCCAATACTACCAGTCATTATAGTTACGGTAGTTAAATTTTGATATATTTGTATCTAAATTATTGTTATATTATACAGTATATATTTTAATTTTGATCAAATTAAAATGAAAATATAAATGTTTAACTTTGAATATAACCTTTAGATATATACACTATATAAAGAATGAGGAAAACTAAATTTAAAATTTAATTCCAGAGTACATAATTGAATTGAATTTCTAAATTTCATTAAATTTCATTCATTAACAAAAATCATGATTAATGTGTTCCTGTGATAGGTAAGAAGTTTATTGGATATCTTGCAAAGTTTTTGCAAAGCTTATGAAGCCACGAGTGAATATATCTGCCCCTCTCCAGCATTATTTTCCCGGCTTGTGTAAGATGTAAGGCGGAGATTGTCTTTGCAAGTTATTTCATTTTCATCGATCCAATTACTGTATAAGATAAGAAGGCATATTTATTCAGATTCTGTTATCACTAGAGAAGATTAAGTAATTGAATAAGTAGTCTAATCCAGAGATCAATATTTGTAACACTGACAAATAAATAACAATAGAATTTATATTTTATTTAAAAAAAAAAGAGGGCAAAAGACCCTATGATTGTTCCAGTGGCAAACCCAGAGAAGGATAAAAAGGGGGACCCATTTCCTAACCTTTGTGCATTACAGAAATGGTATTTAATAATCTACTACAGTATATCTAGCCATGCCCTTTGAAGTATAAAATCATAAAAATTACAAAGAGCATTTTCAATAACTAAACCAATGTGCACTGAGCTCCCATGTTAACTCTAGTGTCTCATTCACTACTACAATCATCCAACACAAAATGATTTTATAGTTATTATATAACAGTTATGGAGGCTGACAAAGAGCCGCTCAACACTACTGTCCTCCAAAAATGATAGCACCTATAGCTACTATGGATGACATGTATAAAGTATGGACTATTGCAAATTAAGTCCACGTTTTGTACTATCAATTTTGTTGAGGGCCCAAGAATAAGGTAACCAAACCTAAATTTTCCTAGGCCTAGTACAGTACATAAATATACTAAGGCAGACCTAAAATTGCATATATAAGAACTAGGATTGCTTATTTAGGCCTAGGACAGGTTAGATTCAGTGTATTGTTAGGTTGTTTCAATTTTTTATGGCCTCTAAAGTTCCAATGGTACAAAACATGGACCTTCTTTGTGCAACAGTCCATATTTTGTACCTAACGTCCACAGTAGTTATGTGAACTATCACTTTTGGAGGACGCATTGTAATACATCTCTCCCTATATACACAAGAACACAGGAAATTGCACAATGAACTCACATTAATGTGATCAATATGTATCGATTATTGATACATTAACATTACATTACATTATACATTAACGTGTACAGTATCAATGAGAAAATCAGTAGGAGCCGTGAGGAGGATTCGTACCCGCTCAGTTGGTACTGCCAAGTTCCCAAGCTAGCAATTTCCTTCAACACAGAAAATTGTTGGCATTAAATGATTACATATGATAATACATGTTATGCTGCATATGTACCTTTACCTTGAAGTTACCTTGAAGTTACCTTGAGGTGATTTCGGAGCTTAGCAACCCCGCGGCCTGGTTGTTGACCAGGCCTCCTCGCTGCTGGACTTGTCAACCAGGCTGTTGGATGCGGCTGCTCGTAGCCTACCATTTGAGTCACAGCCTGGTTGATCAGGTATCGAATAATACTTTTAATACTTATAATACTGTAACCTAGGCAATGGGAATAGGTTGTGCTAATCAGCCAAGGGAAAGTAGTTGTCTTTCCCTGCTAAGAGAAACAGCTTCTGTCTCCTAGTCAAAGGGGATGGGATTCTGTTTCTCAACAAAGTGGGAGAAGTTATGTTCCCCAACCAAGAAGAAAAGTGATTTGGAAAGGTTGAGTTCCCCAGAAGGTGCTTCTCTGGCCCTGCCCCAGTGTCCCTTATAGCAAGAAATATATTGTATCACCTGCATGCCTCTAAAAGGTCGGCAACAACCCCACAAAGCTATAACTTCATATCATAATTAATATTTTAAAATTAACAGATGTCAAACTGGGAACTGGGAAATATATATGAAATTATATTTATACAAACATACCATTAATTTCCAGTTACCGCATGACAAATATAAAATAACTATACAGTAATTCAGTAACCCGTATCTATAGGTTACATGAGTTACATGAAGAAATGCTTTGATCCACATTTTCTTCAAAGGAATGCACCAGTGATAAGACTCCCTTAAAATGCAGGTTTCTCACATGATAATGTGTCACCACTCATTTCTTTTAAGCAAATTATTGTAATTGTTGCTGTAACCTTAATAATTGAAATTGTCTTTATCCTACATAATTTTCTTAGTCATGCTCATTAGTCACATATAACATAATGTATACACAGTGTACAGTGATCTAATCACCTCATGATGTTGGCACATTGTTTGAATATGCTATGATATTGTTTCCTATTATAAATGTTCACTGAAACCTATTACAGATACAAAATTATTGATTTATTAACCTTATGAGTATTGTTTACTTAAATGATCAACTTCATTATTATTCATCATTAGCACACACTGAGAAGTCTAGTTCATATATAATTCATCTCTAACAAACAAGAACCTGACTTATAATACTGACTTATAAGAGACATTGTACACAACTTTATGTTAGCTAATCAACTTCAAAACTATTCTTGACCTCCCTTTTCCATTTCTATACGTGGTGTTCTCATAAATTTGGATGACAGGGAAATCACTAGTAAAAGGAATGTACAAAAATCTGCCTTCATCTAACGTTATCTAAAGTCTTTTTTTACAGTTTATCTGCTTCTAATTATAAAATACTCTAACTCAATATTAGAACTAGGGTTGCTCCTCAGGTATAAAATTAATATAATGAGCCTCTGCGCATGTATTTGTCACTTGTACGCAGGAGTTGGAGGGATACGCCAAGATTGAAATTCTTGAGCTCGTTATTTAGTAATGTTTTGAGTACAAAACCAAGATAATCTTCCAGATTCTGCTTTTCTCTTCTGAGCAGATCAGTAAGTATGGAATTTACAACTTTGCTAACGAGGGCCCCTCCAGTCATATGTGAGAGGCGACATTGTACACTCTCTAGGATAAGTTCACTGCTCAGATCTCTCACCTCAAGACGTCCACGACATTCTTTCAACTTTACACGAAGAGTGACCTGAGAAGCAGATACCAATACTGTGGTCACTATTAAGAAATACTGTAGTCTTAAAATAATATTAGTGAGAATTATCGCTCAAACTAAAGATGAATACTGTACAGTATATTGATTCAGGAGTTATGGTTTAGTCCCATAAACACAACTAGGTAAAAATATGTACACACACATTTTATTCAAAGCGTTATATGACAAAGAGTACTGGGAAGACGGGACACCACTAGCGTAGCTCTCATCCTGTAACTACACTTAGGTAATTACACAAATATTAGAAAGTTCTCTTTTGTAAACAGGGTGGTAGACAGTTGGAACAAGTTGAGTGAGAAGGCAGTGGATGTTAACCCATTAGTAATTTCAAAGTGACAAGACAAAGAGTACTGTGAAGACAGGCCACCATGGGCATAGTTCTCATCCTGTAACTACACTTAAGTAATTACACACACATACATACAAAGAAGAATTTTAAAAACTGAAACTTCAAGGACAGGAAGACAGGTTAAATTTAAAGAAACAAAGCTGCCAAAAACACATTAGAAAGTTCACTTTTGCAGAGTGGTAGACGGCTGGAATAAGTTAAGTGAGGTGGTGGAAGCCAAAACTGTCAGTACAGTAGTTTTAAAGCATCATATGACAAAGAGAACTGGGAAGATAGGACACCACAAGCATAGTTCTCATCCTGTAACTGCACTTAGGTAATTACACAAACTTACAAGCACTTAAAGAAATAATGATGTACTGAACTTAAAAGGATTAGAATTAAGATGCAATAAAACAGTAGCTAGATTTTATAGATACTGTACAGAGAAGCGATATGGTTTGAAAGAAGGCCAAAGAAATAGGAAGACATTATTGATGAATCAAAATTCCTCTGAAGTTGAAAAACAAGGTATAAATTTATACTATCTACCTGCACTATAGTACTAAAGTAGGGAGTGGAAAGAGAAATAGAGGCTCAACCTTAATAACAAAGTGTTAAATCATAGGTATATATTGATATATAAAACCAGACATAATGCTCTAAAGAACCTAATGAGATTGAATCTGTATAAATAATTAAAGAATGTGGCGGTACAATTATTAAATATGCCATAGAAGAGGATGAAATATCACCAAGGGATATTAAAGGAGTGTGCTGCAGAGCTTAACTATCTGCTCTGGAATGTTTTCTGAGTTTCTCTCCAGGAAAGTAAATTGCTGGAGAAATGGAAAATGGCAGACACTGTGCCAGTCAATAAAAATGTGTACATAATTGGTAAAATGGAAAAAGCCTTTAGAGAGGTCACAATAAGGAAATGACTATGCATGCAGATAATGCAAACTTTTGTACAAAATAAATACTGTAATACAGATTATTAAACCCTTCAAATGGGTTGATTAAAGAGAGCACAATGTTCCAACAATGTTCGTGGAAAATCCAATGATAATTGTCTATGGCTGAAGATGACATTGTGCATATTTAAATATGATAGAATAGAACATAATCTTAATTTGTAAAAAATATGTAATCTATAATTATAAACAAAATCTAAATTATAAAAAATCTAAATATCTATAGACAGATTTTGTACTGTAATCACCAAGATGATTATTATTATTATTACTATTATTATTAGTAGTAGTAGTATTACAGTACAGTATTATTATTGTATTAGTTGTTTTTAGTCTATACAGTGGTTATATTAAGTGTTAATGTGAATCACTTATGTAGTGTATTTTAACTCTGAGTCATATTAAAATTACAGTACTGTATATCATGTAAGGCTGATGGTGCAGTTATTTACCTTTGCGTTATTAGTTGTAACTGTGAATGGCCCTCGAGCTGAGAGTGGTATCACCTTCACAAGCTTACCCTGCAGGTCATATTCTCCATCAAGAAGAAGTGTGTCGATGCTAAGACTAATTGTTACCGTTAGCAACTGAACATTCACTCGTACATCTTCTATAATGAACTCAGAGAGACCCTGCAAATTAAAGGTACAGTATCAATTGAGTATTTTTTCTTTATTAACTCTTATGAGTATAAGAGATGTAGTCCTCTGATGTTTGTTTGGAGGCTAACAGCTCTCCCTACCACAATACATTTTAAATCCTTACTCTACTTGTTATCCTCAAACAATATTACTGACCAATTATTTTAACATTTGCATGAATGCACTTCATTTCTTTCCTATCCTTAAGCTCACTTTTAATTTATATTAATATAAAGTAACCTATGCAAAAAGTAATAAAAAGTAAGCTTACTGCACCAGAAGTTTGGGTAGTAAATGATCAGCATCTCACAGAGAACTAAGTCAGGAGAGAAACCTTACCGAAAGGCCCATATTGTAGAGTTTGATGGCAATGTTGAGCGCAGGGTGCTGGTGCGTGATGGTCTGGGTCTCCACAGCCAGGGGGTCCAAGGCAGGAGTCAAGACCCCTCCAATGCCCTCTTCCCCTTTCATGGCCTCACGAAGTGATGCCAGGATTGACCTGATGGCTTCCTCTCCTGCTGCACTCACCGCCCCTCCTGAGGATAGTAATATTTATATGAGTGACAGACATATAAACACAACACAGGAATAGCAATAACTAATAATATGATACAGTAATTAGAATAATTTTAATAATACAAATACTGTAATACAAATATTACAACAACTGATGTTTGCCATTGTGAGTGTGTGTTTGTGTAGCAAGTGTGTTTGTAGTAATAATAGTGGCCGTTTAGTTTGTTGTTTGTTGTGGTAGTTGTGGCTGTCGTATAGTCGTGGTAGTTGTGGATGTGGTATAGTTGTGGTAGTTGTGGCTGTCGTATAGTCGTGGTAGTTGTGGCTGTCGTATAGTCGTGGTAGTTGTGGCTGTCGTATAGTCGTGGTAGTTGTGGCTGTCGTATAGTCGTGGTAGTTGTGGCTGTCGTATAGTCGTGGTAGTTGTGGCTGTCGTATAGTCGTGGTAGTTGTGGCTGTCGTATAGTCGTGGTAGTTGTGGCTGTCGTATAGTCGTGGTAGTTGTGGCTGTCGTATAGTCGTGGTAGTTGTGGCTGTCGTATAATCGTGGTAGTTGTGGCTGTCGTATAGTCGTGGTAGTTGTGGCTGTCGTATAGTCGTGGTAGTTGTGGCTGTCGTATAGTCGTGGTAGTTGTGGCTGTCGTATAGTCGTGGTAGTTGTGGCTGTCGTATAGTCGTGGTAGTTGTGGATATGATATAGTTGTGATAGTTGTGGATGTGGTATAGTCATGGTAGTTGTGGATGTGGTATAGTCGTGGTAGTTGTGGATATGATATAGTTGTGATAGTTGTGGATGTGGTATAGTCATGGTAGTTGTGGATGTGGTATAGTCGTGGTAGTTGTGGATGTGGTATAGTCATGGTAGTTGTGGATATGATATAGTTGTGATAGTTGTAGATATGGTATAGTCGTAGTAGTTGTGGATGTGGTATAGTCTTGGCAGTTGTGGATGTGGTATAGTTGTGGTAGTTGTGGATGTGGTACAGTTATGGTAGTTGTGGATGTGGAACAGTCGTGGTAGTTGTGGATGTGGTATAGTCGTGGTAGTTGTGGATGTGGTATAGTCGTGGTAGTTGTGGTGTATGTAGTGATAGTTGTGGTGTCTATAGTGGTAGTTGTGGTGTCTATAGTGGATTGTAGTGGTGTCTATAGTGGTAGTTGTGGCATCTGTAGTGGTAGTTGTGGCATCTGTAGTGGTAGTTGTGGCTGAGGTATAGTGGTAGTTGTGGCTGAGGTATAGTCATGTCGTGTGTAGTGGTAGTTGTAGCTGTAGTGGTAGTTGTAGCTGTAGTGGTAGTTGTAGCTGTAGTGGTAGTTGTAGCTGTAGTGGTAGTTGTAGCTGTAGTGGTAGTTGTAGCTGTAGTGGTAGCTGTAGTGGTAGTTGTAGCTGTAGTTGTAGCTGTAGTGATAGTTGTAGCTGTAGTGGTAGTTGTAGCTGTAGTTGTAGCTGTAGTGGTAGTTGTAGCTGTAGTGGTAGCCGTGGTGTCTCACACTCACTTCAACACACTTCTTGTGCATCATCCTCTCCTACACTACTGCATGTAGCTCTCTCTCTTTCTGTTCCTTTGTTATATTCCTGAAGAAACATTTCTCCCTTATCAGTGTTCATGTTGAAGTGTGTTCTTCTTGCCTATGATAGCCTCTGTCATGGTTTTGTCCATGCTGTACCTGTCCATAGCGGTGATTATGTCTCAAGTGATTGATTGATGAAGAAGATTAAGCCACTCAAGAGGCCGCACGGGCACGAATAGCCCGTAAATCTCTGAAGTGGTGGTCGTTCGCTGTAATAGTAGTAATGTTTATCATGCTGGTTATAACTATTGGGGAAGTTGTGTTGGTTTTTGTGCTGGTTGGAATTTGTTGTGTGTGTACTTGTAGTGGAGGTTGTGTTTGCAGAAGCTGATAGCTTTGATTGTAATTATACAGTATGTCAGAGGTAACTACAGGTGTGGTGGTGATTGATATGGTTCTGATTGTATTTGTAGTGGTTGTGGAAGTGATTGTGGTTGTTCCTATTTGTAATGGTTGGTGGTTATTGGTTATAGTGTTTGGTCAAAGTTGTATTGTTAATTGTGATAGTGTGTTGGCGGGGTGGTTATGTTGGCGTGGTGGTTATGTTGGCGTGGTGGTTGTGTTGGCGTGGTGGTTGTGTTGGCGTGGTGGTTGTGTTGGCGTGGTGGTTGTGTTGGCGGGGTGGTTATGTTGGCGTGGTGGTTATGTTGGCGTGGTGGTTGTGTTGGCGCGGTGGTTATGTTGGCGTGGTGGTTGTGTTGGCGTGGTGGTTATGTTGGCGTGGTGGTTATGTTGGCGTGGTGGTTGTGTTGGCGTGGTGGTTGTGTTGGCGTGGTGGTTGTGTTGGCGTGGTGGTTATGTTGGCGTGGTGGTTATGTTGGCGTGGTGGTTGTGTTGGCGGGGTGGTTATGTTGGCGGGGTGGTTATGTTGGCGGGGTGGTTATGTTGGCGCAATCGTTACAATTCTTCATCAGGATTTTAACATGTTTCCAACACTTCAAAAGAGAACGGAAAAATTGAAAACTTCCAGAAAACCGACTTTAATGACACTGACCCAGACGCTTAATTAGAATTTACTAAAAGCCACAACTATGACACACTTTACTAAATTTAGGGCAGTTTACATGTAGTTAATTTCTACAAGAGCTTCCCTCAAGAACAGTAGCCATATTTACATAAAAAATCTATTATTTATGCGTGTGTCTTTGGCTCCATTTACAAGCGAGGGAAAACATTGCGCTTCTTGACTTTAAACAAGGCAAAAGCTTCCAAACGGAATTAATTACGACAGTCTACACCGCATTCTGCGACTGACCACAATAAAACAAGGAGCTGGGATATGAAGACAAGGAGCTGGGATATGAGGACAAGGAGCTGGGATATGAAGACAAGGAGCTGGGATATGAGGACAAGGAGCTGGAATATGAGGACAAGGAGCTGCAATATGAGGACAAGGAGATGCAATATAACAAGGAGCTGGGATATGAAGACAAGGAGTTGGGATATGAGGACAAGGAGCTGGAATATGAGGACAAGGAACTGGGATATGAGGACAAGGAGCTGGGATATGAGGACAAGGAGCTGGAATATGAGGACAAGGAGCTGGGATATGAGGACAAGGAGCTGGGATATGAAGACAAGGAGCTGGAATATGAGGACAAGGAACTGGGATATGAGGACAAGGAGCTGGGATATGAGGACAAGGAGCTGGAATATGAGGACAAGGAGCTGGGATATGAGGACAAGGAGCTGGGATATGAGGACAAGGAGCTGGGATATGAGGACAAGGAGCTGGAATATGAGGACAAGGAACTGGGATATGAAGACAAGGAGCTGGGATATGAGGACAAGGAGCTGGGATATGAGGACAAGGAGCTGGAATATGAGGACAAGGAGCTGGGATATGAGAACAAGGAGCTGGAATATGAGGACAAGGAGCTGGGATATGAGAACATGGAGCTGGGATATGAAGACAAGGAGCTGGGATATGAGGACAGGAGCTGGGATATAACAAGGAGCTGGGATATGAGGACAGGATCTGGGATATGAGGACAAGGAGCTGGAATATGAGGACAGGAGCTGGGATATAACAAGGAGCTGGGATATGAGGACAGGAGCTGGGATATAACAAGGAGCTGGGATATGAGGACAAGGATCTGGGATATGAGGACAAGGAGCTGGGATATGAGGACAAGGAGCTGGGATACGAGGACAAGGTGCTGGGATACGAGGACAAGGAGCTGGGATATCAGGATAAGAGGAAGGAACGGTGACCAATCACTTAAACCATCGACGGGGATCGAACGACAACCATGCAAGCAGAGAGTCCGTATACTCAGTTGAGGAAAGCATATAGTCTATTTTCACACTTACTGTCCATATATAGGCAGGAAATTGAGTTATAATATATGAAAAAATTACGTATATTATGGATCTATAGTTTTTTATCGGGAATAGAAAGCCTGTTATGACTGACCTTCCCAGGATCCAATCCCCATAACAGTTACCTATTTACTAAGTGAACATATCAATTAAAAGGAAAGGTTCTCGCTCTTGTGCCAGGTAAGTTCACAACGGGCTCACCATAGCCCGTGCTACTTGGAACTTTTAGTTCAGAGTAGCTGAATCTTAAAAAACAACAACGCTTTCCCTTGATAATTCCCTCTCTCCTTGGTGCTGTACCTTGAGTGCGCATCAATTTACACACACACCGTGTGATGATTCACATGAGTTGGGGTCTGCGATGATGAGTGTGCTTATAACTTGTGAACAGTTGTGTCCTTCATCTAGGTACGCCAGCATTTGTCTCTCTCCCCCCACCCGCACCAATGTATAAATAATCCCCATGCATAATATATGTATATAAATATAACCTCTTGACCATGTTTCCAGCTGTCGAGACAGGAAGCGTGTACCAACCCAGGGCACACCATGGAACGAAAAGGTGCCCAATCATTTCTGTCCTGCCGTGTGGGATTGAACCTGGGTGCCTCGGATGAGCCGAGGACACAAACCAGTCTTACAGGACCCATGAGCCTTATCGTATATACTCTTGAGCTTAATTGTGGAGACCTGCTGGCTTTTATTAATTAGACCTCCTCGTTTATAGTTCATAATAGCTTTATCACTGTTTTTACTGTTCAACTCTGTATCGCTTTTATGAATTCCCTCTAGCTATAATTATATATATATATATATATATATATATATATATATATATATATATATATATATATATATATATATATATATATATATATATATATATATATATATTGCACATCTTTCACAATGGCAACATAAGGTTTGCGTCATGCACCAGAGATAATAGTATCAGTGTATAACTGTACCATTATCTATATTATTGTGTAGGCTACAGCTACCTAATTCTAATGGTTAACAAACAAAATTACCGATAAGAGGAGCTCTTAAATAGTAGAGCAGCAGCAGCTTAAGAAATATACCATTGGTCAACATCAAAGCCACAGAGTTTAATAAAGAGCAGGATATGTGGTTATGGCGTGATAATGCATGATATACCTGCATGACATAACGCCTTGACACCACTCTAAGTCACGCTTTCTTCCTTTTAACACCCCTCCTCCTCCTGCCTCTATAGAGGGCCTTAGAGGCGTCCTTAAAGAGTAGCTCCTGCTCCTAGAAGAGGGATATATATATATATATACTTACCCTCCTCTACAGGCGAGTGTTCCGTCATTCCTGGCGTGTCCAGCACCATCACTGCCTGCACATGCTTAGTTTACCTTCAGGGAACTGCTCTACACCCTCCCTCCGTATCCCCTCACACACTGTAGCCTGGTACACGTGTTCTCACATGTTATATATATATCACCTCTCTTTATCAACCGGTTCGCGCATAGATCACTACGGTTTGTGTGGGGATAAACGCTGAAGGGAGGGAGGGAGCTCAAGTGACGAGGTGCTGAGCGCGTGTGTGTGGCTGGTCGTCTGTGGGGGGAGTTATTGATCGCCTGCTGTTGCTGCCTCTCACCCTTGGCTCAGCTACAAGTGACTCTGCTTGCTGTGCTTGCTGGGGCTGACTCGTGCTGTGCTTGCTGGGGGCTGACTCGTGCTGTGCTTGCTGGGGCTCACTTGTGCTGTGCTTGCTGGGGCTCATTTGTGCTGTGCTTGCTGGGGCTCACTTGTGCTGTGCTTGCTGGGGCTGACTTGTGCTGTGCTTGCCGGGGTTCACTTGTGTTGTGCTTGCTGGGGTTCACTTGTGCTGTGCTTGCTGGGGTTCACTTGTGTTGTGCTTGCTGGGGCTCACTCGTGCTGTGCTTGCTGGGGCTCACTTGTGCTGTGTTTGCTGGGACTCATTCATGCTGTTTGCTGGGGACTCATTCATGCTGTTTGCTGGGACTCATTCATGCTGTTTTCTGGGACTCATTCATGCTGTTTTCTGGGACTCATTCATGCTGTTTGCTAAGACTCATTCATGCTGTTTGCTGGGGACTCGTTCATGCTGTTTGCTGGGACTCATTCATGCTGTTTGCTGGGGACTCATTCATGCTGTTTGCTGGGACTCATTCATGCTGTTTTCTGGGACTCATTCATGCTGTTTGCTAAGACTCATTCATGCTGTTTGCTGGGGACTCGTTCATGCTGTTTGCTGGGACTCATTCATGCTGTTTGCTGGGACTCATTCATGCTGTTTGTTGGGACTCATTCATGCTGTTTGTTGGGACTCATTCATGCTGTTTGTTGGGACTCATTCATGCTGTTTGTTGGGACTCATTCATGCTGTTTGCTGGGACTCATTCATGCTGTTTGTTGGGACTCATTCATGCTGTTTGCTGGGACTCATTCATACTATTTGCTGGGACTCACTCACACTGCATTAGGAGGGGTTTAATCACGCTGTGCATTATGACTTACCCTTCCACAACAAAAAATGGGTGAGGGTTCATAAACATAAACCCACTACACTACTGCGTAGTGTAACTTAACCCCGTCAATGTGGCGGCCACGCGAAAATGTATACATACGAGTTAGCATTACAGCATGTTGTTTAAGATTCAGCTACTGGGAACAAAAAAGTTCCAGGTAGCACGGGCTATAGTGATCCCGTAGTGGACTTACCTGGCACAGGAGCGGGGCTGTAACTGTTATCACAGCAGATAACACGCTTCTAGCGCGCACACCTCATAAATTCGTGTTGTTTTTAAGTACACAATTAAGAGAAGCAACCCACAGAATTATAGCCCGGCTCCTGTGCCAGGTAAGTCCACTAAGGGCTCGCCATAGCCCGTGCTACTTGAATCTTTTTGCTCCGAGTAGCTGAATCTAAAACAACAAAGAGAAGCAAGTCTTTGTGGTGTCATCGCGTGTCCTTGAGGCTACGTATCACTCAGAATGTCCCGCAATGTTTCTGATGTGTCTTATCTTAGGTTATCTTAAGTCTATTATCTATTATCTGTCTATTTATCTATGTGAACACGTTGTACTGAATGGGGGTGAGAATAGCTTGAGCTACCTCATCCCTTTTGTGTATATACCTCAATAAATTTGTATGAATTTGAGGCTGTTGGCGCGCTCTTTGACTTGGAACTTATTATTCCCTCTATATATTTATATTACTACAATTATCTATTTTTGCGGATGATAATACTTATCTATTATACATTATCAGTTTTATCGCGAGGTTTATTATACAACTTCCAATGATATGTTTTGGGGTTAAACATTTCCTTCACGGCTCGGTGCCTCCTTTTGATAATTTTCCTTCATCACAAGAATACGTAATTATACTTTATTCACTCACTGGTTAGCTAACATTCAATCTTTTCCTTTGTATTTCACGTGATTGATGGGAGATTGAAGGAGGTGGCCAGCAGGACGGTGGGATGATTGAAGGAGCTTGATGGTGGGATGATTGAAGGAGCTTGATGGTGGGATGATTGAAGGAGCTTGGTGGTGGGATGATTGAAGGAGCTTGATGGTGGGATGATTGAAGGAGCTTGATGGTGGGATGATTGAAGGAGCTTGGTGGTGGGATGATTAGAGGAGGTTGTGGTGGAGTGAAGAGGTGTTAAACCTTGAGGCTGGTGAAAGTCCCAAGGTTTAACACCTATATTATAAAAATGGCATATATATGGGTGATGTACAGAGTATAAGACCTTTCAAAAGCTACCTATCGTGTTTGTTACGTGGAGCGTCTGGCTTCTCTGCTTGCTAAAGAATAGGCTTAAATCCTCCCTGGATGGGAGCTCATTTGACAGGGGTTTGAGGGTGGTCTGGTGGATCGGATGATTGAAGGGGCATTGTACTCCATAGATCCAAGCATTTTATTATATACAGTATCCACACCCGTATACAGTACGAGGTTTTTAAGCTACTTTGACATAAGTACATGTGCATTCTGTTTCAAATCTTTACATGAATTTATATATATTTTGTGATTTTTTCAGGCATCTGGAATGAGATTATCTCTATGTTGAGTTCTATTCACTAATTTGTCCATTGGTGAAACTATTAGCATGACCAAGGCCAAAGCATGCTATGATCCAATTTGTCTTCCTCGATTTCTCAAAATCAAGAAAGATCTTGTGATCATACACGAGATCTCTCGATCTCGTGTATGATCAAGGTGTTGCTGCTTTGAGTTATCCCCAGATGTCCTATTTGCTAATTTCTCTATGGATCTTAAATATGACATCTACGGCAGGAATGCTGATGAAATCATCTTGCAATACTTAACAAGAACTACTTGGTACTGCTTAATTACTGATAAGATGGAGAGTAAAGGATAACTACCTTTCTTAGATGCAACAGTAACAAAAAAGGAATGATGAATTCCACATTTAAGTCTACAATAACTGACCCATTATGAAAGTAAATAGTATCCTTAACAATCTTGAGTATGTGTCAAAGTTCTCCCAGCTTGGGACTCTGCGTCAGCAAGTTTTGCAGGATAAGGAGAATACCACAGTTGTAACAGCTGAGAGCACAATCCCTGGTAAGCAGATACCTATGCTTTTAGATGTGTGACCTATATGGAAGTTAGTGAGTACTCTCACTGGATATGGCATATTGGTCCATACGATGTACAGCAGCTCTTATTTTTAGCCTCCCAAACTCATGTTTGCCTAACCTACGCTGTAAACAATTCAGTGATCCAACATCCATTATGTTACCCAGTAATTTGTTCAATAAATCAACAAGTCTATTTCCAACCCAGTATTTACCCAGCTCTTTCCTGAATCTAAACTTCTCCAATTTATGTATTGCACAGTACTGTATATATTTTAGTTCTAATTTGTATTGATAAACTTAAAATCATATGCACATCTCCTTTGTTATACCCTTTCATCCATTTGTAAACAGTACTCCATTCGTGCCACCCCTTAATTGTTGTCTTTCCAGAGATTGTAAATTAAACATTTTTTCTCTCTTCATGAGGAGGGTTTTTAATTTCTAGGAAACCTTTCTCATCCTTCTTTGTATGCATGCAGTTGAATTTGTCTTTTCTATAGTATGGTAACCAAAACTGAACTGCATAATCTAAAATGAGGCCTAACAAGGGTAAGTAAGTAATTATCAAAAGAAGGCACTAAACCGGGAAGACTATGTAGCTTAACAAGGGTAAGGTAAAGCTGAAGAATTATATTCGATAACTAATTGCTAATAAACTATGACTAGGGACAGTACAGCAATAGTGTAGATGACTACAGTAATTATATTCCTTTTATTCTTTGTTCTTGCACACAGATAATACACAAGAACAAAGAACAAAAACTATTATTACTGTAGTCATCTAAAGATGGGAAGTATCACACTGGAGTGAATGTCAGAGTATATTAGTTGTGAGAGCATAAAAGAGTGTGATTATATACAAGTTTTACTATGGAATAAAGATGGCTTCAGATGAAATGTTAACCCTTAAACTGCTCCTGTCATTCTTAAGCAATAAAACCAATGATGTTCCTGTCGTCTGTGGATGATCTAATGATTTAACATTCAAAGTTCCTAAATATTCTATGTGGCCATCATTCAACAATAGAGACTTTTGGTAATCACTTGCCATATTAGGATAAAATTCTGAAAGCCTTAGCTTCCTTCCTTCCTTGGCTTTATTAAATATATTGGTACCATGTTAGGCGCATTACCACGCATTTACCAACACTTATGCCGGAACCACTCGCACCATGCAAAATTTCAAGGACTATTATGGACCAGGAAGATATTTGTGGTAAGGAGAAATCTATTACAAATAGTTTACTTTAAGTTCTCAGAGTTTGAGGTTTTCAATGCAGAATTTCTTCACCTCACTATAGCCAAAGTACAATGATTAGAAGTTTTTATCCCCAGATCAGAAACATTTTATAATACAATAAAAATAGATAAAGAATTCGTTAGTTATTTTTTATTTGCACCAAAAATACAACCTAAATATAGGTTTACAAGTTAAGGGTTAAAATAGAAGATTCATTATTAAAGTTTTCATAAATATAAATAATCTGGAATTAAGTGAAACAATTTCAAGTATTTTTTTTTATTAAAACATTCTATAATATGAAGAAAACCATGATTCATACAATGTTTCCTATACTTTAGCCTGACAACAAGGGAGTATGCAAACGTACATTTATTACTCAATATTGTGTCCTTCATGGAAAAGCGACGAATGTATTTAATATTTTGCTCCTCGATAAAGAAATGACATCTAACCCTTTTTCTTTATACTGTACACTATTGTTACTTATCAGACGACTTCCCCGAACCAGATTGTTTATCTTGCTTGGCAGCCTCTGCTGCCGCCTCTTTCTGTTCATGTTCTTTGATTAAATCCTTTACCTCATCTACGGAGATAACATGAATCTCAGTTTTGTCGTCCTTCCTGACAAGTGTAGCCAACTCTAACTTCTCAGCATTGAGTTTGGTCATGTCTAAGGTCTTACTCATCACTTTCAGAGCCAGCAAAAGAGCCTCGTGCAGATCCGTTTCACCCAATTTGTATTCCTGCTTCAAGATGGACACGGCTGCCTATTAGAACCAATATCCAATATTAGTTGCAATATAACCTTAAAAGATTTTGTATATGCTTTGAAATTTTATGAATTTCAAGCCAAATTCTATGTTTAAATTTTTAAATGTGTAGAAACAACCCAAATACCAATTTACTAGATAAAATATAACTTATGTGTATCAAAAGGATTTACAGTAGCCATTACTTTGGTACAGTACTTCCCAAAGATGCAAACGTGAAAAAATGACTTTCAATAAGTTGTTGTTTACTATGGAATAATTGTTGTATTCCACAGAACAAAGAAAACTATATAAAGAAAATTCTGTGAATTTTGTCTAATAGAATAGATGATGTAAACTGCAGTATTACAATGCCAGCACAAGTTGTTTGTGTCAACATTGCAGCATCAGAACATGAGTGTTAAAACCAGAACAGTTTTGCTTATAACATTTTTATCAAAATGTGAAATGATGGAGTGAATTCACATAAGTTCAATAAAATCCAGACTGAATATTACATGTACTATTTAGCAAATTGCATTCTTGATTTTGAGTTATCTTGAGTTGATTTCGCGGCTTATTGTCCCCGCGACCCAGTCTTTGACCAGGCCTTTTTTTGTTACACACCCACAGGAAGCAGCCCATAGCAGCTGTCTAACTCCCAGGTACCTATTTACTGCTAGGTGAACAGGAGCATCAGGGTCAAAGAAACCCTGCCCATTTGTTTCCACCTCCACCGGGGATCGAACCAGGAATCTCAGGACTACAAATCCGAAGCGCTGTCCACTCAACTGTCAGGCCCCTATATTCTTTCATTATTTTTACTATACAGTACCTGTCTTTACAGTACTGTAGTAAATAAAAGAAACTTTTTGTTTAGAAATGTTTTACTGAAATGTACTGTATTATAAATTATACAATAAAATTGCACATCTTTTTATGGGTGCCACAAACCTACCAAAACTAGACGCATCACAAACACTTGCTTTCTCCCGCTGTGCTAGTGTAGCCTCTTGTTGCTCAAGGTCTTTTACCCAGCTTTTGTAGGATGTTTTTTTGTCAGTACAAAAGATGTCTTGTAACACTAATATGACTAAACCAGGTAAGGGTAAGAAGGATTACTTTAGAAATGTACCTGGCAGACTGTGTAGTTTGGTATTGTTTGACATTAAAATCCAAAATCTACAATTTATTTAAGAGGGAAAGTATAGGTGTTAAATGTTCCAAATATGACCAGTTAGACGAGACATTTTATAAATGGTTTACGGAGCATCATACTGAAGGGGTGCCAGTCAAAGGTGAGCAAAGATATTATCTTGAGGTTATCTCGAGATGATTTCGGGGCTTTTTAGTGTCCCCGCGGACCGGTCCTCGACCAGGCCTCCACCCCCAGGAAGCAGCCCGTAACAGCTGACTAACACCCAGGTACCTATTTTACTGCTAGGTAACAGGGGCATAGGGTGAAAGAAACTCTGCCCATTGTTTCTCGCCGGCACCTGGGATCGAACCCAGGACCACAGGATCACAAGTCCAGCGTGCTGTCCGCTCGGCCGACCGGTTCCCAAATGTGCTACCCAAAACATTACTAAGCTGAATAGAGGCCACTGTGTTAAGCCATAAGGTTGACAAACACACTTTGGCTACTGTTCTGTTCTAGTGCAGATGAGCCACACAAACTACAGACATTTATTGTAGTACGTCAACAGAAGGCTTGGTGCCTTTTAATAATTACTCGCTTACCACTATTCAAGAAATGGTTAGTTCACACACAATCTTTCTGGATTGGCTTAACAATTGTTTTCAGAATTTAAGCATTATCAAATACTACATCAATCACTCAGCCTATGCACACAGCATGCTACTCATGTTGCTACAAGGTTGTACCACTGAAACCTTCGAGTGTATTGGTTCCTAATATGACACGAAGACAATAAGAAGCCAAAGAACACTAGACAATAAGAAAGTACATAAGCAAACCCAGAGATAAAGCCAGGGTGCAGGTCTAAATAACATTGGAGATAATGGATATGGTAATAAAGCCAGTGACTAAGAGATGGCAATACCAATAATGATGGACACACTTCTGAAGGAATTTTCAATATCATTAGAATGTTAGTGAGGTGGTGGGTAAAGAGAATGTTGTAGGAATGGTTACAGGTCTCGAGATTCAAATGCCTGACTTTTCATTAGTCTTCTTACTTTGATGAAATTGGTGGCATTGTAATTTAAGTGCAAAAATTACATGTGCATTAGGCTGCCAGGTAAGCATCAATGGCCGAAGTGTATGGCAGGAACGTGACAAACATCAGATGACACAAACACACTTTTGCTACAGAAGGGTTTGGAACTAATTGGTCCATTCAGGAGCAATTTTACTGTACTGCATTTTAAACAATGTATAAAGATGAAAAACTGTCAGGGTTACTTACTGCACTGCTGTTTCCAATGCAAGTGGCCTTCCAACCCGAGTAGTTCCCAGATGGATCACTTTGATAAAGCTGATAACCATGACGATTATCCCAGCCCATGTATAAAATTGATACACCAAAAGGACGCTTTCCTGTAAATCAAGAGAGCAATATTTGATACAAAATCTTTGCATGTTACTTTAATGGCTAGCTACAAAATTTGACAATGCCCTAATTTAAAATTTAGATAGGTGATCAGATGTGGCATAGCACCACCACTGTGATACAATGTTCATACTACAATACATACCATAGGACTCATATGCAATAATATGTGAAAGATTTGTCAAGCAGATTAGAAAACATGTGCAAATGACTGCACATGTCCAAAACTGTGGTCAAGAATTCAAATTAATGAAAATTTTGAGTTAGCCATTAACTCAACCATGAGTTAAACTAGCAAATTTTAATTCAGCTGATGTGACTAAGTACCAATGTGTTTTTGTGTGTGTGGCATTAGAATTGGTATGGTACAATGAATCTGGAAGGGAGTGAAAATATCGATGAACCACAACAGACTAAGAAGAATAATTCTGAAAACAATGAATAAATGCATGGTGGTAGACTGGCCAGAGGAGTGTATTTTAAAGAATTTGAGAATAGAAGAACGAGAGGAAAGCCAGAACATGGCAAATGTGAGATTTAGTAATTGTGAATAACACATGGAAAATGGTAAGGGACAAGACTGGGTGGAAATAGTTTTAATGTTCTGTATTTGTTTGGACTGTATATAATTCATGAGAAGCACTGGACACCTGGCTCTTATGAACCAGCGGGGTACTATGAATAACTGCTAGTGTGGTGCTGTTTGTGTCTTGCTCAGGTAGTAGCATTTCATCTATAGAATGGGTCCACCCCCTTGAATTGACCAAAATAGATTTTTTTAACTAGATAGATAATCAAAGCTTAATTAGGTCAGTTAGAGGGGGAGGGGGCCTCATTTCACATCCACCAAAACACTAGGCATTGAGTGGAGAAGTACTGCAAAGCAATCACATTCTTATACAAATTATTCAAATGGACTTTAATTTGCATTCACGAAAAAAACTACTAATTATGTAGCAAAATTATATATTCTGATATTCCTTTCAGTTACTAAAATGACCCATATCTTATCTTAAAATATTTTCAAAATGTTACGCGAGATAAAATACACACATTATACACATAAATGAGAATGCCATACCTCCATATTGTGTGTAGGCTTGTTTGATGTCACAAAGCCTCATGACAAGCTGCTCACATGGAATAGGCTCTCCAAATTGAAGGGTGTGTCGTTGGGCAATAGCACGCAGCTCATTTGTTAACACATTAGCATCAGACGTGATACCTGCTACACAACATGCCATGTCCCTGGGAAGTGATAAATCAATATGTTATAAAATATCATGTATTTCAGAACGGAATGGAACTATTGTATCATGAGAACGTACCAAGCCATTACGACTACTGTACATAGACATTAGTGGCAGCATAGTGCCAATAAAGAAATAACATGGAGAAAATGCTTTTGCCAAGCCACAGATTCAACACCTGCAATCCTTGTTTTCTTATATTGCCTTTATGATTTTGTGGTACAGTAAGTGATTGAGTAGTAAAAATGCAGAGCTTCCTACTATAAATCCATGTTAATCTAGATTGCATAGTTTCTTATTATCCATGAAACTAAAGACTTGACTCCGAATCACTCTCCCAAAGACATTAATAATGTGAGTGTGGCAAGTCAATAGTATTTTGCCTTTACTGTACTTTGTTACCACCTTGAGTAGCTGGGCAATGTCTGCCATTTTCATAATTAAAAAAAAAAGGGATACAGTACTGTATTGTAAACTTTTGATCTAAAAAAAAACAGCTAATCAAAAACAGTTTACCGTACTCACTCATCAATTTTATATATTTTGTCAGAGAGGAATACATCATCAAGGAGCTTGTTTGTGTTACGCCGCTCAGCAGCTAACACAATACCATCATTTGCTAGGATGCCTAAACAGGTACCAGCATGTCCAATGGCTTCCATGGCATATTCCACCTGGTACAGTCTCCCTTCTGGAGAGAAAATGGTTGTCTTGGAATCATAGCGACGAGCCTGAAAAACACACAAACCACTGATTAATGAAACTATCTGAAAACAAGGACTATCAGTACAAACCTACAAATTCTCAGCAGGCACTTGGTTGCCCTCTAATATAAATTAATAATAATAATTCATTGTCGGGGCACAGAAAACCAGCGTGTATTCATACACGTTTGACTTTTATTGAGCCCCCCCCCCCACCTCTTCCCAAGGCCGAATTACTGACCCCATCGAGAATGCAACCCCACAAGAAGTTGACTAACGCCTAAGTACCTCCTCATCACTAGGTGAACAGAGGCATTTGGTGAAAGGAAATGTGCCCAACTATTTCTGTCCAGCCCGGGCTTCGAACCCAGAATTCTCGATTCTAAGTTGAGAACGAACCCGTCCACTACTGGGACCCCTAATAATTATAGTTTATCAATTAATAATAATTAGTTTATAACCCTATATGTGAAAACTCAAGATCTATGGGGGCTGCAACCTTCTTAAAACTCTTGCTTGATAGCAATGTCAAGTCATTGATGACGGAGTCAGTCCTGCTAGAGGGTTCTACTCTATAGAGGTTTGATTGTTGAGCAAAATTGATTTATTTATTTATATACAAGAAAATACATTGGGCTCATGACAGTATTGATGATTTTACATTTTTGTAAAGCCACTAGCACACAAAATGTTCCAAGCAGGTCCTTCATCTAACAGAGGTGAATACTGGGCAAGACCCGGCGTCATGTGTGTGTTCCCTAAGCCAGCCGTGAAGCACCTTCCCTGCCACCACTCTCCCACCATCACCACCACACCCGCCGCCGCCCACATACCATTATGATAGAGGAGAGTTGGTGCAGGAGACTCACACACTCACACCTGCCTCACGAGACGACAAGAATTACTCAGCGTTTGTGTACACTCACGGCGGTGGGTGACAAGTGAGGCGCGACACCCGCGCTCGCCTGCACGCCCAACTTGGCGCCGTACCCAACTTGAGATCATCTTACCTGAATTTACCTGAGGGCCACTGACTCTTTAGTATCCTCGACGAGGATGGAAAGCCGGTAGCTTGCCAAAGGTCCACCCATTTAATTATTGAATTATTTGTTCTGATTATTTTGTTCTAGCTGGATTTTAAAAATTCAACAGGTTTGGCAATTACGGCTTCTGCGGGTAAGCGGTTCCATGGGTTTATAACTCAAACTATGAGCCATCACTCATTTTCACGACAACTGCATTTCTGGCAGTACTATCAGAGTGGTGTAGGGAACAAGGCATCACTGTATAGGAATTGGGAAAAAGCACTTGGGCTGATCTAATGAAAATCCTCATTTGTCCAGTTTTTTAACTAACATTTCCTCCATTGCTCACAGAATGGGAAGAGAGTTCATAATAAACAAATTAAACTAAGTGTTGGCGGTAAGGTGAAACTCTCGGAATGCATTTAATCACTAAATATCCTGTTAATATACCCTCGCTCCTGTGCCAGGTAAATCCACTACGGGCTCACCATACCCCGTGCTACTTGGAACTTTTGTTCTGGGTAGCTGAATCTAAAACAACAACAATTGTTAATATAACAAATAATCCGGCTCTCAAGAACGGAACTTCCTGCTCCGTCCCTTCGGCTGGCTAGACCCAACATTCAGTAATCTTAAATACTATTTTTACGCCTGTCCAAAGAGTTTTTAACTGAATTTACCTTAGGGCCACCGTCTTCAGCGGCCTCAACAGGGACAGGAAACAGGCGGTTCCTGACGATTTTGTTTTTCCAGCTGGATTTTAAACTGAAGTAATTCTTGACATTTACAGCTTCGACAGATTTAGACAAACTTATGCCCAACATTGTGGCTTGTCGAGCTGGAAGCTTTGCCCCTTGTATGTGATACATTTGACTTAAAGAAGTGGTCTGGATTAATATCCTCCAATACGTTTAGTATTTTAAAGGTTTCAATGAGATCAGCCCTGTCATGTCTGGTTTGCAGTGTTGTTAATCCTGTGGCCCTCGACCGTTCCTGCTGGTATGAGAGTTGACTAAGTTCTGGGGTGATTATTGTCACTGTGTTGAACTTGCTCCAAGGAAGATATGACCGATTACTTGCTAAATACTAGTTACTCTCGCAGAAAAGGATAACTGCTGCTTGATAAATAGGAAATAAACATGTCCCGTCACCTCATAGCAGCAGATCATCGCACATGGCGCAGCCTTTATTATAATCAATATTACAAAGAGGAAAATGCGAGAAGATATCTCACCGTCGCTCATCTTAAATACGCAATTCGGGATATCATAAAAAAAGCCTGTCACTATACACACGCACATCGTGTTATTCGTTTACGAATGCACGCTGAAACATCATTAAATAGCAGTTAAAAGGACTAAATACATCTAGGAGTGGAGTAGGAGCCCGGCGGAGAAGACATCTTGGAGCGGTGGTGGGAGCGCCTCGTCTGGCCGGGGAGGCCTGAGGTAACCCGCCAACTGTCTCGCCAAGTCGGGCTCCACAAGTTACCATAAACTGTAGCCTCTTTTGCTGCCTCTCACGCTGTGAAAATGAGACAGGGATTGAGAGAAGAGACTGTAGAGGCGGCGTGACGCAAGGTGGACTGAGATACAATGAGCCCTTCACAGCTGGTAGTGGTGCTGCTGCGCCTCCTGGCGGGGGTGGTGGTGCCGGCCGTGCTAACAGGTAGTAGTACTCTATGTACTGTGGTAGTGAAGTGTAGTGGTTGGGGGCTCCTGGTGGGGATGTCGACGGTGGTGGTGGTGGTATAACAAGTAATCTGTAGTGGTGGTGGTTGTTCTTTAGATCTGATATCTTTATTGTTCAGCTCATCCCGTGTTAGAGCACTCGCCTATAGTGAATGCTTGTGGCAAGAGTTCCAGCGCAGACTGAGAGGGTTGAGTGAAAGTCAGTTTACAACAGGTTTACAACCTGTTGTAAACCGATATTGGGCGGTGTTCAAGGGGAAATTAAAAAGGCTTACCGTGAGCTGTGAGGGGAAACGCTCTCAGCCTGTTAATGTGAATTACAAGTCGTTTACTATACTCTACTCATCATCCGTGTAACGATATAATCAAGATTGTAACTAGCTTAGCTAAATGAATTGTGGGGTTCAGTCCCTGAGCCCATTATGTGCCTCTGTAACCCTTTCCACTACCGCCCACAAGACGGGTATGGGGTGCATAATAAATGAACTAAACGGATAAAAAAAAAACTTATAATTTTAAATAGAGTGTATATAGATCTCTGTATATATTTTTAAATATATAAATATCTCCAGTAAAGGTGTGGAGTGTAATTCTTGTATAGGTTAAGTAATATTCTTGTACCCAAGCAAGGCAACTAATGGTGAACTAATTATAGTTAAATTGTATAGTGACGGATATATACAGTACTTGTAAGTGGGAGAGAGACTGGGATAAACTATATGAGTACACATTCCTCTATCGCCGTTACTATATATGTTGCGGGTATTATTTTCACTCAGAATACAAGGAAACCAATGGAGTAGAAACACTCTGAGACAAGCACAAGCACTCGGGCAATGCTGATCTTTACAAGTTTGAGTACGGATGTGAGTCGGATTTTGTTTGCGAACACAAAGTATTTGATTTATTTATATGTGTAATTTAAATAACACGATTTTATTCCTTGCTCAGCGTTACAGGCAAGTGTGAATGTTAGGTTAGTTTGACGCGCATCAACTTGATGTGTGTATCATTATGTAGACCTGAGAACAGGACTGTGTCTTCCTCCAACCTTCATGTTTACTCCTAACCACTTGGGCTGGACGGTAGAGCAACGGTCTCGCTTCATGCAGGTCGACGTTCAATTCCCGACCGTCCAAGTGGTTGGGTACCATTCCTTCTTGTCCCATCCCAAATCTTTATCCTGATTCCTTCCAAGTACTATATAGTCGTAATGGCTTGGTGCTTTCTCCTCATAGTTCCCTCCCCTGCTCCTCAGCTGTGTCTTCAAACCACAGCTGTGGTATCCTGTCCAGGCCAGCATATGAACTTCTGAATTCACGTACAGTACAAAAACGAAAAATTTCCCAACTTAGTATTTCACAATATTCTTACGAGTAGAGAATAACCTAGAGTGCAGAAGCAAGACAGTTGGTTTGTGATATCTCAACCGCTCAAGAACAATTAGGTTGGAACAGTCAAGAACCTATAGTAGGCGTCCTGCATTCACGAGAGACTGGAGTTGCGCTCGGGTTGTCGAGGCTGAAGTGTCCTCTCCAGGGCGCAAAACCAAGGTAGGTCGATATGGAGGAGAAGCTGTCACCCATGCAGCAGGTTCCCCCCTCCACGATGCTGAAATTGTCCAGTGGAAAGGCAAACGCCAATACGCTTGATTCCAGCGACGTCGCAGGAGCTGCCAGAACGAGTCAACAATGAACTGCCTTACGGACTCCAACTCTGGACTTTTCCTCGAGGTTGACTCCCGAAGCCCGTCCCAAAAGTGGGTATGGCCGCGAGGCAGCGGAGATTTGAAGTCAGGGTTTTCCTTCCCCTAGATGAGCTGCCTTCCCGTCTACCTGGTGCAGCTGGTTGTAAGGCGTCAGAGGTATGGGTTCACGGACGAAGACGAGGACCTGAAGGGCCGTCCCAGGAACTACTGCAGCAGGCTGGTAGCCTCGCTGCAGTAGTTCCTGGGACCACCACACCCGACAACACACAACTCATATATCATAATAATAATATCATCATAATATTAATATTGTAATAATATATAATATTAATTATAATATATAATATTACAATATAAACAATTATATATTATTATAATATAAATAATATATATATTATTACTGTAATATTGATATTACAATATCATTATTATGGTGATATTATTATTATTATTATTATTATTATTATTATATTTGAATTGTGTGGTGTATAACACACTAAGAACCTATAAGTGACAAAAACAAATCTGATCACGAGAATTATAGCATTTCTTCTACAGCTAAAAAGTCAAGATCGCCAAACGCCTATCAACTACTAAAAAATGTTGTATCAATAATAATAATATTGTGTCGCGGGACAGGAAACCAGAGTGTGTTGATACACTTCAACCTTAGGGCAGTACAGAAACGATTGGGCATGTTTTCTTTACCCTGCTGAATCTGTTCACCTACTAGTTAAATATTCACCTAGGCAATTGTTATGGGTTGCATTCTGGGAGGAAGATCGGAGCCTAGTACAGTGGTTTCCATCACTGTCTCATTTCTCTTTTTTTTTCCAACCACGTTCTCACCCATGGACAACGACAACTACTCTTTTACCGGAATTTACCTGAGGGCCACTAACACACTAGTGGCATCGACGAAGACAGGAAGCCGGCAGCTTGTCAAATGTCATGACGATTTTTTCCAGCTGGATTTTAAAATTGAACAGTTACGTTCAATTTTTAGCAGTTACGGCCTCTGCGGGTAGGCGGTTCCATGGGTTTATAACCCTGTGGGTGAAAATCTCCTGTTTTCCGTCTTATTGAGCCTGAAATAAGTGTGTGGCTTGTTTCAGGCTCAAAATATATATACGTGAGCCTGAATACATTGTGACTTGTTGAGCTTGAAAAAGTTGCTCGTTGTTTGTGTCACATCTGACCGTTTGAAAAAGTTGTCTTGATCAACAAGATAATTACCTGTGGACCCCTTACAACCACGTTCTCACCTGTGGACTCTTATAATCACGTTCTCACCTATGGATCCCCTACAACCACGTTCTCACCTGTGGACCCCTACAACCACCACGTTCTCACCTGTGGACTCCAACAACCACGTTCTCACCGATGGACCTCTTAAAACCACGTTCTCACCTGTGGACTCCAACAACCACGTTCTCACCGATGGACCTCTTAAAACCACGTTCTCACCTGTGGACTCCTTACAACCACGTCAGTATGTTTTTGTTTTGGCCGTAGATATGGCTCTTCCGAGACTCCGGAGTTTCCTAGGAAGGTTGTTGTTGTTATAGATTCAGCTACTGGGAACAAGTTCCAAGTAGCACGGGCTATGGTGAGCCCGTAACTTACCTGGCACAGGAGCGGGGCAAGTAGCACAGACTATGGTGAGCCCGTAGTGGACTTACCTGGCACAAGAACGGTGTGATTGAAAAATTGATTGATTGATGAAGATTAAGCCACACAAAAGGTGGCACGGGCACGAATAGCTCATAAGTGGTGGCCCTTTTGAGCCATTACCAGTACCAAGAGCTGATACTGGAGATCTGTGGAGGTGCGACTGCACCCTGCGTGACGGGAGATGTCTCCCGTGCCTAGGGAGGGTGAGCGTCCTAGTTGTGCTTGGGTCTTCATGGGAGTAGTGCCGCTCACGCATATTCTGAGCTTCACAAAGGTTTCACTGGTTTGCCAATATTGTACTATTTCCTGCTGTGTTCTTAAACATTTGTGTGGCAGCAGAGGTGATTGTAAATAGTCTTTATATTTATGTCTTTATGGAAGCGCTTACCCGCCGAAGCCGCAAATACCAAAACTGTTAAACTATAAAGTTCAACGGAAAACAATAATCAAAGCAAAATAATGAGGGGGGGGCCTTCGACAAGCCGCCGGCCTCCTGTCCTCGACGAGGCCACTAGTGTTAGTGGCCCTCAGATAAATTCAGGCAAATATTAGGATACTCACCTAGTTGTGCTTGCAGGGGCTGAGCCTCCGCTCTCTTGTCCCGCCTTTCAACCATCAGTCAACTGGTAATTACTCAAGTTATTACCTAAGTGTAGTTACAGGATGAGAGCTACGCTCGTGGTGTCGAGTCTTCCCAGCACTCTTTGTCATATAACGCTTTGAAACCACTGACGGTCTTGGCCTCCACCACCTTCTCACTTAACTTGTTCTAACCGTCTACCACTGTTTGCAAAAGAAAAAGAGGTGTGCAGGTTCACGAGCGTATTGAGCTAGATCTTTTGTATCTGGAAATTGGATGCGTTAGTCCATTTGGTTTCATCTAGGCACCTACTGTTCCACTTGGGGAATGTTAGGGACCGGATTATTAATTGGATCGATGGTTGAGAATTGATAAATTTTATAATGAGCGGTTTATGGTCACTGCCATTGTCAGATCCAATATAAAACGCTGATCCTTATTTGTGTGCAAACCAAAACATATGTCGACTGATGCTTCGTAGCCTCCTCATGATATCCATGGAAGTTAGAAATGGTAGCGTAAGGAGCGTTCTTGGGAGGGGTTATGTGCTTTGTTAGTGTAATGATCGTCGGGTCGTTGGGGTTTGATACAACTGTTATTGTATTACTTTTATTGTGATCAATTCCTGTGGATTCCCACCCACGTTGGAATGTGTGGAAATGAACGAGCCGATGTACTGGCTGCTAAGGGCGCATATACAAGCATAGGAAACCCGAATCAAGCATAATTATTATGGCTTATTTTCTTTTAGGGTCTGAAGGCAATCTGACAGGGACTTGGTATATTATGTTCACCAATATAGGAGTGATGCTGCTAGAAATTTTCTAGAAAATATTCCACAAAATATAGGTAAATTGGACAAAGAATTGCTCTTTAGAGTACTGTACTATATTTATTAGTGCCAGAAGGGTCACCATCTGTGAGATATCTCAAAACATGCACTGTAAATCATTTGCCAACAGCAAGGCTTGTAAGATTGGATCATCACTGCTTTGATTACTATTAATCACTTCCTATCACCACAGGAAGCATGGTAGGATATGGGGGCAGTGGTGGCAACCAGTGGAGAAGGGTGGCAGTGATGGTGGTTGCAGTGACGACACTGGTGGAGGGTGTTGAAGCTGGGTCCAAGGAGCCCCTCACTTGCTGGACATGCTCCTCCAACAGCCACGGCTCTGACTGCTATGTTCTCAACCAGGAGAACATTACTCTTACCACCTCCGTCTCCAGAAACTGCACTCCCGAGGAAACTTTCTGCACTGTTAGTTGACCCGCATGCTTTTATCTTGTTTTTTCCCCTCGTTCTTCTGGTTTCTTAGTTTCTAGTTCTTCTGTTGCTTTACCCCAGCAAATCGTAGTCATAAATGCACTGCCTTCTTCACTTTAATATTCTACTGTCACACTCAGTTTTGTCCACGCACTCTGACATGACAGTCCATAAATCAGCAATACAGACTGGACACAACTCAGTCAAGTGTGATGTTTAGAACTGCAGTAGTTTTATGTTCTCTGTTATTTAAGGATTCGTAAAATATATGATGGTAAAACTAAGGAATATAAAGACTAAATGTTAAATCCCTATTTCTAGGATTTTGTAAAGAACACCATATGAAAAATATATAAACCACCTGTCGTTGACAAAAACAAGTCGTTGATAACTGACTTTGAACTTATTTTGACTAATCATTATGTAACAGACTAGGCTGTTGTAAGAATTATCCAGAGTGGTTTATCGACAAAAGAGAATGGGAAGCTGAGCCGCATGGTGACCTGACCCCCAGGGGAATTCGCGGTGGAAATAACCGACGCTTTGTTCATATCTGCGTATAATGAATCATCCTATAGTATTCAGTAATTTAGAGAAAATTAGCCTTTATTCATTTTGCATTAAAATTGTATTGTATAATAGTACTGGATACAATATCAAGAGTATTCTAATTATTGAGTTTAAGTCACCATCAGTGACGTCACGAATCAGATCTAACTTTTGAGGCGGAGTGACCGGCGGTCATAGGTCAGCAGGGTTGACATGTCTAATATTTCTCAAAGTTTTAATAACCATTTTTGTGATCGGGAACAGCTCTGCCGTTAGATGTTTGTAATTTAATTCAGTAAAATAATTCAACCAGTCTGGATCAATTAAGTACAACAGAGTTTAATTGTTATAACTTAACCTTGCTAAAGTAACTGGGTAAGCGATGCGGAACAATACAATACTCTGTCTGGGGTAGTCCAGACAAGGAAAAAATCAGTGTGGTCACGGAAGCAGCTAGGAGAGGTCAAACATCTTACCTCTCCCCAAGAACAGGCCCAACACCTAGAACTGTGGTCGCCCAAGGTATAGTTGCTATTGTTAAGTATAGAAATAGTCTCATTTGCCACTCAGGTCAAGTAGGGAGTGTTAAATTGATAGGGAGTGAACATATTTAGATTTTGTTTTAGTTTTCGTTTAATAAATTAAATTTGTTATTAATTTGCATTTTATTGTTTCCATGTGTTTTATGTGTATACTTGTCCTGGTCACGTGGTCCACACGAGGCAGAGTTGCATTGGGCGCCGATTCTAACATCGAATCGGAATTATCATTACCGTGTAATTTATTCCACACTCAAGGTCATCGTTTATAGTGGGGATCAAGCCCCTAGGTTGATAAATTAGCGTGATCGATCCAGACCTCGATCATTGCTCTTGTATTACTGGTCTGGTGGTGGCAGCAGAGGTGACTCTAGGGTTTTGTTCAGAGCTTAGGTCACGTCATACTGGGTGTAGAATCCTAAGTCGGTCAATCGTCTTAGGACCACGTGGCGTGGAGTTGGCTTTGGTAAAAGTTTTGGAGTCCCTTGGTTTAGAAATAAAAGTAAGAATACGGGTAGAGGGAGTAGAAAGAAGGAAGTAAAGAGAGAGGAACAGAACCCGTGTTACAATTAAATAAAGTTAATAAACAGGAAATGTTTCTAATATAGATTTTATGGTAATGAATATAATTAAGTCAACATTATACAAGCAGCAGGTGGGAGAGTAGAGCCTCACAAAGCACAAACACTTAATACGAACATGACACATCAAACTGAAGAAGGTTTTAAGCAACTTTTGGTAAATATTGAGGTGACCATGTGACCATTTGTTGTGTTTTGCATGTTAAAGCAAAAGCTCTCGTCTTGGGCTTATCATGAGCCTGGTGAAAATTATTAAAAATTTGCAGAAATTGTCTTATAGTAAAGTATAGTATATAAAATATCAAAATATTGTGTCAAAATTTAGCTTTTCAAAATCAGGTACTGTATTTATATAAATTTAGACAAGCTTTTGACATTACAAATAATAAAGTGTGATGATACAATGGCTTGCGTCAGCTAACAATTCTTAAGTAGAAAACTGTAGCTTATGAAGCTTCACTGAATGTATGAAGACAGGGTAACGATAAACTCCAGTAGAGTGTTGTATAATATTTTTATTGGCTGAACAACCAAGATAACTAGCAACCTGGGTTTGTTTGCAAACTTACAATTGGGAATCCTGGGTTCGGATCCCAGGTAGGACAGAAATGGTTGGGCACATGACAACATTACATTAAGTCAACCGTGAGGAGACCTCGATACAGCCTAGCATGCATACATACATACATACATACATATACAGGCTGCCTATACCCTGACAAAACAAATTAGTAATTATTAATAATTAGCAGATTGTAATGATCAAATCAACTATATAGCAGTTTGCAATTGTCAAGATAAGTAGCAGCTTAGGATGATCAAACTTGGTAACTAGCAGCCAGTAATGACGGGGCAAGATCACTTGCTGCTTTTGATAAAATAACAAGTAACTTGTAACTGCCGGCTTGTGATCAAGCACATTAAGAGCAACTATAAAGAGTTGATGACTAACAGCTTCACTGTAACTATATTTAGCAGCTTGTAATGAGGTAGTTAACTAGTAGCTGTTAATGACTAAGGAAATGACATCCAGCTTGTTATGACCATGCAAGATAACTATCTACTAGTAATGGTAAAGCAAGATAACTAGCAGCTAGTAGTGACAATGCAAGATTACTACTAGTTCATATTGACCAAGCAGGATAACTACTGTAGCTACTTATAATAACCAAGATAACTAGCAGCTCATAATGATCAAGATAACTACCAGCTTGTAATGATCAAGTTAAATAATTAGCAGTGGCCCACTCACATGAACGTCCTATTCTGAAAAAAACTAACAATTTAATATAGGCCTTCACTAATAAATATATGAAAATGATTACATTATGCACTTTATTAGGTATGTCTTGATGCTGGTGTTGGCCTGCACACAGGTGAAGAGGGTGTGGTATGTGGTGGAGGCAGGAGCAGAAGAGATGGACTTCGGTGTGAACCGCACATGTGCCGCCGTCTGCAACCCCTCCTGCATGGTGATCGGCGATAGAACAAAGGTATCCAAGATACACACACATATACCGAGTATATACAGTAAATATACCGAGAAGTGTCACATTTAGAAACTAAAAGTTGGCAAATAAGAGTGCATCTTGCTCTATTGACATTCCTTCAGGTATACCTGTATATAGAAATAGTCTGTAACAGATGGTGAGAATTTATAGAAGTCAACTAATTGGTGGTTATCCCTCAGATCTACTCATGCACGTCCTGTTGTTCCGAATCCTACTGCAACACGGGCAGTTCTGCTTCTCCTAGGCATTCAAGCAGCACCCAACTTCTATTGGCTGCCCTCCTCGCAGCACTCATGCCCACACTTACTTCTGCTCTCGTACCCATTTTGACCATGGCTCTAAGGCCCACGTCGACACATGCAGCAATGCAGGTCACTGACTTCAGTTACCACTTGGGCACTTGTACACATTGTGACACAAGGACATTCTGCTCGTTCCTCCTCATCATCGTCTTGGCTTCTTCCAGCGCTAGTCGCAACTTTTAAAAATCTTCATATTTTTACAAAAAAATACTTCTTTTTTACAACCATGTGGTAATTTTTTTTAATGAAGTTGATCACTGACAGATCTTCAATGTTTTCCTATGAGAATTAAGGAAGAGTATATTTTAGTTCAATTACCAAAGAAACTTATTAGAAAATATTTTAATCTTTACAAAAAGTATTATTTATGACTGATACTGCATGTGATACTAGTGAAGTTAAGTAGTAGTAAGTTAAACTTGTTGATGTTGAAGGCCCTGCCTTGCCTAGATTACATATAGGGTTGCAGGTGCATGAGATTTGACAATTTATGTTGTATTGAGTGTAACCTGAAATTTGACTCGCCTGATCTTCCAAATGGAGACTCGTAACTCCAACGTTTTGATGTATCCTTAAACTGTATACAAGAACCACGTATTGTACTCTTCTGATCCTTTGCTCCAGCTTTAATAGTCATCTGCTGGGATTTTATAATGGCATATCTTTTGTAGACATATCACTCAAAGGGAAGACCAGCTCCCAAGATAACGTTTATTCAGACTTCACAGCATTATACAGTACTGTACAGAGATTTTGTAACATAAGATAAACAAATCATTTTTATGGAGAGAATAGGTTGGTTGTGGTCTTGTACTTATGTTAAGAATGAGGTTTGGGTAGGTAAAAGTTTGTTGTGAGGCATAGCAGATATATCTCATGAATGATGATTATTGTACATGATTTACAGTACATGTCAGAAATAACTATTTTAGTGACCCATAAGTTTAAATGATTTTTATATAGCTCATTCTACCAACTACTTAAGCGTTTAAAATGCTCAAGTAGTGTTTGGGTAAAAGCTTAATAGTTCTTATGCAATACATTTTTTTATATATTTATTGAGATGTATTTAATACATATATAATGTATTCATATTATTTGTTTATTGATTCAGTATTATTCTTCATAGAGCTTAATCAGAAGTTTTGTTATAAGCAGTTATTCTGGACCTCCTTAACAACACAACTATTGAAAAACATATTACTTAATTTTGATGTTGGATTGTTTTATTAAGACATCACAGTCGTTAATATGCTTATGTATAATTGTTGCAAGCTATAATTGCACACAGTTTTGCAGTTACCTGAATATATCTGAGTTTTACCCTCAGCTGGTAGAATAAAATTGAAACTCAGCTGGTAGAATAAAATTGAAACCAATATTAGACGAGGCCAAATAAGCATGTTGTATAATCTGCTTTAGTCTCAGTAGTGAGACATTCAAGCACAGGTGTTAGCTCCAAATACTGAAACATACGTATGCCCCTCGTTTCTTTACAGTTTTTTTTTTAAAACAGTATTAATTTTTATTTTGATCATTAGTATACATCACTACTAAATTCTGATGTACAGGTTCAAGTTCTTTTATTACAAACTTGATGTAACATAATTATTACTACTTTTATAGATTTATTTTAGAAGTTAGTGTTATTTACAATGTACCTAAACTATTCATATAACCATCATAGGTTTGATGTTGCAGCTTAGAAACCCACTTTCTAAATTTGTATCCATTATTCTTTAACAAATTATTATAGCTATGTGTACTGTAATTATGAATCTTTTTGAGGTATCATAAAGATAGCTATGAACCCTAAATAATCCATATTAATCATTATGAATTATCTGGTCATTTTCCATCATAAAAAATATATACAGTAGATATATAGATACTCAACATTTCATTAATATCTAAGTTTCATAAATCAAGCACTGAATGTAATGAAACATTGTTTTCTGGTGGACCCTCAGTAGCTTCCTAAATTAAGCCCTGGCCCACTTGTGCTTCAGGAAGATGCACCAGACCGACCCCTTGCATCCTGGACGCCACAACCAAAATCTGCACCTCTCTACGAGGTGAAGGAGAATGGGAGGGGGGCACTTGCAGGAATAGAGATCAACCCATAACAGAAAAACACTTACCATAATGCATTGCAACATAAGCAACTGCATGGAGAAAATTAGGTACCCAGAGGTAACGAGGCAAATGACCGTTGTTGTTGGGTCAACAGTTGAAAGTGTTGATTATATCTGGAATGTTATTTCTGTCAGGGTTTGGTTCGGGCAGCTTGTGAGTGCAGGAGCCTTGTGTGACTTGGGGCTGCCACTAGGTGGGGGAAGGTCAACTAAGGGATCTATCAGGAGAGAGTGCCAAGCCATTACAACTATATAGCACTTGGAAGGGGTCAGGATTAGAATTTGGGATAGGCCGGGGAAAGGAATGGTGCCCAACCACTTGGACGATCGGGGATTGAACGGCGACCTGCATGAAGGGAGACCGTCGCTCTACCGTCCGGCCCAAGAGGTCAAGTGCATCATGGTTATGGTTTTAACCCTGCGACAACAATAGTTGTCCTCATTACCTCTAGGTACCTAATTTTGACAAGCACTTGCTTATTTTACATATATGTATTGGAGATTTTTTCTTGGTTGTGGGTTGATCTCTCATCCTGCAAGCTTCCCTGGTCTCAGAACTGGAGCTAGATCCTGGCTCTCAGTAGAAGGGTCGCCTCATAACCCTGGTGCATAACACTTGTCATGACCGAACCATTGCTTATCTCTGGTAGCTACTGAAGAAAGCCTGTCCCAGAAAATACTGTAAATGAATAATTACTTGTCAGTATAATTTATTTGCACACATACCTATATAGATAATGTTATCATTTACTTTTCTGGAAGACAAAATTCATAGATAAAATAAGAAATATCAGAATGTCTTGGTTATAAATCTTGTCTTGGGTGTTACAATTTGTTAGGTGATAAAGGATAAAATGTTACTTGGAACTTTACAAGCATGTAAATCGCAAAGTATTTTGGTAGAGATTGTAGACATGATGTTTACTGGGCAAGAACATAAGCATTTTCATATTCATTTGTCAAGAACATAGACAGCTTCATATCCACCAGTCAAGAATATAGGAATCTTGATGTTCATTTGTCAAGACTGTAGGCACCTTCATATTAATCAGTAGAGAACATAGACATCTTGAGATGCGGTACTGTGGTCGAGACTGTCATAATCTCAGCGATCATTTGTTGAAGATGTAGGTACATTGACACTCACAGGTAGAAAATATAGTCATCTTGATGCTTCACAGACAAGAGCTTTGTAGATACAGTATCTATATTGTTTGAGAACCTTCGTATCTCTGCAATGCCTGGTTAATATCACCCGTAGCTCTTTGATGGTTAATTGATCAATCTTGTATTACTTGGCTCCGTAGTTGTCTTCTGTTATTAACATAACTGTTGCAATAAATGAGTCCTACATGGATTCTGTTCAAGAGAGGAGTAGCACAAAATGATGTTTGTGGTAGCATTACTACAGTAATAACGTATTTGTTTACAGTACTTAAATACCCACAGTACAAAAGAGATTTTAAGGAAAGGAGGAGCTTCTATTACAAAATAAAAAAATGTAATCGAATATGAAAATTGGATAAAAAGTTTGTAAAAAGTCAAATTCTAGGGAGAGGAGTAGTTAATTTATATGTCCCAGTTCCTGAACATAGTTACTATTCTGTTAAGAAAACATGGTACATACAGAAACTTGAATTTGTTGTCCAACAAAATTACTATACAAGTTTAATGACAATCATACCAACAATAAGACGTTGCATAAAAAAAGGATTAATTAGCAAGGAAAATAAATGTGTGGAAGATGAGAGGTGATAGAGCACAAGATGCAAGTCTGAAGCAACAGTACCAAGCAAAGGTGAGGCAGAATGTACAGTAACCTATATGAGCAGGAGAGCATAAGACAAAGGTGAGGCAGAATGTACAGTAACCTATATGAGCAGGAGGAGAGCATAAGACACAAAGGTGAGGCAGTACAGTATATATATAATCTACGTGAGCAGAGGGAGATCATTAGACATGAAGGTAAAGGAATGTAATGCTTGTGATGGTAACCAGTGTCTATAAGTGAGGGGAGAAAAAAAGGTGAAAGTAAAAACAAAAGTGATATATATTTGTTGAGAATGTGTGAAGAATGGTGAAGAGAAATGGTAATCCCACAGATTATAGGCACAAATTACTACAGGAATCATCTTTGAGGTGTGTGCTTGGGTAAATTCCATCTGCGGGAGAACACTGTAAACAGGTGTACAAATGCAGCAGTATTCTAAATAGGTTAAGTATAAATTCGGTGCTTAAAGTTACCCTAATTACATGATTGTTGCTAGTGGCTTATCACATGATTGTTAATAGTGTGTGTGTGTGTGTGCGAACTAGTGTTTAATCACCAAAGTGTAGTTCCAGGATGAGAGCTACACTTGTGGTATACCGTCTTCCTATAATCTTTGTCATATGATGCTTTGAAACTTAATGGTTTTGACATCCATCTTCTCATTTAAATTGCTCCATGCATTTACAACCCTGTTCACGGAGAGAACTTTTGAACATCTTTTGCCTTCTAAGCTCAAGTCTGTGACCCATTGCTTTAAAGTTCAGTGGTTCCCAACCTCTTTTTATTGGGAACAGCTCTATTTTCTAATACAGTACCGAGACTCAAAAGACCCCGAAGGTCAAGACTCACTGTTCTAGACGTTGCAGGTTTTAAAAATTCCTCCTTGTCAACTTCGTCCATTCCTGTCTCAAGTTTGTATATTGTGATCATATCTCCTGTTTTCCCCATTTACTAGCTTTTGCATGCTTAATACCTAAAGTATTTTCTCACAGTTCTTGTTTTTTTCAAGTCTGGAAGTCATTTGGCAGCATATCTGTGTATATCAGCAATACACCTCATTACTTTGTTTCACAAATGTGAACAATTTCTTTATTATCTATATCAATGTATTTACAAGCTATTTTAAAAATTAATAGTATGTACATATAGTGTAGGCTCTTACAATGCTTTTGATGTGGTCCTCTGGTGACAGCTTACTATCTAGAACCACCACTAAGATTTCTTTTTTTGACAGTTCTTATATATTATTTCACATAACTTGTAGGTTATTTGTGGCCAGTTTTCACTTGTTACATTTTCATTATGTTGTATGTGTCCTCATTAAATTCCATCTACCATGTGTTGCTCCATTCACCTATTTTGACTAGGTCATTTTGAAGGCCATGGCAGTTATCTAAATTTTTTTTATCTCCCTAGTACAGTAACTTAACATCTGCAAACATTCATGTAACTGAATCCCCCTCTGGTAGAACATTTATAGACAATGAAATTACTGGCATTAAAACTGAACTTTGTGGTACTCCATTAGTGACATCCTCCAGTTTGATATATTGTTTCTAATTACCACTTTCAGTTTTCGATCAGAAAATATTTCATCAAAGTAGTAATCTGCCTGTATGCCCTTTGTGTTCTAGCTTGCAGAACAGCCTCTAGTGTGTGTGGGCATGAGCATTAGTAGGTGCGTGTGGACCGAGAAGTAAGCTGTGTATTTACTATTTGTATCTGCAAAATCGAGCGATTAGCTCTTGGATCCCGCCTTTCTAACCAATTTATTTTTCCTCTATTATGTCTAATACATATATTTCTCTTACACATGTGCACACACACACACACACACACATCCCCAGGATGCAGCTGTATCCAGGTACAAGTACAACTCCCAGGTACCTATTTATTACTAGATGAACATAGATATCAGGGTGAAAGAAACTCTTCCCATTTGTTTCTGCCTCTCCCAGGCCCTTAGGACTACGACCCCAGAGCGCTGGGAGTCGTGTGTGTGTTCGGTTCTCTCTGCTGGAGTGAACAAATGAGCATGCAGTAAATGCATTACATAAAAATAGTGTGTAATTTAAATTATTGGTCACTAAATGAAAAGAATGTTATCTTAAAAGAATACAATATAAACATGTATTATTTAAGGGTCTACTCCATATTTGTTTATACAGTGTACATGTCGTACATGACATTAATGTTCTGAGCCATCAGTGTGTACCCAAGTGTAAATGTTCTGAGCATCTCTAGGTTCTGCTCAGTGACACTTAAAATGTCTAGGCTCCTTATGTTTTCTCAGTTTTTGAGTTATAGGTATAAATTTGATACCAACAAGTTTGCAAATGATTTGTCTAAGAGTTGAGATGTGAAACAAAATGTGTCTTGATAAGACTATGCATGATGGGGCAGAATATATGAATGTTTTATGAACATTTCAATATATATATATATCCAAATTAAATGTGGAGGTATTTAATGGTCTACACCCTGTAAAAAGAAAACAATCATTACTTTCACTTCTCTGGCAGGCAAGTTGCAAAGCATTGTGAAAATACGTCTTGAGCGAGAGGTAGTTGGCTAAGATATCATCTTGGCAGGACCCCCCAACCCCTTGATACTTTGCTTGGTGTTCTAATAAGTTATGCCTACACTGTGATTAAAAAAATTGAAAATGTGACTTAGGAATTTCAAAATGGATAACACATTTTATCATCATCATCAGAATGTTTATGGTCAAAGTACGGATGACGCAGTTGAGCATCAGCGGAATGATTAAGTGTTAAATACACTAGAACCACACTACAGTACTTGGCCTTGTTCCTCCCTTATAATATTAACATTATTATACTGACAACATGAAATTCTATCTTACTTAGTTTTACTTATGTTAGGCAGTATTGAAGAAAAATTTGCATATTTAGATTAGGTTTCAAAGATACCACAGTTTTAACTTAAAAAAATTATAATAATCCTATCATTCACATATATTATAATGTTTATTATATTATAATAAATATAATAACCTATCATTTATACTGAAATAATAAAAAAAATTTACACTAAGAAATTTTTTAGAAAACGTAATATTTAGGAGAATTTGACTTATTATTCAACTCTGGCCATTAAATAATATACATAAATATAAAAATTATAAATATCCACTATGCGAGTATTGTAATCCGACGATCTAATATTTCTCATAACTAAAACATTTTATATATGTATATAGGTTACCACCACTGGCTCAATTGGTAAGGACCCTTAGTCTTGGAGCAGTAAATAAAAGGCACTTGAGGGAGCTTTGTAGAGTTTCCAGGTTTACACCCAAATACAGTACTGTATTGTATTGTATTCAGCCACCCTCAACTGTTTTTACTATATGATTGTTACAAAAATTAACACAGCTAATTTTTGAACTGTAGTTCATTGTGAACATCAACCATTAGGTAACAACAAAGAATGAAACTAGCACTTCTCTCTAATGCCACAATGGAAAAATAAAGCAGTCTGCCATTGGGTGTGTGTAATGTTTCAATGAGCCTGGAACCCAAATTCTTGAGGAAGTTCATAGCATTTTTTTTTTTTTTACAAGGAGCCTAGGGTCTTAAATTCTACAGGGGGCAAAATGTTATTGGGTGACCAGATCCCTGTCAGAGGCAGCTGCATATGCTTGATTGGTGTGCCGAGGTGGATATACGTGTCAGCGAGGGTGGATACACATGTGTAATCCCACACCAGCTGTGTATGATTCTTCCATGCATGTAGTGTAATTCCATCTTGACAACCAACAGGGTTGGCAGAATTATGGAATATTAGAAAACGAGGTTCTCCCTCTGCTGGGCGGTGGCGAGGCTCCTCATGATGATATTGCCGTCTTTGTTTCCTGTATGCTATTCCTTAGTGTTCACAATCTAGACCATGCAGCCTGTTTTTGTCGGCTTCTGCCTTGCCACGTAGTGTATACACACAGTATATTTATGAAATTTGATTTCATAAATAAGTTATTCTTCAATGCTGTGAAGGATGGCTGACCAAGGGGAAAATATTGCATTTATATTAGTGCATTTAAGAGCCATTTTGTCCTGGCCCATCTTAGTCATTTCATTGAATGTGCCAAAAGGAAGCTATACATTCTAGAAGCAGATCAATTTTGTCCACACTGCATGGTGTAAGTTTTATGTTCAAATAAACTTTTAGTGTACTGTACCCTGTATTCTATTTACAAAGTCTATGATTATATTTTATGAAAACAAAATTGATGAAGTAAGAGGGTCCAGCCGGTGCACCTGTGCCATACCGTGGTCCCTCCTCCACCCCGTCCCTTGACCTGTGCTCGATGTCTTTCATTAAACATATTCGGCAGAGCAAAATTTGTTTTATTACACACCGTGCTTGGTGGCTCGTGCTTGATCACAAGCTGGATCCATAGACATTTTGTTCACTTAGAAACCTGTCGTACCTGTCCTGTCGGTACGACAGGTTACCAAGATTATTCGCATCAAATGTAATGGAAAAACGTCCAGTGGAGTAAGTCCTTGTATTTGCTGGACTGGAACTTGCAGAAAAACAAAATCAACAAAGTATTTTACATATTATATTTTTTGTAGCAAATTTGATATCATAATGTGCACATTTTTAAGCGTGTTCTATAGTTCACACTAATAAAACCAATTTCTAGTATAATAAAAAATTTAAACTTAAGATGCATGAACAAATAGTGCATGCTAATTTAATGTATTGATAAAGTTTGACTCATACATACAGGCTTAGTGCTCCACATCATCTACTTAATTTACACACGTGTCTGATTATAATAAATACAAATTTATATTTCAGTTTCACAAGCAAAGTTTAAATTCCACAAAATTGTTTCACCTATAAATAGTCAATGCTCCATTATACAGATTTAACTGCTCCCCAAAATTAAACTAGCTATAGATATTACTTGTTGGGTACCAACTGGGATAATTGACTACAGATGAAATATCCACAAAATCTATAAATCCTTGGTATATGTTTTCTGCTTTAATGCCATAGTTTATTTGGAAAATTATCAGTTTCATACAGTACATTATAACCAAATATAATCATGTAAAAAAACTATTCATAAATGGTAATACATTTGTGAGCGAGTGTACTTTTTATGTATATATACTACCATTTATGAATAGTTTTTGATTTGATTGATATAATGTATTGTAATGAGAGATCCGGAAAAAATTACTAATACAAAATGAAATGACAAACGTGATATATCTATGAGAAAATATTGAGGCCGCACGTTGGGTTCCTATCGTACGGCTTCAATATTTTCTAAAAATTAATTAATCTGTTTTTTTCTTATTCTTTACCATGTGTGGGTTCCATGTTGGACTATATACTCTAGCAATGCTCTAACATTGACCATGTATATAACCTTGGAAGATTTTCTGTTAGGTTCTTAAGTCATCCATATGTTTGCTAGACCTGGACATATAGCTAATGATCCTGTTAATCTGGTGTTACATCCACTCCCAGGTCCTCCTTTTCTGACTCTTGCAACTTCCTCCCTGCTAGACTACTATTCTTCTGGTACCCTCTTCCACACTTCATTAGTGTGGAATTACATCACACCACTACCTATAAAATTATCAAGAGGAATTGACAGCTCCTTCCCTCTGTTCTATCCCAGCCCCTCCTCCTCACATATAATTACCATACCTTTGAAGATATATAGCTTTCCGAGTTAAATGCAAATAGCAGTAGAGTTGCTTTATTAAAAAAAAAAAAAAAAAAAAAAAAAGGAACAAGGCTATCAGGACTGTAAAAAAACGGCAGTAAAAAAATTGCTGATCGCAAAAGGAAATGAAATTTTCAGTCATGTAGTAGAGAGAAATAGTAGGGGAAAACTGTTACCACTATTATTCAGTATTTTTATTATTAAAACAGCAAAATATTAAAATGTAGAGGGCCTTGGTAGTCCCCATACAAGTGTTAAAAGTAAACTCGGTACATTACATATAAAACGGATATCCCCACCTGCTTGCACAGATGAACAAGACACACACTCGAGCAATGATCTAGGGATACATATAAAGCCTAAACAAATATCATTGCTAAAAACTGAACACTTGACCATCATTTGTGGACAACGAGTTGGTAAGTGTAGCAACTATTGCTTGACCATACAAATATGGACTGTTGCGCGCGCGCGCGCACGCACACACACGTGTAATTTAGGTAATTACACTTAGGTAATTACACACACACACACACACACACACACACACACACACACAATATTTCTGTCCGTAAATGTTAATTTTGTAGAGGGCATGAAAAAGAAGGCAACACCCAAGCCTAAACTTGCAGCCTAGGTTAGGTTGTATAGTTACTGTTGTAATTTGTAGTGCAGCATTTGGAGTATGCCAATAATACACAATGCAAATTACTTTGTATACAACAATCTATTTTGCAAGAATAAAAAAAAACTAGTGATTTAGTTATGCATAATTATCTACAAGGGAAGAATGAAATGGATACGTTCAGAATTGCCGTATTCTTCCTCCTTTTTGGATACTTGCACACCAGTCCATTTCTGCACGTTACACCAATAATTGCCACAAACCATCATGTTTGCAGGATGGGCCACTTTTTACACAATCTTGATGGACAGAGAAATATAAATTGCAATTTTACACTACACAAATATGTATGTATGTATGTATGTATGTATGTATGTATGTATGTATGTATGTATGTATGTATGTATGTATGTATGTATGTGTATATTATATATAATTTATACTATTTTTTTTTTACTTCTGAGTAATAAGAGAATGCACCTGGAGCTTCAACTCTCCGGGTGCATGTAGAAGGTCTGATCCGGGACTCGTGGCAATGTAAACAGAAACTCAAACTTAGGACTAACACATACAGATTATACTATTAATACAATACTGTACTAACACTTGTGCACAATATGCAGGACACACCCTCCAATGACCAGTTGGGGGTGGTGCACAATTATCAACCACAACTACGAAGGTGGTGCACTATAATCACCTACCAACAGTTTAATGTAATATTGGTCACACTACAGCTGACAGGTACTCGTCTCCATACTTGAACGAGTCATTGTCACAATGACTGAATGCTACAAAACTAAGGCAAATTATTAGAATGTTTCACACTAAAGCTTTCTTTATAATGTCGACGATCAGTAACAAAGTGCACCAAGACTAGTCAACTGGGTCTGACATACAACCTTATTGACAGACATGATGCTAAAGGGCCTGGAAAAAAATTAGGCTTATGCTGGTCACGATTCATTTCTTGCATGGCGAAAAGTTTTGTACCAAATATCTATTGCTTCTTAAATGTGCTTGCTGAGATAACTAATCTAGATGCCTCTGGAAGGACTGTGTGTAAAAACTATAATCAGGCTACAATAAAACCCTTAATTGTGTAAGGCAGGATTTCCTGAAATATCTTGTGCAAAGTGATCACTTGACATTATACAGTACTGATAAAAAATGGATCCATTCCAGTCATATCCTAAGGTCTGGTTGTTGTATACTCCACTTTTAATAAAACACCAGCTTCTACATTAATTCCAAATATACCCACCCCCTTCCAGCCACAAATATACAGTACTGCATAAAATAGTTACAGATTGGTGGATTTTACGATGAAACAATATAACCCTAACAGAAATGTCAAAACAAAAAGGGTGCAAAAGGAGTCAAGGTCAAATCATGGTGTTGAGGTTGTGTGGGGGAACTGGGACCTCACAGACGACAAGAAGCATGGCAGCAGATGACGGTGAGCGTGTGGAATGTACTGAAAAAAGTTACAGTCATCACCTCTATCCACAGATTCAAGAGGAAGTCAGAGTGAGCAAGAATATCTAGAGATTTAAGAACACCAATAGCAAGTTGGATGCAGGAGCTAAAATATCTTAATCTCCAGACACCAATAGATAAGAACTGCTTAGATTCTCAAATACCAAACACAACACATTTAAAAAAAAAAAATAAGAATTAAAAAGTAAACTCTGCATCTTTTAAAACTTCTGCAATTCAAGAACTTATCGAACTGCTAAATCTAAATATAATTATCTTACGGATTGTTTTTCTGGTGAATTTTTACTTTATTCTGTGGCTTGAGTTCACCTGTTCACCCAAACTTACTGGAAATTGTAAAATATGTATAGAAAGTTATAAACAATTTTCTTTCAAACAATTCAAATACAAGTTTAAGCTCGTATCATCAACTTTGAAGCTTCTGAAGCAACAAAGAACCCCCTCTCTCAAAACAACAGACATCACCCAGGGATAGCAGTAACCACAGGAGCCAGGAGGCCTGGTTGACGACCGGGCCGCGGGGACACGAAGCTCCGGAAGCACCTCAAGGTAAGGTAAGGTAACCAAGCCAAGTTTACCCTCCAAATTTCTTAGAAAGCTCCTCAAGCACCGACATAAATTCCTCCTCCTCTTTAGTAGTCACTTTGGTTGATGCCAAAGGCAGGTGAGTGGGAACAGGACTTCTATCTGGAAAATTAAAAAATTTCAAAAATATAAAACCACACTCAATTTCATTCATTCTGTATTTTCTGTACCTCTACACAAAGAACAAAGCACAAATCACAAAAACAGTATCAAGTATCACCGCTAAATCGTTAAGTATCTCCAAGAAGATTCCCTACAGTTTTCACCATGTTTTTGTTCCAAATTCACAGTGGCTAAGCATTGTCTGGAGAATATCTTCATGTAGCAATACGATACTTTCAAATCTTGTGTGTGATGGTGTAAGAAAATCCCTGTTACCACAGAACCTTGTAGCTCATGTTTTGTGGTACTCAACAGTACTGATGGCAAAAATACTATAAGAAGCTTTGCAATACGTATTGTGCAATTATGTGCCTAAGTATTGTCCAACTATGTGCCAAAGCATTGTCCAACTATGTGCCAAAGCATTGTGCAATTATGTGCCAAAGTATTGTGCAATTATATGCCAAAGAATTGTGCAATTATGTGCCAAAGTATTGTGCAACTGTAGCAAAGTATTGGGCAACTATGTGCCAAAGTATTGGGGAACTATTTACCAAAGTATTGTGCAATTATGTGCATAAGTATGGCGCAACTATGTGCCTAAGTATTGGGCAACTATGCACCAAAGTATTGTGCAATTATGTGCCAAAGTATTGTGCAATTATGTGCCTAAGTATTGGGCAACTATGCGCCAAAGTATTGTGCAATTATGCGCGCAAGTATCATACAATTATGTGCCTAAGTTTTACTCTTGGAAAGGAATGGTTCAAGATTAATTTATTTGGAATTGTTGTCATTAGGGGCTGTCTTTTACCAGTAAATTTTCATCTTCATAACCCAGTTTTAAAACTAAATATTCTTTATATCTGTAGATTGAACGTGACTGCTTCCTCTAGCCAGTATCTGAGTATCCTAACACATATCTTGATAAAGGTCCAGGACAGACCGAAACGTCATCGTTTCTTCATCTTTCGATGTGTGGTTTGGTCATCAAATACAAAGAGTGTTATACTTAAAATTGTCAAGACAGTCTCAATTTCACATAGACACCATGCATAAAACAAAAATTCCTACTGGGGATACATAATTATTAAAAGCTAAGCAAATGAAGGAGAGGAATTCTGATTTAATTACTGAAGTTGAATATCCAATTGCCGCAGAGAATAAATTTGTAAAAACTTAAGAAAACTAAAAGATACCTGGTATTCTTATAATTTTACTGCTTTTTTTTATGAAACTTTTATTCAAACTTTTATTCTTAATATTTAATACAGCAAAAAATCTAGAATATAAATTGAACTTTAAGCACCTACCTTGAAAGAACAGTCCTGAAGAATGAACAATGACTGCTGGTGACACTGCCAACCACACAGCAGTATCTGCTCCCTCACCACCTTCTCTCAGCTTATCCTTCATCTAGGACAAAATATACAAGTTGGAGTAAATATGAAAACACACACACTTGTGAGCACAACACTTCAGCTACTCTTAAGTTATACTGTGTTTTAGACCAGGATTATGCTGTTAGGCTGGGTGGCAGTCTTGGCCCAGATACCATAGGGAACCATTCAGTTGGTTCCTGTTGGGTCACTCTGCATACAAGCATGAACCCTTCTAATTAAACACAAGCATAGACCACAGTACGACAGAATATAACAGAATATATATCCCAACATGCAGACAATTATATCTGGACACAAGTGATCAGTCCAACTGAGGATGTCTGAATGCAATTTAGTTGATTGTATAAGGAATGGTGTATCTACAGAACAAGACACATTTTATGGCACCTTTTCATAGAAATCTGGCATGGAGACCCGTAAAGCTGGAGTGTCTGTCCAGCCTGGATGCATACAAGAGAAATGAATCTCTGGATGATTTTTAGCATATTGCTCTGTCATTACCACCTGAAAAGCAAGAGAAGCAATTACAACCTTCTTAACAAACTCTTTGTAAATCAAAGGAGTTACAGCTATTCCATATACTGTACATTACAATATAATTTGAATCAACCACTGTTGAAATACAAGAAAGCCATGTATCCAGTAGTCATTCTGTAAAGTACTTATATTTCTATACACAATATTTTAGTCATTGACCACCATACTTCAAGCTCTGACTTTCAAATCAACATGTATGAAAATGTCATTACAGTTCAGTACACACTTAATTTAACAAGAATATAGAACTATGCCTCCCCCTCTATAGTCTTGTTATTGCCAGCAAGCCATTAGTTGCTGTTGTCTGTTAGACTATTTGTCTGTCTGGCTTTTACTACTTGCCTGCCTGAATTCAAACTGGGGTCATAGCTGCAACACACACCCCCTCCACCACCATTCTTATTTCTTTGTAGTACTGTATGATTCATGTATATAATATTTGCGCTTATAGATTCCTATTTACAATGTGAATATGAATACAGTATAGTAACCAAGATTCTTCACATATAATAAGCAGGACCGGTATAAGGGTACGTGGAGCCATCGGCAAACTTTCAAGCTCGAGAATAAAGTATTATATCTTGAAAAAGCATTTTAATATTCTGGGTCAAAGTGAGCATTTTCTAGAGTATTCCTAGAACCAGTTTGACCCAACAAGAACAGTTTGGTAGTTCCGAACTTCACCGCCACAGATGTCAACCCGACACAGTTGCACCACATGATAACCACACCCAGGCAGGCTCTTCCCTTAAGAAGCAACCTGGGGCCAGATTCAGAAAGCAGTTACACAAGCACTTACAAACCAGTACATCTTTTCTCAATCTTTGATGGCTTTGTTCACAATTATTAAACAGTTAATGAGCTCCGAAGCACCAGGGGGCTTTTTGTAACAATTACAACAGCTGATTGGGAAGTTTTCATGCTTGTAAACAGCTTATTAAATGTAACCAAAGCTGTCAAAGATTGAGGAAAGATGTACTCGTTCGTAAGTACTTGCGTAACTTTTTCGTGAATCTGACCCCTGGAAATTAGTACAGTATCAACTTGAACATGTGCGCTGTATTTCTTTTCTATAACATTTGAAATGGAGCAATATTAAATAATAATAAAGTGTATGTGATAAAAAAAATAAGAAGTTGGAGAGATAAAACAAAACATTAATCACACCTGTTGCCTTTTGTTCTGAGCATAGGCCATCGTGCCATCATATGGATACATCTTCTCAAACTGCAAGTCTGCATAGTCAAGTTTCTGGACCAACATGCCACCTGAAGTGACTGTTACCACCCTTGGCGTATCACTTCTGTAAAATACATTCAAAATTAGCAAAATTATAACATAATAGCATTACACTACAAAGTTCCAACACCAACAACTACAAGCACTTTATTTAAATAAAAACTAAATATTTTGTAGACAATTCAGTTTTAACTCCTCCAGGTTTGGTATGAAACAAAAGTAAAAGATTTAGTCAAACATCGGTTGTTTCTAAGTCTGCCCAACCACTTGGGCTGGACGGTAGAGCAATGGTGTCGCTTCATGCAGGTCGGCATTCAATCTCTGACCGTCCTAGTGGTTGGGCACCATTCCTTCACCCTGCCCCATCCCAAATCCTTATCCTGACCCCTTCCAAGTGCTATATAGTTGTAATGATTTGGTGCTTTCCACTGATAATTCCCTCCCTCTAAATCTTTTTAACTTAAAGGAGCAGCTTAATGGAATAGCTCGATAATAAGACTTTGCAGTTAATGTGAAGTGACTTTATATGCAGATTGCATATAAAGGCACTGTTGCTCCCATTCCTTACCTTATGACCTTACTTCCTATGTACATCCAATAGTAGAATATAATAACTATTTGATTTATAACAATTTGGTGACATTTACAGTGATTTCATGACAGATACTTGTGTTTTTTTAATAAAGCCACTTATCACAGACCTCGGAAGTTGCAATCAATTGAAGATTAGCATAGCAAAAACACTGAACTAGTCTGACCAAAATTAGTCCTGAAATTAAGCAGGTTAACAGGGGAAAACAAACATATAATAAAGCACAATTTTGGGAGTTATGAGATTCCATAAAGCACCAATCCTTTATCTTCAAGAGAATCTAAGATCTTACTTCTTTATCAATGGGAGGAGATTAGTGGTGAGTATGTAGGTGCCGAGTGTGTTCGTGGCAAAGTTCTTCTCTAAGTTGTCCTCCGTCAACTGCCGAGGGTTGACCATACAACCAGCATTATTAACCTGAAACCAAGTTCACTTGTTCATAATTTTTTTTAAATTTTACCTTTAAAACTCATGTCTTATCTGCTGGAGAATACAATCCATTAATTTTTGGTACTGAAAATAACCTACAGTATTATTGACAATAGCTTTTAGGGATGACAACACACTTGAGTATGTAGAAGACACAAGATAGAGATATAAGAAGCAATGCTTACCAGTACATTCAGGCTGTCATTCTCCTTACAGAAATCTTGAGTAAACTTGTGCACATCTCTGGGCTTTGACATGTCAAGGATGTGTACAAAGATATTCTGTGGACAAAGAAAATAAATCTTATCCTCAAAAAGATCCTGTTAGTTCTAACAGATACTGATGTCACAATAGCATACCTTTTACTGTACAGCAATATAGATGGATCGCTACATCTATACATAGAGAAGAATTAAGACTTGGAGGGATATAGCTAAAGCAGTTTCCCAAGAATACAGGTAGCATTGTTATTAGCATGATAAGAACAAATACCTGATTATTAGAAACTTCGACAATCTCCTTTTTGGCTTCTTCAGCGGCAGTTGGGTTGCGGCACACCATGTGAACAGTTCCTCCGCGTTTTGCTATTTCTGTAGCTATACACTTGCCAATTCCACTGTTTGCTCCTGTAATAAAGCATTCCAACTTTCAATGACAAATAGCAAATTAATAATTCATAATCAAAATACATGTAATCATATTTTTATTTGTCTTAGGAATAGTAGTGAAAGTATAAAAAATAAATAAAGTATAAAGTATAAAAAGTATAAAAAAAGTATATAAAAGTATATATAAGTATACTGCAGTATAAAAAAAAAAAAAAAAAAAAAAAAATACAATATTTCATTCATATTTTCTACAATCCTGAGCTCCCAGCATATCTTCAAACATTGTAATTTATAATGATATTTACATGTCGGGTTAGTGCCCTACTGTTAATATTCTAGATCACCCTATGCACGTGACAAGGATGTAAGCTGTCAACTAAGCACCACCTGTCTACGAGTAAGTGACGCAAGTAAGTGAAGTGTGACGAGTAAGCTACTTCATTATACTGTACACACTTTGAGGGGACAAATTACATTGAAAATATGAAGCTTTATTTCAGGAACTGAAGAACTGTTGCATGCATTATAGTTCAATGCAGTAAAATTTAATAATTTCCAGTGCACGCATCTACTTTTATGCATTTGTGAAGCCAGTGTCAAGCGAGTGATGTAACAAAATTTACAATAACTGTACATAAACATCCTACATATATATAAACTAGATATATTTTTATTCCTGAATAATGACCAAGAATGGTCCCCCCAAAAAATTGCATTTCAGTTCTATAAATACTGTGCAGCATATAACAACAGTACAGTATATAAATACTGTGCAGCATATAACAACAGTACAGTATATAAATACTGTGCAGCATATAACAACAGTACAGTACATAAATACTGTGCAGCATATAACAACAGTACAGTATATAAATACTGTGCAGCATATAACAACAGTACAGTATATAAATACTGTGCAGCATATAACAACAGTACAGTATATAAATACTGTGCAGCATATAACAACAGTACAGTATATAAATACTGTGCAGCATATAACAACAGTACAGTACATAAATACTGTGCAGCATATAACAACAGTACAGTATATAAATACTGTGCAGCATATAACAACAGTACAGTATATAAATACTGTGCAGCATATAACAACAGTACAGTATATAAATACTGTGCAGCATATAACAACAGTACAGTATATAAATACTGTGCAGCATATAACAACAGTACAGTATATAAATACTGTGCAGCATATAACAACAGTACAGTATATAAATACTGTGTAATATATAAAACTTTAGTACAGTAGTAACAAATATTGTAATATAAAATCACAACCATTTAACTTTCCCCCCTCCCCAACCTAAACATGCATACAGTATACCATTGTTGGTCACGGGAAGCTTGAGAGACTTGCTAAATACAGTACCAAGGTCTCCCTAGTCAAGGAAAAGACAGTCCATGTATTGTATTGTCTTACCAGGGAAAAGCACCAAGCCATTATGACTTTATAGCACTTAGAAGATATCAGGATAAGGAATTGGGATGGGACGGAGGAGAGGAATGGTGCCCAACCACTTGGAATGTCGGGGATTGAACGCCAACCTGCATGAAGCGAGACCGTCGCCCTACCGTCCAGCCGAAGGGGTGGGGACATACAATGACAGTCCATGTAGACACCAATTCAGGACTGGCCTTAACCTGACTGACCAAGTGACACGCACACTGCAACATGCAATTTGAATTTGTTTCAAATCAAATTTTCATAACTCTGACAGTCATGTGCAACGCAGGAAAAAAACGTTGATACCCATTTGGTGCACAAAAGATATGCTATATGTATAAATAACAAGTGCAACTTCAATAATTTGGACTAGCAAGTTGCAGACCAGTTTCAAACATTAAAATGCATGCAATCCTTGATTTGAGTGGGGGGATATTTTCTTGCCAAAAAAAAAAATCCAGATAAAACTTAAAAATGTGACAAAAATGACAATATGTTCCCAAGATCTCAAAAAACAGCTTTCTTCTACTCAATACTAAACAATATCAACTTCAGAATGCTTTGAACAAGGCGAATAAATATTATCAAAGAGTTTGTATGATACAAGAATGCAAGATGTGTGGTTGCCTGACTGCCAAAAGAGTGACAAAACAGAGGACAGAAGCAGATTATCTACCCCAGTCCTTGTTAAAGTATGCTCAACATCTATCCCACCAAGATTCAACCATGTTCTAAACTGGGTATAAAAACTTGTTATCTATTTAACTTCAAATCTACAAAATCCAATACAGTACTGCAAAATTGAAAGCCGCCTTAATTGCTAAATATGGTTTCAATATACTGTACTGTAGAGCAAATTGAAGTTAATCATATGGAGGATATGTAAAACTTCATTTACTACTTACAATTAAAAGTTCTTGACAACTGCAAGGAAAAGTATGCCCAGTATTTATTGCCAAGAAATAGTTAAACATTACAGTATAGTACAGTATTAACATTCATTGGACCCAAATTCCATTTATACGTACCAGGATATAAAATATATTTCAGAATCCAAGCCTGTAGTAGTCTAGCAGATCTCTCTCCATTTGTTCATGAAGGACAAATGTATATATGCTAACTAGCATTATAAATGAATTGCCACATTTATGGTACAAACAAACAAACAAAAATTCCCGTCCCTATCCATGCTGTGATTGAGGCTTTACTTATACGTACTTATCCAATTTGTGTTCCATGATTCTAGCTAATACATACATCAAATTTCCTTACTGTACTGGTATAGAAAAAATGAACAGAGTGCAACATTACATTTGCCAGCATGACTGATGCTCACCAGTTACCATAAAATGGCGCCCACTGCAATCCACTTCCAGGTCATCTTCCTTGAACTTCTTACTGGCAGTCAGGTACCCATTCCTAATAAATTTTAACAGATAACAGAGATAAATGTAACAAGACTAAATAAGGTGTCTTGAACCTTATTACTGTGTAAAATTAAATCAGACAATTCGTATTCATTTTCCAAAAGGAATTAAGCCAGCAAACTTATCTGAGGAGTGCTGCCTAACACAAATGGGTTGCATAACTAGCAATGGCTAATCTACTGATTGTAGTAGTCATGGATACTGTCATTTGAGAAAGGGCATTTGTGCAACTTACATTGTGACTTATCAGTTCTATAACATGAAAGTCTACCCTTACCCTTAGGTACTGTATTCGTTTCTTAAGACAAAATCATCATCTCCATAATAGATTTAAATAAAGAGTAAGGAACGCTTGCATGAAAGGTCAGTTTGAAAACGCCAAATACCGAACAGCAAGTGGTATACGGCCCCTCTGTCCTGATTACTTAAGTGGCCCTGCAACAAGTTATCACAAAGCTCTACCAAGCCCACACACATCAGCTTGCTCCTAGTTACACACAACTTGACCCAAGGTGTGGAGGTGGGGAAGACATTGCTCATAGTTGCAAGGTAATTTTCTTATGGCTATTTTCCAATCCACAAATACCTTCTACCATCTAGAGGGTGGGAATTATCAGGGGAAAGCACCAAGCCATTACGACTATATAGCACTTGACAATGCGATCTAGAAGGTGAAGAAACACTAAATCACTTAATCTTGATTTTATTTCTTTGACATTTCATCAACAACGATGTTACATCTTCAGGAATATACACTTTGACACTAGGGACACAGGTATACTAATTTTACATGCAAAAGCACACATTTATAAGCAAGAGTACACCTCACTCTACAATTAAGTACTGTACTGTATTCCTTAATCATAGATAGCGGTGAAGAATCGGGTGAAACGATTGCTGCCTAACTTCAGGTAATTGTTGCCTACCGGGTCTTATCTTCCCTTAGGATCAATGAAGGGCCATCGAACAATTGTATGCTCGAAGTCTAATTCACTTGTATGTAGATTACTGATATCTGCTCAAATGAATACGGCCTCAAGTCTTTGGAGCCGTCTTCGATCATTGGTACACATGATTATTGAGGTATCTATCACTATGTCTTGGTGAGTCATGACTTGGTGGCTTTGCAAAAATGTAAAAACATCAATGCTATGTACTCTCATAAACCCAATGTACCTTCTTGTATATCTATATAAATAAAAATAAAATAAAAATATATCACAGAATACACACCGCTTTCTCTGGATTAATGCTAGAATTTTCCAATTAGCGAATCCAAACATAAACTAGGGATTGTAGGTACATTGAACAAGCCAACGGGGTGTTTCCATTATTTGGACACACACTCTTGGCACTGCACATCTGTACACTAATAAAAACACACCTACACTTCTTATACAGTTCTCGTCATGACTTCCTTAATTAGCTAAACAAAAAGACTTGTTTTGGTTTCTCATTGTTGGAAAGAGGAAGCCTCTCAGGCTTACCATCATCTACTTGAGCCGCTGGTCACCTTCGTCTACTTTAGCCACTGGTCACCTTCGTCACCATCATCACCATTAGCCACTGATCCATCCCAGGATACAACCCACAACAGTTTACTAATTCCTGAATACCTTGTTTACTGTTCATTGTAGTACAATAAGTTTGTTACAAGCAGTCATTATAATGTCTGAAGATAAACTGTAAATGCTAATGTAAAATATCCACCGAGTTCTAAGACCTTTAGTGCCCTCTGTAATACTTTTACCTTACTGTCGATAGGATGAGTACGCGTTAGACAAACTGATACAAGTCACATCGTACACAAGACGATTCACCAGCGGATTTTGAAATTTAATCTAACCTAGCTCAACCCAACCTAACCTACCCAACTGTGCCCAATACATCCTGAGCTAATACAGCCTAACATAACAATATACAGTGCAGTATATGCTTTTAAGGAATAGAAAGAGCTTCGCCAAAGCATCTCGTGTCCGAAACAACCAGTCCCCGACAAACTACCACCTTGGTTACCTTGTGGTTACCTTGAGGTGATTCCGGGGCTTAGTGACCCCGCAGCCCAGTTGTCGACCAGGCCCCCTCGTTGCTGGACTGGTCAACCAGGCTGTTGGATGCGGCTGCTCGCAGCCTGATGTATGAGTCACAGCCTGGTTGATCAGGTATATCAGGTTGGTCAGGTACCACTCACAGGATGAGTACGAGGTTCACAAACTACCACTGACAGGACGAGTGTGATATTCACACTACTTCAGAATAGTTAACAAATGGAATGCATTAGGTAGTGATGTAGTGGAGGCTGACTCCATACACATTTTCAAGTGTAGATATGATAGAGCCCAGTAGGCTCGGGAACCTGTACACCAGTTGATTGACAGTCGAGAGGCGGGACCAAAGAGCCAGAGATCAACTCACGCAAGCACAACTAGACGAATACAATAAATACCGGCTCATAAGAGTACAAGGTTCACAAACTACCGCTCACAGGACGAGTATGAGATTCGCAGTAATCTAGCCGGCAGCAACCATAAAACATGCTGGGAATCGAATCGAAGACCTCTCACTTGTAATATTATCCAATTACCTATCTTTAGGTAATTCATCTTGGGATGATTTCGGGACTAAGTGTCCCAGTCCTCGACCAGGTCTCCACCCCCAGGAAGCAGCCCATGACAGCTGACAAACCCCCAGGTACCTATTTACTGCTAGGTAACAGGGGGCATCAAGGTGAAATAAACTGCCCATTGTTTCTCGCCGGCCCGGGATCGAACCCGGGGACCACAGCATCACGAGTCCAGTGTTCTGTCCGCTCAGCCACCGGCTCCCCCCCTCCCCCCTAAGTGTAATTAGGTAAAAAAACAGTAAGGCGAATGTGAAACAACGACAGGAAACGCCTTAAATAAGAACTGACTGCTGAAACTCTGTGGTCATACAACAAGCTTCGCCAGTGTTGGTTCCCTTCTCCTACTAGGACCTAACTCACCCCTTACTCTATATATATATACAGTTTGCCAGCTTACTTGGTGAACTCCTTGAGGCCCTTGAAGAACCAGACGGTGTTCCTGTAGAGAGACATGGCGAGGTACCAGAGAGTAATAAGGGTGCCGGGACGCCGCGTGCCTCTCCTGCCTTACAATATTACCCAACACGCTACAGTATTTGGATTTTATTTTATTTTATTGATTTATATACAAGAAGGAACATTTGGAATTAACAGAGAACATAGAAATTGAGTAGAATATAGAATATAGAATATATAGAATGTAGAAATTTCGCTGGGAATGCCAATCAAATCAAATATTCAGGTAAAAGTGTACATACAATCCAGGATGAATTATGAATATAATGTATGTATGGTGTATGTATGTACTAGTTCTAGATAGAACTAGTATATACAGTACCTAAAGCCATTAATAAGCTTAGCGTTTCGGGCAAGGTGATGGGGGGGGGGATAAATATGTTTCAAATACAATTGAAAATACAGGTCATATCAGAATAGTATGAGCTGTGTAGTGTAAGATAAACAGAAATACTTGTATTATCCTTTCATAATCAATAGTGAAAATTGTGCAAAGTATTACCAAAATGAGTTAATATCTCTAAGATCATTATTATTGCGTAATTTTAAAGCTACATACTAGCGAGTACTGCTACATTCACACACTGCCCTTATAACATATATTGATGTTATAAGGGAGGATACACAGGATACAGTATATGTATATACTGTATCCTGTGGATACAGTATATGTATGTACTGTATCCTGTGAATACAGTATATACATACACTATTTTGATACCTTGTCCAGAGGTTACACTTAGCTAATTTTTTTTTCTTCACCGTATCCATCTTTTTTTTTATTATTATTAACATGCTAGGTATACACATTAGTGTGTTGCTACAGTACCTATAAGTAAGCTTATTCTTGTGCTGTTCCAAGATTATGCTAGTGAAGGTAGGAATGCCCTGTGAGATGGGGATATTGATCGCTGTATCTATCGGTGATTTCTCGATAATTACGAAACGCGTTCAAGCGTCGCGTCAGACTAGAAATAAAAAAGAATTTTGGAGAATTGACTTTTCAATTACCATCGACAGTAAAAAGAAACATAAGAAATATTGAGAAAATTCGTTTTAGAATTATTAATGTTACTTATATTGTCATATTTAACAACATATGTTTACAAGAAAGACTGTTTCCAAAATATACTATTATATATATATATATATATATATATATATATATATATATATATATATATATATATATATATATATATATATATATACATACATACATATACACACACTCAAGGTATCCTGTACACACCAGCTGCATAGTGCTCCTGGCAGTATGGGTTCAAGACACTTCTGGGGCATGGAGTTTTTAGTTACCAATATTATAGTTACCATCATTTATAGGTTACCAGAACATTACTGTGTATACCTAAGCTTGTTTGATGATCTTGTTGAAATTGTCCCATGATGCTATGAAGTCTCCTCGGCTTGGAGCCTTTTGATAATTATAAATTTATTTCCATGTCTATTAACTTCCTCAAGGAGGTATTTTGTAGTTCTCATCCTATTGTCTCCAGAATAGTCTACAAGCCATCTATCTCTTCCACCTCTCAGGTCTTGCGGACTTGTACCTAACCTTCCCACCCAGGTTGTCACACTGCTCTTGCTTCTTCCAACTTTTGTATTCTCTTCATAACCGAATGAGCAATATCCAGCAATGTTACTACTTCCAAATATGTATTTATCCAAGGGCCATTAATACTGTGGCCTCAACGAGGACCGGAAGCTGGCGGCTTGTCAAAGATCCCCCCCCCATTTGCCCTTTAGATATAAAACCCAGTATATATATACTGTAGTATATTTATACCATACAGTATAAAGATTAAGTGATGGGCGCCGTTTCATTCGACAAGATTAGTGTCATAATAGGTTATATTAGGATAGAATAAATAAAGTTTGGTTTTTATTTTACTTCGATTTAGTTTATAGAAAATGTGCTCAAAATGTGAATACTGTACTGTATACTAAAAATTTATGAACCTCCAATAGGGATACTTTAATTATGGCTTTGTCAAATTTACATATAATGCTAAAAAAATTTGCAGAAGTAACTTTGTTGTACTACATGGAACTAACTTAATTTAAAGTTTAGATATATCTTGCATATTTTTCATTACAAAGGGATCAATAACCATTATAAACTCCATAACTTAACTACCACCGAAAGAAAAATATGAACACTACTGGATTTTATTAGTTCATTACTGTATACCAGTATATGAAATCCTAGATATTTAATAATACCAGTACTGAACTTGTACAGAACAGAATAAAATACACAGGATTCAAAAGGTATAATTAAGAGGCAAATTATTGTATTATAATAATAATAATATGCATGTATATAATAGGGTCCTGTGGTTCAGTGGTGAGCACAGCCGAGTCAAAGCCAAAGGGTACTGGATTAAATTCCTATGCCAGGACAGAAGCATTTGGGCAATATTTCCTTTCACCTGATGACTCTGTTCACATAACAGTAAATAGGTACTGTACATTGGAGTTAGCAACTGTTATTAGTTGCATCCTGTGGAAGGTCAGTAGTTGGCTCAAGGCTCACAAGCTTCCTCTCCCCAACTATGGCAAACCACTACATATATTTTTCGTCTTACCTAATGGCAGAACAACACTACCTGGCATAGTAAGCAAGCACCGCTGGGTACTTGCTAGGTACAAGGTACAATCTATCATATCTATTGGGCTCCATCATATGTTGCTTAACAGGCAGAGCAATTTTTATTACTTTCAAATATTCATTTCCAAATGGCTTAATTTCTAACAATATAAATGTACTAAAAACATATAGTGTTGACTTGGTTAAGTTGGGTTTAGGGAAATTTCTATGTTGGTTTGACTCAAAAATAGTCCCATAAATATTGTTTGGAAAAAAATTATAAAAAAATTCTCCTTGTTAAGCAACTTTGGTTATTAGGTGCAATTTATGTATACATAATGTATACACTTGGTACAACACACACAAATACACTCTACAAGTGATACATTTAAGTACAATACAGTACATGGAAAAGTGAAACTATCATAAAATTAAACAAGTACAGTACTGTATCCAATTCAATTTCAAGTGAAAATTATGCACATTACAATTGTAAATAGAACTTTCAAATGTATAGTAGTTACCAGTACTTAAAAATAGGTAAATAGTGTATTGCATTCAATTCTAATTAGAAATAGCTTGGCATAACTCTAGTTTATATCCTACAGTTTATGCCATCAACCCTTCACAAAATATAACTTGCTACTGAATTTTGAAACGTATGTGATAATTGTGTGATAGAATTGCAGATGATGATATACAGACTAATAAATAAAATGCATTTTCTAACTCAAAGTCTCTATTTACATTATACAATATAATGCAAGTGGTATACAGTACACGTATTTGCAATGGTGATACCAAATGGTACCCACAATTCAAACATGTTCCATTAATACTGTAATAACTACAGTATTAAGATTTTAAAATACATAACTGCTGTAAGGTACTGTGTAACTAAACAAAAATTCAATTGTATGACATACATCAGCATCCTACTGGGAGACTCCCACACAAATTCCACATCATTGAGCAGTATATGTACTAGAAAGGATCACGTATAAATTGGAAGGCATAAGTGTCAACAGTAAAATTATTTTAAAAGGTGCAATATGAATTATTTACTTATTGGGTACTGTACAAGCTGCTCTTTCATTAGTCGTAAACAACTCGGATTACTATTCTACAGCTTCACTTTAAGCCAAAGAATTATGACGTTACTTTAATTACCGATGCCAAATACTGGGCTAAATGACTGGGTTGGCCTGGAACATATGGCCTGAGTTGTGTAATGTCCATGCTGGCAACCTTCTCTTGCAGTGTGTATGGATAACAAAAGAAACAAAACCCAATGTCTGCAAGTTGCTCCGCTAGTTCTGATTGGTGGTTGTCCATTAGTGCATCATTTACGACTGCTACCAGGGGTTTACCAGCCCCTAGTGCCTCCAAGCAAGACCCAGCACCTGCATGACTGATCACAAGGTCTGCTTTAGCAAAATCTTGAGCAATGGATGGTTTCAACCGAAAATGTGTCAGTGTGATTCCCTGGAGTTCTCCATTTGGTGGTACAAATTCCCCTTGTCCAATTTGAAAGGTAATTTTGTTATAGCCCTTTTCTCGTAAAATGGCAAGGGTATCTTCCTCAACGACAGCTCGAACTAGGGCATCGAAGCGAGTAGTACCAACAGTTACAAATATGGTCTTCCCTTCCATGGCTCAAAGCACAAGTTTTACAACTGCCATTATAATTTACTCCTCTTCTTCAGCCAGCTCGTTTTTAACAGCAGCAGCATCACACACCTAGGATTTGGGATGAGCAAGCTATAAATCTTCATATCTTTCTATAATATCTTACAGACTTATGTGCAGTAGTTTTTTCATGCAGTCAATGTAATACTAAAACAAGGTCAAATACTTTATGTGAATACTTTTTTTTATGTAAATACTGTAGACAGTATTAATGTACTCGATTCACAGCTAATGAGCATAAAATGAAATTTATCTTTATTCATAAGCACATATAGTACATTATGCATAAGTATATAGCACATTACAATGTTAATCTTGTTATTACACTTTACTTGGTAATTTAAAATGTAGCACTTGAAAAATGTGAAACATCTCTATTTTAAGACATGCAATCATTCAAAGTGGACCAAACAAAATGCAAAATTGTTTAGTAACAAATCTGTTAAGAGGGTATAACGTTTGTCAAACAGTATGAATAACCGATTAGGATAAATTTAAAAGCACATAATAGGATAAAATTTGCAATTCTTATTGAACAGTTGAGCTACAGCCCCTGGCCCTTTACCAAATGGTTGAAGACCTAACTACTGTATTGCATGGAGAGAGAGAGAAAACAAAAAAAAAAAAAAGTTCAACTTACAGTACCTGAACCGGTTGATGCTTAACCTCAGAATAGCCTCCCCATCTATTGCATGATATCAATGGATTTTTTTTGTTAACAGCCCATGCATTAGTTCAGCATTTCCTAAGTGAGCATCAAAATTAATACTGTACATACAAACAATTGGTCCTGGGCAAGACGTTAGACATACTTCCTTGCTCCTAATGTCCACGTTCACCTAGCAGTAAATAGGTACCTGGGAATTTGCCGACTTTAAGAGTTGCACCCAGAGTGACAGTCACTGTTTAGGATCTCCCCCCCCCATCCCTACCTCGATGTGTCTAACAGGCTACCTACCTGTAAATATGTGTGTATGTATATACTGTATGTATACATATATATATGTACATGTATGTATGAGTATGTGTACATGTATATATAACATTAATAATTTTTTAATTAGCGTCAAAAGATTGTTATTTGCTGAGCTAAACGAACTAGAGGGTTCGGTCCCTGAACCAATTATGTGCCTCTATAATCCTTTACACCACCGCCCACGGGATGGGTATGGGGTGCATAATACATAAAGAAATTTAATTTTCCATGACAATTTTAAATACCATTCTCTACTTTAGCAAACTATGGAATATTGCTTCATCAATCTCTTAACAGATGCTGCTATAAGGCTAGAGTGTCAAGAAACTAAATCATAATTTTGTCACATTTTAACACAAATGCAGATACAAGTAGTACATAAATTCACAAAAAGTTTTAACAATTTAATAAGTACAGTAAAATGCAAATAAATTTTATTTTTTATTAGTAAACTACTATATATACAGTACTAGTATATATTAGATAACATAATAAACAGTAAAGTATTAAATTACTATAAATAATGCAACTTATAAGACGAGCTGTATTACAAAAAATACTTTGAATATAAAACATGTATTTAAGTACATTACAGTATACACATGATCTATACAGCTGAAACTGTTCATGCAATGATCAACATATCTCTGTAGTAACCCTGCAAATATAATGCACGAGCTGATCTAGTTTGATGCTTCGACTTTTTTTTTTTTTTTTTTTTTTAAATGGCAAGAAAAGGCTAGCAAAACATAAAATGTATAACGCTTAAATAAATCTGCTTAGCAAAGCCTTGCTGCAAAATTATAAAAAATAATAGACAGCACATTAAAAGATCATACAGTATTGCATAAAAGCATTGGAAGTAATAAATAATATACTTGTTAAAAAGAATGCAAAGAAAGTATTTACGTATAGTATATACAGCAGTGTGCTTGGACTGTAAGTGTATGTAAACATGTATAGCACTAAACATACTAATTTGTGTAAACACTCATGTACACACATACTCGCACACAAGAGGTTGGGGGTCTGACAGGGCTGATCTCGCCAAAACTTTTAAAATACTAAACAATTTGGAGGATACTGAGGCAGACCCCTTCTTTACAAGGTGTGATGTAGCACAAACAAGGAAACAGTGGTTTCAAGCTCAACAAGCCACAATGTAGGGCAGACAACAGGAGATGCCTTTTCACCCCATAGGATTATAAACCCATGGAACTGCCTATCCGCAGAATTTGTAAATGTCAAAAAACTGCTGCATTTCAAGATCCAGCTTGATGAAATCATTAGGAAAATAGGTGAACCTTTGACAAGCTGCCAGCTTCCTGTCCTTATCGAGGGCACTACAGATATTGTGGCCCTTAGATAAATTCAGGTAAATATAACATTATTTAAAAGTACTGTACTGTACTGTATACAGTACTTGCACTGACGTCTTGCTCAAATGAATCAAAAGGGGTGACACACACACACATTTTCTGTGGAGCCTAGCCTAAGGCCTGGGTCAGAGATTAAAAGAACTCCCGAAATCCTCTCCAGGTATGTTCCAGGTTGTGGGGGGGGGTCTTCTATTCCAATAAAATATCTATTGCATTCACCTTTCTAACTAATGTATTTTAGTGCCATAAATAATCATTGTATGTACTGTATGTGAGAGTGTATATGTATATATAAATAGTACAGTATATTAAAAGTACAGAGAAGCATACAGGTAGTCATTACAGTTAAGCCACAGCAGCACAATTTATAGAGTAGATTCATAATAGTATTCACTGGTAGTCCTTAGTACTGTGGTACTATTCAGTATAAAATGGCTGTAATCTATACACAAACACAAATAGGACCAATCCTATGGCCTTATTTAGTTTGATCTAAATTAAGTACATTAATTAAATTATAAAAAACCCATATCTCAGTACATGTTAATGTACTCATGACTTAAATAATCACATAACAGTAAAATGGTCACCAATGAACCAAGTGTCCTTGTACATAATATATTAATGTATAATATGTACATCTTTAGCACATATTAAGGCATGACAATATACGAACAATGATAATGTGACAATAGTAGTCAGCAAATTAGTACACAACAAAAAGTTTCCTGAGCAATATGTAGGGTATACACATTCTGTACATATGGTATACTGCAACAAAAGCCGAAGCTGTCACCGGGTATAATTTTGTAAGCAAAAATTAGCTCAACAGCAAAAGCAGCACACAATAGACTAAGCTTTTTTTTTTGTATTTATATATACAAGAGTTCTTACATTCTTGTACAGCCACTAGTACGCATAGCGTTTCGGGCAAAAGCTTTCAAATAAATACAAGTTACTTCAATTGTAGGCAATGAAAATATTCACTTACTAGAATTTTAACAGAATACAGTACTGTATAGTACTGCATGTGTACAATGACTTATGTGAAAGGATGCTAACAAGCCAGACATCCAGAATTTGAAATTCACCTAGTCAAAATAATGGGGTATATACCCACCCAATATTTCTGATCAATACAAATTATGAATATAATCTTCCTACAATTCAAGTAGACAGACAATCATTTAGTACTTGTTAGCAACTATTTAACTAAATATTCAACACAAACCACACTCCAGTCTTCGCCAAGCCTCTGGGGCAACAGTTGATGGGCAATAATTGCAGATTTTCCAGCTACCTCGACCATCCAATCCATACTGGGCCTGTTAGTGACTACGTTGGTGCTCCTGGTGCAATCTACACGAACAGTAACTTTACTGTGTGCTTTGTTCTGAATCACAATACTTGCTCGATGTTCCCCAATGTACTCATATTTTATAAGATCTATCATATTCTTTATTTTGATGGGCTCTGCATTTTCCATTATGGATCGTACAACTGCCTTGTCTAAAAGAAGTCCACCGCTTTTGAGTCCTGATACCTGAAGAACTGGCTGGCAAACTTGACTGTGTACACTTATTATAAATGGAGCTGCCTGGTCTTGCCTCCCAAGCCGATTGTATCCCATTGCCTCTAGTGACACCCAAAGATCCTCCGAGTCTCCACCATTATCCTCTGCTTCAAGTTGGTGTAGTGCCAAAAATCCATTGAGGGTTAACTCATCTTCTTCCACATCAAAATTACTTTGCACCACAGTCCACTCATCATCTTGAACCTCCTCACCTGAGGTTTTCCAATTGTACAAGTTAAATTCTTGACGATTCAGACGCCCATTACTGTCCAGGTCCACTTGATCGAAGACTTCTTCCAGGACCAGTCGAAATTCAGGGGTCAGCTGCACTTTACCTTCATTTTCTACAAGGTCGATGTATCCTTTTGGATCCTGTGTCCTCTCTCGAAGACGACATCCACTTGTATAGGGAATGACAACGTAACGGCCTTCTTTTAATGTATCTCGCCAGAAATGTGAACCATCACTATCTTTCTGATCAGTGAAACCAATATAGTTACGCATTCCTTCAGGAGATTCGCGGAAAATGTATGCCAGTGTGTCTACAGGTCCTCTGCCAGCTTCTTGCTTCATATAACTCTTGGGTCTGACTTTAACAACAGTTGGGCCCATGCATGATATTTCCATGCAGTACTGGTGAGCGAGAACACTTTGCTTGTCCAGATAGAAACACCCTTTCAGGCTCGCTTCGTTCCACCCATCCAAATTTAAAGAGGTCTGCGAGGATATACTGCCTTCTACGTTTGAATATTTCTCTCGTTTTTTTCTTGTGAATGTTTTAGAGTTGATGCGCTGGAAGTTGGAACGTTCTTCCAGTTTTTGCATACTCAGCTGCTTCATTTCATTAATGGTATGATGGATTACCTTGCATAATTTACTGCAGTCAACCACTCCGTCTGTAACTATACTTGCTTCCTGAAGAATATAATCAATGTCAGCATCACTGAGATCACAATCCTGATTGCCAGAAATCAACATATTCTTAAAATCATCTTCACCAACCTTTCCATCGGCATTCCCAAACACCTTCATGAACAGAGCTTCCATATCGTCGATAATCACTTCCGGCATCTGTTCCGCCAAGCTGCAGTAGGTCTCGTACGTAATGCTGTCGGTCTCCCCCTCGTGCCAGACCTTGGCCAGGAAGGAGGGCGTAGGGTTGTGGCCTGCATACTGAAGGGCCCGCTTCAGCTCCTCACAACTGGCGAGGTCCTCGGCGACGGTCACCTTCACACACAAGTAGGCTGCATGCAGCTCCTTCTGCCTCGACTCCTCCACCTCCATGGTCGACGGGTTAAAGCTATATTACCTTCCTCAACACCGGGTGACCCGCCTCGGTGCTATGGGGTCACAGCAGATGACAACACCGTTAATGGCTAGTAAAGCTGGAGAGACACCGGTGAGGTCCCTGACTGGTGAAGCCAGAGCTGGTAGCGTGCACCAGCTGACGAGGTCCCGGACTGGTGACTGGTGACCGTGTGGTGAAGCCAGAACAGGTAGCGTGCACCAGCTGGCAAGTGTCAGACAAAACAAGAGCCACTGTGCCTGATCCTCCCACGGTCATCATGTACCTCCCTCTACACCTCTCTCTCACTTAAAGAAGAAGATCAAGTAGGTGAACATACCGATGAGGGCCAAGACGACTACAATGTTCCATACAAGGTAGAAATCAAATGTAAATCGCGCGTGTGGTGGCAAGCGTTCCTCTCTCCTCATGTTCCCAGGCCAGCTGTCCCGCTCTCCGTCTTCTGACTCCGGCTTGGGAAATCTTTTAATACGAAATCTTATAATAAATACTTTCTCATAAGACTATAAAAAATAAAAATGCAAGATATATATTTTGTATTTCATGTTTTGATTGCTAATATTTTAGCTAGAGTTAAATATGGTGTAAAAAAAATGTATGGGGAATTATCGAAGGTCGAAGCCGGGGCCGAGAGGCTCATTATGGCTTTATTACCTGAGGTGATGGTGGTGACGTCACGGTGCCTCAACCACAGCCTCTACACTTATAGCTATTACCACACCTACCACTACTACCACACCTACCACAACTACCACACCTACCACGGGGTGAGAATAGCTTGAGCTACCTCATCCCTTTGTGTGTATTTTACCTCAAACTTATTTCAATCTCATTTCAATTTCAATTTCACCACACCTACCACATCTACCACAAGTACCACACCAACCACATCTACCACACCTACCACACCTACCACAACTACCACACCTACTACCATAGGGGGAAGCACGTATCGTGGTAAAAGGAACATGTATAAAACACATTAAAAATACTTTTGTATCGAGCCATCATTATATGAAGTTTCGATTGCAACTATAACTATAGCCAACTATTGCTGTTATAAGATAGCCAATTAATTAGGTATTTGATTGATAAAGATTAAGCCATCCAAGAGAGGGGAGATCATTAGGTATTTGTGTAATTAACAAGCTTATAACTAGCCAACTGCGCTCACTCGACTGTGCCGTTGTCATATACTATATGAAGGTTATAGTTTGTTACAAGATATTGCTCCACATCTTGCAATTAATTTAAAATAATAATAATAATTCCCGTTGTCATAGGAAGTCTTACTTACTCTTAGGTCTACATCAATAAGGGTTTCCCTGTTTCCAAAATTTACCTGAAGACTATATACATCTTTATAGTAATTATGTAGCACAACCTCTGTAATATATTGTTATAAATAAAATATTATTGTGATTATTGATCTGTCACCCAACTCTCCATAGAGTTGGAGCATAGTTTCAAATGATAACTTTAATTATAGATCAACATATATATTTATAACTGTTTCATTACATACTCTCCAACACTATATCCGTGATTGCTCTGTAATCAATGATTACAGAGATTACAGATTACAGATTTAAATCCTAATGGTATGAGGTATTATTTGAGCTCTGTAACTACTCTATACACTCACGAATATTGGAAGATATTTTTGTGCTCTACCCAGATTTTGCCAGTGCAGGCTAATAGATTATATTAGATGAACCATATAGCAAACCCACTAGCAAAATCTGGGAACAGTACAAGAATATCTTCTAAAATTCCTGAGTGTATGAAGTACGGTAGTTACAGAGCTCAAAGTACGACGACATATTAACGGTGTTTACTCCCGCCGGATTAACTTATGCGAACTCTGCCTTGATTGATAGTGTTCGTTATGATATTCTGCAATTTTCTCATATTAACATTAAAAATAGCGTTGATAGTAATAGTATAATTACGAGGACACAATTATATCGATGTATTTATTACAAAATGCTTTGAGTACTAAAATAACATTACAAATTGTCGTACATAACAACATTGAAATAATTTAAGTAAATGTCTAAATTCTTACATGAGATTTTAAATAATATAGTACGTGATATAATTTAGATTGTAAATAACGCTCTGTGTTTGTGTTTGAGTAAGTTAAATATAATAAGTGGTAGACACAAGAAATTAAAAATTAAAAGAACAACTGGCCATTTGTTGTTGTTGTTGTGGTGACGTCACTTGATGTGCTCGTAACAACAACAATGTTTAACATGTGAAACTCGTTTCGATATTGTAGTCATTTACTTGAAGATTAAGAAAAATCTATGTTCGTGAAGTTTAGTACTATTTGAAGATGTCACGGAACGAGTACAACAAGTGACTTCTAACCTCCAGTTTTTGGTAGGTACATTGTGGCCAAGTTTGTTCTCACTTGAGAAAGTTCTTGTTGCGAAATATATTTGATGCTTTTAATAATAGCTTTTGATGGGAAGAATAAGGCGAAAATGACCTTGTTAAATATAATATTATAGTACTTTTAACCTATATTAGAGCACCTAGGAAACTTCTTTCTTGCCTATCAGTGCCTTTAGTGATCTAGTTCAATCCCCTTGTCGGGGACAGAAAGCCAGTAATTAGGCTTATCGAGGTCCTCCTAGGCCAATTATTGACCTTCATCAGAGTGCAACCCACAATAGTTGACTAACTCCAGGGGTTCCTATTTACTGTTAGATGAACCAAGGCATTAGGTGAAAGGAAATATGCTCAACCATTTCTGTCATGCCCAGCAATCGAACCTTGTATTATATTGTAAAGCCTATATGATGTGTCATACATCACATAAATGTTATTTTATATACTGTATATTGAATGGAATAATAGTTTCTCACGAGTGATCCAGATCTCTGTGAGAAAGCATCACTTTATATATGTGATGAATTCATATATGAAGATACAGTATCATATTAAATGGAAATCATGTAAACATTATGCTGCTTCATGGTGAAACAAAAATATGTCTGATAAAATGTTTCTTAGGCTAGCCTCAATAAGTGAGACAATTTTTGTGCTGTTATTCAACATATTGTTGGAGAATAGATCATCTCAGAGAAAGTGCAGCACTTTCTCCGGAAAATCTGAAGTCATTTTAATAATAACCCTCTACAAGGGTCTGGGTAAACTATTCCTAGCCTAAGTGCAGTGATACTTTTTCATCTTGTTTCTAAATGCTTTACAGTATAGGTATCATAGCATTACTGTAGACTATTTATCCATTTAGTGCAACACCTCATGATCCTATATCAAGTGCATCTACTATCAATAGGTTAGGGAAAGGTTGAGTATTCAAATGATTCTCCAGTACTGCAGGAGGGTAAAGTTACCAGTTATTGGCGAGGCCATCTCCCAGCAAAGCAAAATCCTTCTGCTTAAAGTGTGATGTGACACTAAACCCCCCCAAAATAACAAAAATATAAAACTCTTTAAAATAAGTCTAGCCATATATAAATTAGTTTAGATATGAAAATATGGTAGATATTAAATAAAAAATAAATAATTTATGGATGCATAAGCACTAGTCCTATGCTTATTCTGACAGCTTATGCTTATATATGTCAACAGGTTATAGCACAGATGCCTCTAAGTTTTATGGAAACAATGGATGTATGCACTACATGGACTACTATTGTTAGGGTAAAGAAGTCAGTTAAGTTCCACACATACAGACGTAACTGCAGTACAACTAGCAGTTACATTGAATATACAGGATGAGTAATTTTCTGGACTTGTAGTCATCTGTGTTAGCACTTATCAACCCAATTTGCATATTAGATACTGGAGTATTATAACCTCAATTAGATATAATATAAATGATGCACAGAACAAGAGTTGTAGAATATCCTTTAAATGGATACCATCTCACATAGATATTATCCAATATGATGATACTCTTTATTGGCAAAACCACATATTTTAAGACAGTAGGACTGACACCAAGGACAGAAAGAACTAGTGCAATACTATAGTAAGAGTTATGATTTATTTAGAACTGAGAACTATATGTTTGGACAGCCCAAAGCATTCACGATTCTAACAGTAATTGTTAGAGTTAATAAGGGATAATATTATTAATGGCACGTAATGAATCTCCTAATATTGAATACTCCTATTATAAACTCAGTGGAAAAGATCTAGGAATGCTCTTTTACAATAGATCAATTAGCAAGTAAGAAAACCACAGAAGGTCTATTGTCCCATGAGACATGTTATTTCATCACGCTTTCGATTACAGTCAGTTTGATCCAGTTACATAGTACCCACATCTCGGCCTTTGTAAATGTTAACAGGATCAGTGAATATGACAGAAAGGGTGAGGTCAATGATTCTAGCATGAATCTTCTTTATTTTTCTTATCTTTTCTTCACTTGAGAAGGAAGTTGAAAAATTAACTCTCCAAAGTTCATTTTGCAATTTTAATAAGACCTGATGGTAAGAGATGCATTTTGTTAACCCTTGTTAACATTATCAAAGACTGTTTGAATTGTTACATGTTGATTGATTGATGAAGATTAAACCACCCAAGAAGTGGCACATGCATGAATTGCCTGTAAGGTTACAAGTTTAATCCCCCCCCAATGGCTGCAGACAGTCCCAGTTTGGGATCAAAATATCGAGTTTACATTGCTTGAGTTTTCTAAATAGTGGTCCCCCAAGCTAACATGCATATACTGTATACATATATGTGTGTGTGTGTAAATCACAGAAAAATTAACACGTGATGAACAATGTGACAATGTCAGACCACGAACGAAGGATAAAGACAGGAAATTCCTTAAGTACTTTCGTATTTAATAATACATCTTTCTGAAGATGTATTATTAGATACGAAACTACTTAAGGAATATCCTCTCTCAGTCCTTTGCCTGCTTAATCTTGCTTTTAATTTAAATGGGCATGGCATTTCGAATACATCAATGTATTCATCATCATATCTAAAACAAAAATTAAAACTTAACTCGCAAACAATAAATCCATACCATTCCATTCACCTAGACTGTATGGGTCTCAAACAGTGGACCCCATGCGTGTGAGGCTGAAAGTCTATTGACTGGATTTATCGACTGGTATTTTAATAAATCATTTAATAATAAAATACTATTATTCAGTATTAAATACTCTATTATTATTAAATACTCTATTCAGTATTTAATAATAAAATACTGAATAGAGTTACACTACAAAGTAAAAGATAGAGCAATGACAATTATACATCAAAAAGGAACAAAATACAGAAAACTCGACTAGTTTCAGGTACTGTATTAACAAAATACTAGGAAAAATCTAACAAAATAGAATTTGACAAATATTATTCAGTTGAGACGTAAATGCTCATTGCAAACTACAAATATGAACTGAAGTAATTCTAGAAATTCATACAAAAACAATTAAGAAAATATAGATTATAAGTTATTGTACTCATTAAAATAAACAAATGTTACACAGTAATAAATACCCAATATTATACCCAGTACCTTAATTAAGCAGAATTAATAAAAAGACATAACTCAAAATAAGCACCAAAAACTCCAAATCAAAAGAGACCCTGCAAAAAAAATAACACTAACAAATAATAAAGCCTACACATAGCATATGTAAAAGGAGAACTGAAACATTGACAAAGTTTATACAGTATGCAACTGTACGACGACTGAAACATTATTATTCAACAGAGGCCAGAGCTCTGGCATATAAGGATTCCATTATACGATTATCAGGCGAGCCACTCACGCGTGTATCCAAGATGTAAAAATCGGACTCCTGGAAAGGATGGTTCGTCTCATAACAATGATTCCTCATCTTGGAGAAGGTTTAGAATGCTTACATAATGGTAAGACAGACCTTAAAAAATATTCTTTTGTGCTCTAGTATCCTAATTTTAAAGTTCCGAATGCGTTTATATAATGACCAAACCACACACCAGAGTAATTCCACACACTTCTAATTCTTCGTAATTAGAAGTTTAATTAACTTCGTAGTTAAAATCATCCTCATTACCCCACCGCCGGCCCGTGTATACCTGCGTTGCAAACATTCAATGATGGGAAGAGCACATTGCATAAGTGTTCAAGATGGTTAGGTAGCATAGTGGTCTGTGTCCTCGGCTCACAACCCCAGAGACTTTGGTTCAGTCTTCGGGCAGGACACAAATGGCTGGGCATGTTTCCTTGGAAACGTACCCAATCATTTGTGTCCCGTCTGGGAATGGAAGCCGTGATCTTTGATTGTGAGTCGAAGACGAAGCCAACTATACTATGAGACCTTCGTTTGCCAAGTTGTCCTCACGAAAATGGTTTAATTTCAGTTTGTGTGATATATATGACTCGATCTTGGCCCATTAGATAATGAAAGCTGTTGTAATATCTTCAAGTATCTATTGTAAGAGGGAGAAAGTGTAAGGGAAAAGGGTGCAGTTATACAATTATCAAGCCCTCTCTGCTCTTTACGATTAATTCCCATGGAACAGACGGTTCCAGACTACATTGCGATCTTCATCTTGCACACGACACGCTAACCCCAGCAGACCGCGTGTGTGTGTATCGCCAAGAGGAAGAAAGTTAAAATATTTATTTTACTATTAAGTAAACAAATTTATGATATAAGCTCAACAAAATCCTTCTACATTTTACTTCTTGTTGATGATATGTGACTTTATGGTGCGTAAAACACAATGAAAATATGAGAATTACGAAATGTTGGGATAATTCTGGTGTTGGCATCAGTGGGAGGAGTAATGCACACGGCCCGCTATGAGCGCTGGCCGGCGTCTGGCTCCGCCTCGCGCTCTTCACTCGGGAGACTTCGCCCGCGCCTCAGTCTCACCGTTTTCTCTGTTTTCGGGAATTCTCGTTTTCATTGTTTAAAGTTATCATTGAGGACCAACTATAGTGCATTTCGTGTGTAAGTACATTTCCATTGTTTTTTAATAATAAGGTTGATAAAGCATAAAGTGATATGTTCATTGCATATATATACATATGTATTGATATATTTTAACCTATATATCGAATGTATCTCTGCTTTTAACTCCTGTGATCAATTGATAGGGGTAGAATTATTTGATCACGTTATATAATCTCGGTGAAGAGAGTGCTGATAAAGGGTATATCAGTAAAAAAAATATAAATCCACTCGATATTACCAAGGTGAAGAGCACTGACTTGTAAAGTGGTGTTGAACGCTGCTGGTCCTGAAAGGTTGGATTTCTAGAGGCCCTGCTTCCCTTCGTGCTTTGGAATCCACTTCTGGAAGTATTAACTACCCAAAGGCAGACGAGGCGTCACAATAACGTGGCTGAAATATGTTGACCAGACCACACACTAGTAAGTGAAGGGACGACGATGTTTCGGTCCGTCCTGGACCATTCTCAAGTCGATTGTGAGAATCGACTTGTGAATGGTCCAGGACCGACTTGAGAATGGTCCAGGACGGACCGAAACGTCGTCGGCCCTTCACTTACTAGTGTGTGGTTTGGTCAACATATTTCAGCCACGTTATTGTGATTCCTCGTTTCATCGTCCCTTCACTTTCTAGTGTGTGGTTTGGGTTTAACTACCCAAAACTTCCCCTCTTCAAATGAGGTGAAACTCGAGCAGCAAATAATAATATTAATGATATTGCATTCATGCAATATACAGTGGACATGTTTAAGTGGTTACATGGTAGGTAAAGCAATTTGTTTATTATATAAGGTCACTAGATCCTGGATTTTGATCTAGCCACTAGAATCCCAACACCCCCCCCCCCCTCACGCTCCCATGTGAGATGGGTACATTAGATGAACTCATTGCTAGTTTATGATCTACAGTATGTGATCATACAGAAAAGGGTTGCTGTGCAGACATAAGTTCGTCAATAAGAAAAATAAATGCTCTTTCATCTGTAGTGAAAATGCCTTACGAATATATTTTTTAATTAATCCTTCAGAACCTCTGACTAATTGCAGCTAAACAAGTTCATTCATTTTATTAACAATAATACATGGTTATTTTTGTCATATACGCAACTATGTTTTATGTTAAAACACATTGTAGCTTATTTGTTTTCACTCTTGAGTGAAGCAACATCCGCGGTTAATCCAGCTTGCAGGATCTTGCGTTAAGCCGCGAAGCTCTATTGATCCAGTGGCCACTGTATGACCACAGACTAAATGTTAAACTCACCCGGTATTTTCTAATCTAAAAGTGCAACTTTAGTATAACTTACTTTTATCGTCACTTTATGCTCATGTAGTAATTATGTGAATCACTTTATTTGTCTATTGAGAACTGAATATTCCTCCTTGTGTGCTAAGATTCAGGACCTTCCCGAAATGCTCTGCGCGTTAGCGGCTTTACCAGAATATACCATTATTAATCACCATAATAACATTAATCACCAAGATGCGTATTCTTCATATATTCAATAGAGTACTCATTTTGAACATTTATTCAAAATATTCGCTCATCATGGTCCATGAACAAAGGCCCGGGTATGCTTGCCGAGCCAATCTAGATAACGTTCACTTATGATACGGCTGAAAAAAAAATAGATGAGTACAAATTGCGTGCTTGTTAAATGACAAGAACAGGGTACGAAAACATGGCACCATTGTGGAGTCTTGCTGCCTCATGCCAGATTCTATGCTGTTTTTTTTACTGCCAACAGTTGTCACTGTAATGTTAATATTTTACAAGTTATTTTATGAATTTTCATCAATATTTTTATTATTTTTATTGTATTGGATTTTATGAATATCATCAATATTATGAATTTTCTGTAATTATGGTGGATCCAAATTTATCAAATGTGAAGGCTTTGTTACATGTTCTGTTGATTTAGGCCTTTCTCATGCTGCGGATTTACTCTCATTCTTTTAAAAGAATGGTAGGCCTGGACGGTAGAGCGACGGTCTCGCTTCATGCAGGTCGGCGTTCAATCCCCGACCGTCCAAGTGGTCGGGCAAACTTCCTTCCCCCCCGTCCCATCCCAAACCCTTATCCTGACCCCTTCCCAGTGCTATATAGTCGTAATGGCTTGGCACTTTCTCCTGATATCTCCCTCCCTCTCATTTTTTTATATTCACCAATTATTTTTTGTCCCATTATGTAGTATTTGCTATTCAAGTTGCATAACATTATCACGTGAATGGGGCTGTCACGAATAGGGTAGTGAGATAACATCAGTTATTCCTACATCAGTGGGATAACATCAGTTATTCCTACATCAGTGGCATAACATCAGAAAGTAGGATTCCACTTTCATGGGAAACCAGACATCAGTTCAGACAAAAACGGTTGGGCACGTTTCACTCTTCACCCAGGAGTTGTGCAACTGTTATGGTTTGTATATTGGGGAAAGTCAGTACTTGACCCCGGGGGCACGTCGATAAGCCTAAGTACTGCCTCTCTGTCTCCGACGGCGATAATAGTTGTTAAATGCTACATGAGAAATAGTTATTAAATTTGCCCGAAACGCTATGCGTGCTTTACAAGAATGTAAATTCAACTGAAATTGAAATAAGTTTATTGAGGTCAAATACACACAAAGGGATGAGGTAGCTCAAGCTATTCTCACCCCGTTCAGTACATCGTGTTAATACATACATATAAACACATCACAAACAATAAACATATTACCAAACATTCTGAGAGATAAACATACATTTCCTTAAATTAAACTTAATTTCAATATTCTCTGTTAACCCCCAATGCACCTTCTTGTATATAAATAAATAAATAAAATAAATAAGTGATGAACCATTTAACAGTTCTGTGATTTGTGCTACGCGTTTGTTGACAAGATGAGTTTAACTTGTAATATTTTTTTAATCCTATGAAGAGCCGCTTCGTTGTGTGTGTGTGTGTGTGTGTGTGTGTGTGTGTGTGTGTGTGTGTGTGTGTGTGTGTGTGTGTGTGTGTGTGTGTGTGTAATCGGCAAGAGGAAGACTGAAGTGGGCTGCAAGAATCTGGATTAATTAGTGATTAATTTATCTTCCGTAACAGCAAGAATATTGATGTTTTATAGACTATTTAATATAAGGGTTAGGTATGCAACCTCGACCTAACTCCTCAACGGGACAAGTCAAAACAGATTTTTACCTTTACCTGAATTTACCTGAGGCCCAGCAATACTAGTGGCCTCGATGAGGACAGGAAGCCGACGGCTTGTCAAAGGTCCCTCATTTGCCCTGATCTTTCCAGCTGTATTTTAAAACCCAGCAAAGTTTTGGTGTTGACGGCTTCGGAGGGTAGGCTGTTCCACGGGTTTACAACCCTACGGGTGAAAAAGCATCTAAAGATGAAGAAGGTTTTGTGAACCAACAAGATCACAGCGCTTATCCATAGAAGATGGAACATCTTTAGTGTCTTCTGTCCTTTGGCCAAAAAGAGGGACTTGCCAAGCTACATTCAGCTGCCCTATGGATCGTGAGCGAAAAAAGATCACAGCGTTTGGGCTTAAACTCCCTGCTGCGGCCGGTAAGAATCAGCTGTAGGAGGTAGGAATTTTAGCGGGCGAGGCTAGAGAGCGCCACGCCTACATTTGTACGATATGGAGTGTAGTAACAAGAAGCGCGCAGTAGGGCAGAGGCACATACATTACTCTCCTTATCCTCTTTCAGTAGAAGCATATCGCGGAGATAAGCCACGACAGGTTGGTTCGAATCATGACATATAAGTGGTGATGTTACGATACGTGAGAATTGGTGAGGGCGAGTGATTGTGCAGTAGTGGCCACTGTCTCCTCTGTCTTGCTCCTACCATTCTTCCTTTTGGAAACTTTTTGATTTTATTCCCGCCACTTCATTTTTAATCCACTATATTTTTTCGCACATGAACCCCATTTAAATAAAGGCGAACTCAAAACTGAAATTAATAGTCAGTAGCAGGCGTGTGTGTACAATAAGCTTCGCGTAAGATATCTTGGAAGTTGAAATCTGATAAAACTGGCCTGGTGGACCCTGCGTGTTGGAGGGTAGATATAGCCTAAGTTACTCTATCTCTTTTGAGATGTATTTTTATTGTCTCGGTAAACGTACTTGAACTTGAATCTTGCGTGTGTTGCTAGATGAGAATATATGTTTGACCTTACCAAACCACTCTTGAAATAAACCAGTCTCCGTGGTGCAGTGGTAAGACACTCGCCTGGCGTTCGGCGAGCGCTTTGTCATGGGTTCGTATCCTGGCCGGGGAGGATTTACTGGGCGCAAATCCTTAACTGTAGCCTCTTTTTAACTCAACAGTAAAATGTGTACTTGGTTGTAAAAACGATTCTTCGCGGCGGGGATCGTATTCCAGGGACCTGCCCGAAACGCAACGCGTACTAGTGGCTGTACAAGAATGTAACAACTCTTGTATATATCTCAAAAAATAAAATAAAGAAGTAGCAGAGATATACCGCAGTGCGTCGTCGAGTTGAACCCAAGTGCCTTGGGTTCAACCCGTCCTTCTAACAGTGTCGCATTATGACGCATACTCTACCTTCACGTTCAAGTTTAAGTAGGTTTAAGTAGACTATAAAATACATCTCAAAGAGATAGAGTAGCTTAGGCTATTTCTAAACCCTCTCCCCCCCCCCTCCTTCGCATACTCTTTACCTAAGAACAAAAATTGTCGTACTAGAAAATGGTAGCGGCTCGCGAAATTTACATACTGTCGTGTTTACTGTTTTGGGTTTTCCGGTAGGTTAGGAGAGGGCACGTTAGTACGACAGTTTCTTGACCTTAGGAGGACGGGCTGCTGTATGTTCACCCTCTCTACTGCTCTTTGCAAACAATAAGTTTTTCCCACTTATTTACTTTCGGTGAATCTATAGCTTCTTATTCTCAGAGTTGCAGGTTTAAGACATTCCTCTTATCAATTCTGTCAATCTCTTGTCACGATTTTGCATGTGGTGATCATATCACCTCTTCCTTATCTCTTCTAGCTTCGATGGTTAACAAACGCCTCCAGCCTCTCCTCACAGGCCTAGTGTGTTAGGTCCGTCACCCGTTTAGTATCATGTCTTTTTACGTTTTCTAATTTATTTACATGCTTGTGAGAGATGGAACATTAATTCTATATATACAGAGAGGGGGGGGAGGGACCTGCTGCTTGGGTAACAGCTTCTCCTCCATATCAACCTACCCTGGTTTTGCGCCCTGGAGAGGCCACTCCAGACCGACAACCAGAGGACAACTCCATAGTCTCCTGAGACTGATGGATGCCTACTATATACAATTAATTTGCGGTGAACCTTGTTGCTATGATCCCCGTGCTGCACTGGCAGTGGGGCAAGACACGACGCGGTCATTTACACACGAGATAAGACAGTGGTGTCTTATCTTATAACGTGTGTGTGTGTGTGTGTTGCTGGCGTCTGGAGATAGTCACGTCCACACCCGCGGATAGTGTGGTCTTCCTCCTCGCTGGATGATAACAGGGTTCTGGCACTCGACGCCCTCTGGAACATCTTCCTAGTTGACTTGACAATTTTTTCAGATGGTGAAGCTGTAATCTTGCTTTGGTAAGTGGTGTCTACCGTAGCCTCAGGTGGGGACGGTGGAGGGCTTAGCGTAGCCTCAGGTGGGGACGGTGGAGGGCTTAGCGTAGCCTCAGGTGGGGACGGTGGAGGGCTTAGCGTAGCCTCAGGTGGGGACGGTGGAGGGCTTAGCGTAGCCTCAGGTGGGGACGGTGGAGGGCTTAGCGTAGCCTCAGGTGGGGACGGTGGAGGGCTTAGCGTAGCCTCAGGTGGGGACGGTGAAGAGCCTAACGTAGCCTTAAGTGAAGACAATGAAGAACCTGTTGGCTTGTTAAGCACCATCGGGAGCCAGGTGAATCACGTCTTGTGGTACGCCTGACACAGTTGCTAACTGTGTAAGTGCTCCTTAACTGGAACCAGTTATTCGTAACTTGCTGGTACGATCGACTATTTACTCCCCGATTTCATAAAATAGAAAAAAATACAAAGATGAGATTAGACTATATTTGTAGATGAGTCACAAATAAGGGCTTTATCGTGTGTATGAGGGATACACATGACTGGTGCTTGTAAAGGGTAAGGGTAGGGGCGAGAGGTCAGTTGAGCAAGGGTTGGTTGAGGTCAGGGAGGTGAAGATGAGACGCATGCAGTAGGAATTTTTCCTCATTTGCCCCGTTCCTGTGCCAGGTAAGTTACGGGCTCACCATAGCCCGTGCTACTTGGAACTTGTTCCGAGTAGCTGAATCTATAACAGCAACAACAGTAGGAATTGTTACAATGTGTGTTACACTTTTATTTCGTGTGTGTGTGTGTGTGTGTGTGTGTGTGTGTGTGTGTGTGTGTGTGTGTGTGTGTGTGTGTGTGTGTGTGTGTGTGTGTGTGATGTCTCCCACCTTCACCTGCTGGCGCCACCTCCGCTTCACCTTGTCACTTTGTAAGCACTAACTCAGTGTTTGTATCTGTTGGATCTGATAACACACAGCTGGAAACGTTATCTTGAATTACTGTCTTTTCTCATTACTCTCATGGTGGTTTCTCTCTCATTACTCTCATCATAGTGTTCCTATCGTTAATCTCATTACAGCGCTATTATAGTGTTCTCTCCCTAGTCCTCTTCACTAACATAGCTCCAAAGTACATACAATCACTATACAATATCATTATATGAAATTTATAGCCTCAAAGTTCATACAATCACTATACAATATCATTATATGAAATTTATAGCCTCAAAGCTCATACTAAAAGTTACAACAGTTTTACAAAGTTACAAAGTAGTTGGTGTGACCTTGGCTTTCGTGTCTTGGCTAGCTTGGTAAGAATTGTTTTTGGCGGATGTGGGGAGGTGATGTGCAGGTCATCCATCCCTGTGAGTCTTGAAATTTAAATTAAATTTTTAAAATTTTTCCCCGGTGTGTCGGTGGCCCGCCCTTGTAGCCTAGGCTTGTGTAGGCTTCAACTATTGTTACTTATATTTTTTTTATTGTTTTTAACAAGTTTAGGTACACAGCATTATGCTGCTGCCGTAGTCTATGGAAAGGTTTGTTGTTGTTTAAGATTCAGCTACTGGGAACAAAAAGTTATAAGTAGCACGGGCTATGGTGAGCCCGTAGTGGGCTCACCTGGCACAGGAGCAGGGCTGTAACTTCATCTATTCAGAATAGCGGGTTGTGGTCCTTTCCCATTATAGGTCAAGGCGTTCGGAGGACCGGTCCCAAGGGTCAAGTGTGTGTGTGTGTGTGTGTGTGTGTGTGTGTGTGTGTGTGTGTGTGTGTGTGTGTGTGTGTGTGTGTGTGGAGGACCGAGACCACGGTGTTGGTCTTCATTTACACTAACAGTGACCTTTTGTATTTGATGTAGTACACTTAAGTGACTTATTAAGGTTTGTATAGGTAAGCAAAGGTGTAGCCTTCGCCGCATTACTAGCGAGACGGCTGCTATGGCATAGTGATACCCACCCGGACCAGAATAGTCAACACCCTCCACCTCCCCTCGTTGCTACCCGGCCTCAGTCTCCTCCACACCACTCTACGCCCATCTGTATCCCTCTACGCCCCCTCTACACTCCTCCATGCCCCTCTACCTCCGTCCACGCCCCCTCTTCACCGTCCACGCCCTTCGACACATCCCTCCACGCCCCTCCACACTCTTGCAAGCCTCTCCACGCCCCTCCGCCTCTCCCGTCTACACTGGTTAAAGTAGAGAGTGGATTGCCTGAGCTGTGTATCTTTAAGTAAAGGAGAGTGACGACATGGGATAAATATAGGACTCGATATTGACGGATTTATTGGTAGAAGCCTTCATATCGGTTTTGATTTCCGTTTGATCTAATCGTTAGGCAGGTATGCATGAAATATGTTATTCCAATAAACGGATATGTTAAATTTATACATAGATAAGTTTTTTTTATTCAGTGTTTATCGTGACGTCACTGGTATCCGCGTTGACGTCACCAGTCCATAGTGACGTCTAAGTTTCCGCAATGACGTCACAGGTGATATCCTAGTAAAGCTGCGCGATGTTTCCATTCATGAGACTAGAAATACCTTCAGCTACTTTATCCTTATGATGTGTATCTTATTATCTCAATAATCCTGCTTGAACTTGGTGTCCATTACTGGAACTCGGCAGCGGATATTAATTACAAAATTCTCTGAGTAAAACTGTTTATTGTTGTGAATTTCAACTCTGCACTGGAGCCAGATTCTGTAGACTTATTCCAAAGTTGTGCGCACATATAATTTCATGACTCACATTGTTGGGTTATTACGCCTCTGCCTCGTGGCTATTGGTGCTTGTTTCTCGTGGGTGACATGTCGGGTCACTCAGTCACCCAACCCGTGGATGGAGAGTGGCTTCTCTATGGCACTAGTTACCTTGGCTACATATAGAGCTAGGAAATTGATCTGTGAAGTACTACTTAAAAGTATTAGGTAAACTAACACAGGAGTTCGTGGGCCAGAGTGTGACATGTTTTGTCCCACAAAGCTGCGAGTTGAGTTTACAGTCGAGAGGCGTGACCAAGTTGAGTTTACAGTTGAGAGGCGGGACCAAAGAGCCAAATCTCAACCCCGACAAGCACAACAAGGTGAATACAACTAGGTGAGTACGAAGCTAGGCTGCTGGCAGGCTAGTATATTGACCGAGCAATGCTGACTATACATTCTTGGCTGTTGCTGTCTCACAGAAAGTTGCGCTCTCTCTCTCTCTCTCTCTCTCTCTCTCTCTCTCTCTCTCTCTCTCTCTCTCTCTCTCTCTCTCTCTCTCTCTCTCTCTCTCTCTCTCTCTCTCTCTCTCTGACGCTGGTGTACTGTGTGCCTTCGGTAACTCATGATGATTTTGGTGGTGTTTGCGTGAGGTCTGGGATGGAGCGGCAAAATGGGTGATGGGTAGGTCTATAGAGCCTTTATACCCTAGTATCTTATTGCTATATACTGTAGTAGCCTATTGCTGTAGACTGCAGTTTATGCTATATTCTGTAGTAGTATTGCTATATACTGTATTGTAGTATCATTGATATATACTGTAGTATCATTGATATATACTGTAGTATCATTGATATATACTGAAGTATCATTGATATATACTGTAGTATCATTGATATATACTGAAGTATCATTGATATATACTGAAGTATCATTGATATATACTGAAGTATCATTGATATATACTGAAGTATCATTGATATACTGAAGTATCATTGAGATATACTGTATCATTGAGATATACTGATATCATTGATATATACTGTAGTATCATTGATATATACTGAAGTATCATTGATATATACTGTATATACTGAAGTATCATTGATATATACTGAAGTATCATTGATATATACTGTAGTATCATTGAGATATACTGAAGTATCATTGAGATATACTGAAGTATCATTGAGATATACTGAAGTATCATTGATATATACTGTAGTATCATTGATATATACTGAAGTATCATTGATATATACTGTAGTATCATTGATATATACTGTAGTATCATTGATATATACTGAAGTATCATTGATATATACTGAAGTATCATTGATATATACTGAAGTATCATTGATATATACTGAAGTATCATTGATATATACTGAAGTATCATTGATATATACTGAAGTATCATTGATATATACTGAAGTATCATTGAGATATACTGAAGTATCATTGAGATATACTGAAGTATCATTGATATATACTGAAGTATCATTGATATATACTGAAATATCATTGATATATACTGTAGTATCATTGATATATACTGTAGTATCATTGATATATACTGAAGTATCATTGATATATACTGAAGTATCATTGAGATATACTGTAGTATCATTGATATATACTGTAGTATCATTGATATATACTGAAGTATCATTGATATATACTGAAGTATCATTGATATATACTATAGTATCATTGATATCTACTGTAGTATCATTGATATCTACTGTAGTATCATTGATATCTACTGTAGTATTGATATCTACTGTAGTATCATTGATATCTATTGTAGTATCATTGATATATACTGTAGTATTGATATCTACTGTAGTATCATAGTTATATACAGTAGTATCATTGATATATCTGTATCTTATCACCCAAGAGTAGGACCAAGGTTTCATTAGCGTTCGAAAAGGCTCCTTTGTCGAAGTTCCTAAAGACTTTCCAGACTTTGACAAGTTTGAATTATGTTGTCGACATTACTCTCCTGAGGTGTTCTTCTGTTCTTAGATTTGGAGTTATGTTTACCACAGATCTTTTTCCGAAACGTGAAGCTGTCTTGCCTTCATTCTGTAATGTATTTGTGATCTCATTCCTATCCTCATGACTGTCAATGAGCTGGGAGGTTTTGTCTAGGTGGACGGGTCACTGTGTTGAATGGCTTCCTCCCCCTCCTCTCTCTCTCTCTCTCTCTCTCTCTCTCTCTCTCTCTCTCTCTCTCTCTCTCTCTCTCTCTCTCTCTCTCACTGGGTCACTCGCTGAGCTGGGAGGCTGTCATATAAACACGGGTCGCTCGCTGAGCTGGGAGGCTGTCATATAAACACGTCCTCTCTCTCTCTCTCTCTCTCTCTCTCTCTTCTCTCTCTCTCTCTCTCTCTCTGTCTCTCTTCTCTCTCTCTCTCTCTCTCTCTCTCTCTCTCTCTCTCTCTCTCTCTCTCTCTCTCTCTCTCTCTCTCTCTCTCTCTCTCTCTCTCTGAGCTGGGAGGTCCCGTCACATACACGCGTCACATGCACCGGAAATGCTCACCCTCTTCGCATGGAGTGACTCAGTCGGCTGCGAGAGATCCCTAGAGAGGGAGAGGCTTAAGGGGGTGGCCTTCCCTCAGGGTTTCATAAATGGGAGATGGGTTTTGGAGGCTACCATTCTCCGCTACCTGGGGACTAGCTTAAAAGGGTTGGTATGATCTCTCATGGGTACACTCATGAGATTTGCGGGAAGTTTGTACGGGCTCGCCATAGCCCGTGCTACATGGACATTTCGTTCTGAGTAGCTGAATCTAAAACAACTGGGAAGTTTGTCGTGGTGATGCGATGTGGCGATAGCCGTGTGCAGTGCTAATTCCTAGGGGCTTAGTAAGCTAAAGGCCTTGGGCCAGATTCACGAAGCAGTTACGCAAGTACTTACGAACGTGTACATCTTTCCTCAATCTTTGACGGCTTTGTTTACATTTATTAAACAATTTACAAGCATGAAAACTTCCCTATCAACTGTTATTGTTATAAACGGCCTCCTGCTGCTTCGGAGCTCATTAACTGTTCAATAATTGTAAACAAAGCTGCCAAAGATTAAGAAAAGATGTACAGGTTCGTAAGTACTTGCGTAACTGCTTCGTGAATCTGGCCCCTTGTTACGTTATTAGTGCGTAACAGCGAAACCGGTGACCTCAGCTTAGCTAAATGAATTGTGGGGTTCAGTCCCTGAGCCCATTATGTGCCTCTGTAACCCTTTCCACTACCGCCCACAAGATGGGTATGGGGTGCATAATAAATGAACTCAACTAAACTAACTCAGCCAAGCTTTAACCCAGCGTAGGCGATCCCAACAAGCTCATGTTGAGGTGGCTCCACATCCGCTTGGCGTAGGAAGTCTAGTCTACACTAGAATGTTATACTTGCCAAAGTATACTATCTGCACGTTGATCATATTCCCACCCCTGGACAGCGCTTCGGATTCGTAGTCCTGAGGTTCCGGGTTCGATCCCCGGTGGAGGCGGAGACAAATGGGCAAAATGTTTCTTTCACCCCCTGATGCCCTTGTTACCTATCAGTAAATAGGTACCTGGGAGTTAGACAGCTGTCACGGGCTACTTCCTGGGGGGTGGAGGCCTGGTCGAGGACCGGGCCGCGGGGACACTAAAAGCCCCGAAATCATCTCAAGATAACCTCTGTATTCCATTCTTTTTATGAGCCTCTTAAGTTGCGTCTACGGGGAGCAAGAGGCTTAGTCCTACTAGGACCCCCGCGTCCCATCTATAGTAACTTTATGAACTTTATTGTATATTTTGTGTACGTCAAATATGATGCAGAGGAAAAGTCACAATAACCTGGCTGAAAAAATGTTGACAAATGCTGAAAAATTAGATATTCAAATGTGAATATCAAATGTGATATTCTCATAAATACTTAAATAAACCGACAGTCAGTATGGGGGGCCACTATACAAAAATAGGAAAGTCGTGAAACGATAGAACATAAAACATAGCTGGATAAGGGGTCCGTCTAATTACCCAAAGTTCCTAGCATTACGGAAGTAATGAAGAAATGCTATGCGTACTAGTGGCTTTAGGTATTGTATGTACTATCTCTATCTTTAAATCCAACATTATGTATGTATGTAAATCAATGTATGTACCTTTACCTGAATAAAAAATCTAATCTAATCTAATCTAAATGTGGTATATTGACTCACTATAATGTTGGTGAATGTGGAACAATGAAAAGAATTTATTTTTACTCTGAAATAATATCATTTTATAACGAAATTGGGTTCATCTAATTACCGCAAAGCCTCAACATTATGGCGTGGGTCGTCGACTTCCTATCGCATCAGTTGCCATCTAGTTTTGTCAAATTTCATTATAAAATTATATTATTTCAGAGTAAAAATATGTTTTTCTATGTTCTACATTTAGAACTAACATTATACTGAGTAAATATGTCCTATGCATTACTTACGTAATGCTAGGAAGATTTGGGTAGCTTTGGTAGTTTTGGGTACCTTTGGGTAACTTTGGTAGTTTTTGGTAGCTTGGGTAGCTTTGGTAATTTTGGGTAGCTTTGGTAGGTTTGGGTAGCATTGTTTGCCTTGGTAGTTTTGGGTAGCTTTGGTAGTTTTGGGTAGCTTTGGAAGCTTCGGTAGCTGTTAGCTTTGGGTAGCTTTTGGTAGTTTTGGATAGGTTTGGGTAGCTTTGGTAGCATTGGTAGCTTTGGTAGTTTTTGGGTAGCTTTGGGTAATTAGACATACCCAACCAGAGGTATGCGACCATATGGAATAGTTCTGGAGCTGAGAGGTACGAGTGACAAGGAAAGCTTTAATGAATTAAACCTCATATTCCTTGAAGATAGAAGAGCAAACATGCATGATCACATGCAAAATACTCAAGGTAATTTAATAATTAAATAAATAGACATGACAGAAAAGTCTTTTTGACAGTCTCCGTTAGTCTCCATGGTATAGTGGTAAGACACTCGCCTGGCGTTCTGTGAGCGCTTTGTCATGGGTTCGTATCCTGGCCGGGGAGGATTTACTGGGCGCAAATCCTTAACTGTAGCCTCTGTTTAACGCAACAGTAAAATGTGTACTTGGTTGTAACAACGATTCTTCGCGGCAGGGATCGTATTCCAGGGACCTGCCCGAAACGCAACGCGTACTAGTGGCTGTACAAGAATGTAACAACTCTTGTATATATCTCAAAAAAAAAAATGTGAGACACACGAGCAACACGTCTTTAGAACGAATTTTGACTAGTGCAAAGAAGTGAAGTGAAAGCAACTTACTAAGTACAGTATACTGAGATAATTCACTTTTTGTGTATTTTTAGGTAGTTTCTTGCTCGACTAGTATATGCTGGCTAGTGAACCTGACCATGCATATACATATACGGGTATACATGTATAGTGTCAATGATGTTCATGTGTTGGGAAATGTATTATGGTGTAGTCTAACATTATCTTGTGCATAATTTTACTTAATTTTATTATTCATTTTACAGGTAGAATTTGAAGCTATGATCAAGATGAGAATGTATGTTAGCACTACATATGCCTGCTACTCTAATTAGGTGTTACTGGACTGTGATACTCAGCACTATTTCATTCAGCTAGATAAAATGAAATGATTTCTCCAGCATTGTGATAAAATTATTCATAAATGCAGCATTGTGTAATGGTTCTGGATGACATGGAGCCTAAACCTCTCGTGAGAGAATTGGGAAAAAGCTGAAGTTATGCATCTTAGACAAGAAGAGCATACAGTAGTCTGTGAATTTGGTGATAAAATAAGTGTATGTGTGTGATGCAGCATAATTAAGATGGCAACTATATCTTCACATATTAGTATAGAAGGCATGACATGCCAGTCATGTGTAAGGAACATAGAAGGAACCGTGAGTGGACTTCCTGGCGTGCTCTCCATTAAAGTCGACTTGGAGGGAAAGCATGGAACAGCTGTGCACAATCCACAAGTGATCACCGGTGCACAAATTGCTGACAAGATTGATGACATGGGTTTTGAGGCTGAACTCGTTGATGGAAAGGATACGTCAGTTGGAATTGAAGAAGACTTTATGGTGCTGGACAGTTCCAAGGAAAACAGTGCAGGAAACTCCAAGAATAATGTGAAGGTGGCAAATCTACTAGGGGAACCCATCAACTGTGCATGTGGGGACCAATTGATTCAAATCTCTGTAAAAGGTGAGGTTAAAAATATAAATAAATAAATGTTTATTCAGTTAAGGTACATACATACAAGAGATTTTACAAAAATTGATCGATTTATAAATAGAGCTAGTACATACAATGCCTAAATTTCTTGCAATCTAGGTTGATTTCTGGCACTTTATGTGAGTAAAATAATGAAACATTTGTGAGGGCTGATATACGAGATACAGTAATTCAGTAATGAGAGTACGCCCCTATCATTGAGAAATATAATACACAAGCTTTGTACAGTACAATGAGTACAGTACATGTATATTTAAAATATCTTATATAATACATTGATGTACAGATGCATTTATTCATACAAAAATAAATCAAACTTTGTATATTGTATTTAAAATATATATTTATAAGGAATACTGTTCATAAAATTTTGAATACTGTAATGTAAGTATTTAAATATATAATGTGTTGCTATTTGAGAATAAAAATGTTCAAAGTGACTGGAGGCAAATTGACTATTTCAGTTATAATTTGGATTGGTTCAAATGAAACCAATTATAACAATGTATCAAATTCATCATGTGGCTCAGAAAGTTTATAAATTTTAACAAAACGAAGATGAACTATAATCACTTATTAGATTACAAACTCTTTTAAGATTTAAACCACTTGAACAGAAAGCCTTTCCTCGAGTTATGCCTGAATTACCCGATAAAATGGGGTTATTTATATCACTTCAAGGCTTGCTTGAATTTATAAATGAAATATCAGCCATATCAAGTCACTTATCAAATTTATATCCAGGCAGCTGATGTAAAATTATAGGTCACTGAGAAATAATTCAAAATTTACTAATACCTGTACTGTACTGTAGGGCTAAATTAGAAACAAAATCACTCAATTCATAACAAACAAATATGATGTTCAGTAAACTGTTATGTTGAATTTGTTTCTTTGAATTAATCTTTATGGCAGCTAGAGTAAGTTATCGGACTGTGTCACTTTCTAGGCATGACCTGCAATTCCTGTGTGAAGAATATTGAAGGTCACGTTAAGAAGCAGAATGGAGTGCATTTCATCAAGGTGTCTTTAGAGGAGGAAGTTGCCACACTCATCATTGACCCCACACACACGTCTGGAGAGACCATCAGGTAAAATAAGCCATTTATGTAATGTTGAGCCTATTGAAATGTTGTGGGGTAGGCTTGATGTTTAAGAGTTATTCATTAACAAGATTGACACATACAGTACAGGGTACATACCTGTAAACAAATACAGTGATGGCATTTAATTTTGCATTCAAATAGGTTAAAAGATGCATACTGTACAGGACATGTACAGTATGTACTGTACTTGTCCTTTACTTGAAAAACAAATTTTGCATTTTGTCAATTTTGTAAACAAATAAATCATAAGTGAGTTCAAATCATAAGTTCATCCAGTTGATTATTATTATTGATTATTATTATTGCAGGACAGTCATAGATTCTATGGGCTTTAAAGCTGCGCTTATGGAGACTGATGCACCAGTCATAATAGTGGGTATTGAAGGCATGACTTGTATGTCATGTGTGCGGAACATAGAGTCAACAGTCGGAGGAAAACCTGGTGTTTTGTCCATAAAGGTAAATTTGATTAATACATTTTTTAAATTATACAGTATTACCTTTCATGGCAGTAGGTGCATATATCATAATTGCTCTTTGAATATATGTTTGTGTTAAAAAATATGGTACAGTATTGTTCAATGAATATTTCTTCAAGAGATCAGTTTGAACTGTACTACTCTGTTGGACAATGTAGAGATAACTTGTATTGTGATTTTCTAAAATTTTTGTGTTTATATAATATTATAAAAAATATTGTTTTCAAGCATACTACATGTACTATATTCTGCTACTCCCTGAAGTATTAATGATCTGCTACATGAGAAAAAGGCTCACTTTCTGAAGACATGGTACTGTACCAGTATAATAGGGATCCTTTCATTCATGCAGGGTCTTACTTGTTTCAAGCAAAGGTTGACATACTCTATAAATGAATGAGATTGGTTTGGTATAAATAGGTAGCTTCCCTGCATGGGCCTATAGGCCTTATACAGTTTCCTTTATGCTTATATTTTGAAACCTTCTGAATGAACACTCCAGAGACTCCTACGTACTCTATATTGTATCTTATATGACAACGCAGTGATACGATATTGATTTAAATGCAGAATGGCATATTCTGGAAAAGAAGAATGTGGAATACTGTATATAGCAGACCACACAGTGTAAGTCCACTGTGAACATGGTCAAATAATAGAGCCTCTACTATATATGTAAACCAGACTTTTCTTTTAGATATATTTCTTCCAAGGGAAATATGACCTAACTAATCTATAACTTAGGAAATAGATGCTGCCGCTCACAGGATGAGTATGGGGTGCACAATAAACTAGCCGCCTCCAGCGGCACCAATCAGTTCAGCAATTATTAGCTCTTTACATCAAATATTTGTTCATTTTTAATTTTTACTCAGGTGAGTTTGGAGAACAAAATTGGTTTAATCTCATATGACCCCAAACAAACAAACCCAGCACAGCTACGAGAACACATAAATGACATGGGTTTTGAAGCAACATCTCAAGATGCAGTAGGATCTGATAATTCAAAGTTGCAGACATGTATCATATCCATTCAAGGGATGACTTGCAACTCCTGTGTTCGAAATATAGAAGGTACCATTGGAGTGAAAACTGGCGTTAAAAGCATAAAGGTAAGATATTTGTATTTTGTCCATGAGTTTAAGATACAGTATAATATTGCCCAGTTAATTATGCTTAGAATAAAACTGAAATACTGAACTATAGTATGTCCATACATGATCTTTTCCTGCCATAACCTGTCAGTTACATATCAATGTAGTATGCTCTATGTGAACAAATACCCTCACACAAACTCCCAGACAACCTTTCCCTTCCCTTTTCCCACACACGCACTGTCATTCAGTCCCACACATGGGAGTTATAACTATACCAGAGACAATAGCCATGAAGCAATGCACAAGAGCTGAGTTTTGCCTCATAGACAACTAGGTAAGTACACAGTGTGGGAGGTAAACAGAGGGAACGCATTTGAAGACGATGCCATGTAAACTTTCTTGATTCATAACTTCAAGAGCAAGTACAAAAGATCATCAGAACATTGAGAAGTTAAAAGCACCAAAGTCACTAGCTACAAAGTGATGCCCTAGAGCTAAATCGGGTTTCTCACAGTAAATACACCCCTCTCTTCCGTATGTACATAAATGGCCCGCTTGATGAGTTAATGTAGTTTGGAAGCTGGAAAAGAGGTCAGAAGGACCTTACATGATAAGAAGAATACTGCAAGAGTTAGAGAAGGAGAAGGATCTGGGTGTGTTCACGTAGGCGACACAGACACTAGCAGCACAAGCAAATAAAATATCATTGGCATCATATGTAAAATTGGCAAACGTGATAGTGTCACTTAGAAATCAAGGCTAGAATAATTAAGAACATGTTACACATTTGCAGTGTCAGGTTAATTCTGAAATATTCAAAGCCTGCATGGAATTACCACTTTGCAATGCACAATAGAAAATTGATAAGGTCCAAAGATTTCCAATTGTCAATTGTATCGGAGATAAGAGGGTCCTAGTAGTACAGTCGGGTACGTTCCTGACTCAAATCGAGAATTCTGAGTTCGAATCCCAGGTGGGACAGAATTGGTTGGGCATGTCTTCTGTCACCTCATGACCTTGTCCACCTAGTAGTAAATAGGTACCCAGGAGTTAGTCAGCTTGTTATGGGCTTGCATCCTGGGAAGGGTCAGTACTTTGACCCTGGGTTCGACCTCAATATTAACCTAATTACATATTAGGTTATATTATATTATACATATTACCTTATGTATAAACTGGCTGCCTGTCCCCCAACACAATGAATTATAAGAGAGTTGAGTGAAAGAACAGTTTATGAGAAATCAAACAAACCAAAATGAAGAAAGAAGAACCAGAGGTGATTTAATAACATTGTATAAGATACTCAGAAGAATGGATGAAGCAGATGGCAATAGTCTTTTCCAGATAAGGGAGACACAGAAACTGAAAATGCAAATGAGTTTAGGTAAAGTAAGAAAATACTAGTATTTAGGGTGGTTGCTAAACAAATTTCAACAGAAGTTGTGGTAGATACTATAGACCACAGCTTCAAGAGCAAGTGGCAAGTTTGGCAGCATTAAAATGTTAGGAAGTGCAAGTCTCTGCCCCAGATCCAGATATCACTCCCCATATATGCAGTTAGGAGGGACAGGTAAACACGCTCACTTTGACACATTTGTTTTACATATTGTGTGTACTGTATGTAAAAAGCTTACATAACAGGTTAGTTTTACAGTGACTACAGGGAACTGAGGTCTCATTCTTTATGCCCTCCCTTTTAGCCTTAGTGTAACTATTGCATTATAATTCAACTCTCCTAATGTTCAAATTCATTGTTGAATCTGTCCTCAAAATTGCAGATGGAGGTGGCTTCCATAACTCCTTCCTTTAGTGCATTGTGTATTCATGTATGTGAAAGTATGCATGTGTAAAATATACCAGGTATATTAAACATTTATTCTCCTGTGCTCCTAATAGGTTGATTTAGAGAAAGCTGAAGGTAAAGTAGAATTCAACCCTGATGTTGTGACTGCTGACTTGATAGCAGACATGATTGATGACATGGGCTTTGAGGCCAGTGTGAAGGCAGACAAATCGACTAAGAGTGAACGCTCTGTGATGAATGGTAAAGGTAAAGTCAACCACTTGTTTGCTGTAGATTTTCTTTATGTTAAATAAGGTGGTAGTGTATATATATACCTGATGGAGGTAATGATGTTCTATTGATATAATTATATTTCATTACTGTATAATTGTGTGTTTGTTGGTTTGGTGTACCAGATTAGTTTTCTCACTTAAGATATTTATATGTTTTCGCCAGCGAAATCTTCAAAATTATCCCGGGAGGTGAGTGTCAGCAGTTCATACCAAGAAAATGTTGCCTTTGAAGGAGACGAAGCCGACCTGGAGAAGTGTTTCCTGCGAGTGACAGGGATGACGTGTGCGTCTTGTGTGGCAGCTATTGAGAAGCATGCTAAAAAGATTGAAGGTAGGCAAATGTACAATGTGTACTTATGAAGTTCTCTACTCAAGAAGATTAGTAAGAAGATGTAGCATGTACAGTACCATGGTTCCCCTCTACAACTGTATACATAATGTATTCTAGCAAATGAGCCTTGACTTGTTGTATTTTGATCTGTGGTTTTCTCCCCCCACCCAAAGCCAGATCAGAGAGTTTTAAAGAACTGTTATTGGTCAAAACCTGGTGCATAGAGGTCACCTTGTGGGTCACTCATTGTCATGGTGCAGTCTTCTTCATTGTCATCTTCTTTGGACATTACTTTTTATTTATTTATTTTTTATTTTTTATTTATATATACAAGAGTTCTTACATTCTTGTAAAACCACTACCTGTGCATAGTGTTTTGGGTAGGTCATTAATCCAAATTTTTTTCCCGGAATACAACCTGCCAAATCATTTAACAACTAGGTACCCATTCACTGCTAGGTAAACAGAGGCTAAAGTTAAAGATTGGCACCCCGTCAATCCTCCCCAGCCAGGATACAAACCCAGGATTCAAGGTGGTCCCAAAGCACTGGGTGAGTGCTTTACCACTACACCTCGGGGACTGCACGTGGCACAGTGGTAAGCGCAGCCTTTCAAACTGCTTCTGTAAAGGTATTGGAAAACAGTCATACAACACCTAATTGTCCATTTGATATTGTTTATCAGATATATGGCACACTCGAGCTACGTAGTCTAAACATTTTATCAGTATTGTTTTCATATTTGATATCGGTAATCTTGCAGGTGTGAAGTCACTGGTTACCGTGGTTATGAGTCGTCTTTAGTGAACTCTTTACCGTCATTGAAACAGACACACATTTAAATGATTTTGTTTGACATACTTAGGCAAAAGCAATTTTTGTTTTTAATTTGGTAAATTTTTGTATTTTTCAATCTTGTTTTTTCAAACTTGTTAATTTTCAAGAATCAGTAAAATTACAAAGGTTTCTACAGTGAAATTTAAGAAAAAGATTATGCAATTCTATATTTAAAATTAATTTTTATAACATATGTGCAGAACTTGCATAATTATATTCATGCTTGCATTATTGTATGTATTTCCACTCATGGGAGTAAACTGAAAATTATTTTCAATAGGTGTCCACAGTATCCTCGTTGCACTAATGGCAGCCAAAGCAGAAGTACGTTATGATCCAGCCATGGTATTGCCACAGCAGGTAGCTGCCAGTATCACCGAACTTGGCTTTCCCACCACCGTGTTAGAGGAATCAGGAGCTGGTCAGGGGGAGGTGGATCTGGAGGTAGGCCAAGTTGAACTCTTCTCTTTTATTTTTTGTGTATGTCTTGTGGGTTTGAGGTTTTTTGTGTCGCATGCATTATGATTTTACTACTGTCAGTTCACCCCTGGATGCGGTTGTCTTACATTCCTACATGCAAAGTACTGTACTTGTTAATGTTTTGCTGTAAACCTGTAACCATGTGTGTTAGTGTTATGTTCTTTAAACCACTTTTTCTATTTTGAGTGATAATTTTAAACATCTTTCATTTTAAAAATCTTTCAAATTATCAATGAATGATTAATTTAAATGCACAACAAAATTCAAAGTCTTTTTCAGTGCCTTGACTGGGAATGATTGTTTCAATTATTTATATAGCCATGTCTGGAATGTCCATGTTCTTTGGAGTTTACAAAGTACCAAGTTTTTGGTTAATTACTTCATTTCACATTAGTAAATCCATACGTTATAGCGACAACCATGCCATTTAATTAAGAGTGTCTAATGTCTCCTTTCTCATCATACAAATAGTCAGTATTTTCTATGGTCACTGGTAGTTGGCTGCTGATGCACAATAGTATGAAAAACAAAAATTATTCTTATACTATACTAAATTCTTATAAATTTTACTAGTTACTGTTTATATGACAAATATGTAGTAAGAATAACTACTCACTTATATAGTAATTTGAAAGAAATTTAAATAATGCATACTTCTATAGTATGTATTAAGAGATGCGGCTAATTTTACACATTTTAATTTATACTGTATATTATTTTCTAGTTTTATAGTTTGTTTTTAAGTTTTAACAAATTTGCCGCTGACAATGCAGATGCTGTATTTTCTCTGTTTACTGGCTTTGAAAGGGTTTATGAAATGTTCAGTATTTGTTGAAATCCTGTAATTAATATTTACTTCTTATTGATTTTAAAACCATAGATATCAGGGATGACTTGCTCTTCTTGCGTTTATGCCATTGAGTCAAATGTGAAGAAGTTGAAAGGTGTGAAGTCGGCGGTGGTGGCTCTAGCAACTGAACGGGGCAAGTTTCATTTTGATCCTGCGATCACTGGCCCCAGAGACATTATTGACTGCATTAATGTGAGTCACATTATATTTTTGCATCAATTATTTTTATACACAATTTTGTAATTACTATGAGTATTTAACAGCAATGTCTGTAAAATATTTTGCCTTTTAGTATACTGCATCTAAAACTGTGGGCAGATGGCTTTGGTCATGTGGTTGATTATATGGATTTGTATATATGTTTGTTATGACATAAGCACACACGAATATAAGTAACTGTAAAAGACCTATTGGCCAATACAAGGCAGTTCCTATTGGCCAATACGAGGCAGCTCCTATTGGCCAATACGAGGCACCTCCTATTTATATCCACCCAAAGTTATTTATATGTAAGAACATAAGAATAACATACAGTAATATAATTTTCAGAATCTTGGCTTCACTGCTACTCTTTACACAAGTGGAACAAATAAAGGCAGCTATCTGGATCACAGAAAGGAGATTAACAAATGGAGAAATTCATTCATTGTATCTCTTCTCTTTGGTAAGTTTCCATGTTGACAGCTGCAGTCTTTATGTATCAGTTAGGTACATTAATGTTTGGGACAACTTAAGAGAATTTGAGTTCATCAGAACACTATTAAATGGTTATATTCTATAATCAATTGATTATGAATATAATTATGAATATCATAATCTTTATAGTGTCATATAAAAAAAATTAGAAATGGTAATACAGTATATTAATCTCTGAATGCTGTCTAGAATGGATTGTATTTTATATAAATTGCATGAAGTCTGTTACATAATTTTTTTTTTCTGTTTTGTAAAATGAGAAAGACTATATCCAAGTATAAATTTATCTGCAGCTTCATATCATCAAATTCAAGGTTATATTTTATAATCAGGCATTTCTGTACATATTTATAGTTCAAGTTTTAATCATCATCTTCTCAGTTATATTAGTAAATACTAAACATTTATCATTATATTATACAATATAATTTATAATATAATATATTATACAATATAATGTACTGTATATAGATAATATATCATTATTATTATTATTTAGAGGGTCTCGGTAGTACAGTTGGGTTTGTTCTCAACGCACAATCGAGAATTCTAGGTTCGAATCCCGGGCGGGACAGAAATGGTTAGGCACATTTCCTTTCACCTAATGCTACTGTTCACCTAGCAGCAAGTAGGTACTCAGGAGTTAGTCAGCTTGTTGTGGGGTTGCATCCTGGGCGGGCTCAGTAATTGGACCTTGTGGGGGGGAGGACCTCGCTAAAAGCCTAACGTGTATGAATACACTCTGGCTTCCTATCCGCCGACACAGCGAATTATGATCATTATTTCTGGGGTGCTCCTCAGTAGCTTCATGGTGCTGCATTAGGCTCGGGTAGCACAGTGACGTAAGGAACACTTACCAGACCTCTAGATGCGTTGTTTTCTCAGGGGTGCCGGCGATGTTGGTGATGGTGTACTTCATGGCCATGATGGAGCACATGACCCACCAAGAAATGTGCTGCGTTGTCCCAGGTCTTTCCCTTGAGAACTTGTTACTCTTCCTTTTATCTACTCCTGTGCAGGTAACATTTATCTTGTGGTTCACTTTGTTGTTATTTTGATTGATTATTTAATGTTATTGTGTATTATTTATTTTTATAGTAGAGCTTTTGTTATAGTGTACTTAAAATACCAGTATAACATTTGAAGACAGTTTATTTATTATTTCAATTATTGCATTAAGAAACTTAGACTCCATGTAAATGATTTGCCTTTGTCAGTAAATAAATAATACAGTAATGCTTTTCTTTTAATAAGTTTACACAAATCATTTTAAGAAATGCAAAAACGTTTTTGCTGATACATTGCACCTAAAATTCTTAAAATTCACAAATCTTGAATTATGTATTTGCTCCAACCATTATTTCTTTTTAATTTAGTCATTATAAACATTTTATTATTACCGGTATACAGTTTTAAAAATAGCCTCATAGCAGTCAAGTATTCCGAGTTTAAAAAATAATTTACTTTTCTTGTTTTCAGTTCATTGGAGGGCGGCATTTCTATATACAAGCATTTAAGGCCCTACGACACAAGACTGCTAATATGGATGTTCTTATTATGCTGGCAACAACCATCTCATATATTTACTCATTGGGTGTGGTCATTGCCGCCATGATTCTACAACAAGAAGCAAGCCCAATGACATTCTTCGACACTCCTCCAATGTTGTTGGTGTTTGTGTCTCTTGGACGTTGGCTTGAACACATTGCCAAGGTTAGAAGAGCTTTCTCAGATCTTTAGTTATTAGATGTTCATGTTAGCTTTCTTTTGAAATATAATTGAGACATGTTGATTTACAGCTTTAAAGGAAATTAAAATAAAACAAGAATTAGGACCCATGAGCTGAATCTCTACCCCTACAGACACAGTTACATAAGTGCAGATATGCACACAAAGCATGAAATAAGTTAGCAATTGAGCAATATTAAAAAATGATCATGTTCAATTCTTTTATGAATTAATAAGCTAGTTGTAGACTGTTGTCCTTGATAATATTTGAAGAAATTAAAGCCATTATAAACTTGATGTAATAGCCTATATCTTAATAGCATATAACATATCATTGTGAACATTTACTTAGGCATTTTCTCATAGGGACATTGTTTGGGGTCTACATGAATAATGTTCTTTATTATAAACTGTACTAAACATTACCTGTGCTGTGATTGCTTTTATACAGTACAGTATATAAATAATGGATTGAGATTGTGAAGTTCGCTATAATTCTAGAGAAGGGTTAAAAAGTGGTTCAGACCCTAATTTCATTGTGTGAATCTTTTACCATCACTCGGACTTGGATGATGTCGTCTCGTATATCAATGAAAGTAACTGTTTGGAAAGTGTGATATAATAAATCTTTACTTCGACCTACTTGGTATTTATTCCTAAGTTATTTAACAGGGCAAAACTTCCGAGGCTTTGGCAAAACTGATGTCATTACAAGCAACAGAGGCAACACTGGTGACACTCGATGAAAATAGTGAGACGGTCTCAGAGAAAGTCATTGATGTGCAGCTGATTCAGAGAGGAGATATGCTCAAGGTATTATCCCACATAATATTGTAAAGCATTTTGTGTGACCAAATATAAATTTACTCTTACCACCAGCTCCCCTAAGCCCTCACCAATTACCCCCTCCCCCCACCCCCCAGCAGTTCTTATCTACTAACCACAACAACACACACATATTAGGCCATATTTCCTTAAATATTAGGTTAATATGGTTAAAAAAAAGGTACACTGTAATAGACGATCTTTGGATGAAGTTTTAGTTTTAAGCGTGGAAAAGCCTTCAAGTCTATTTTTGGAAAGGTCCTATGGTTAGATTTGATTTTAAGAATGAGGAATTTCAGTGTATTGATTAAGCAGTAACCTTATATTTTATAGTATGTGCATTATATTGATTTTTGCTTGAATAGTAAAATTCTTTGTTCTAGAATACCTTTTATTTTTTTTTCCATGGTTCTTAACAAAAATTTCCACAGAATGCTTTTCCATGAAGGTGTCTAGGTAATATTGTTTGCTCATAAACTCTTAGAGAAAAGATGAGGGGTCTTTCAATGATCTCAGTACATGCTCTGGAAAATGTCCTGCTCTGTATATAAAATTAGAGGCAATAGAATTAACAAGCTTTAGAAATTAGTATAATTTGGGTTGATTTTAAAACTTTATTTCACATTGTATCTAATATTTTAATTGCAGGCAGTTTATTTAAAAATTAATCAATGAAAATATTATCCCAAGGTCAAACCAGGAGAAAAGGTTCCAGTTGATGGACGTGTAGTTTCTGGAGAGAGCATGGCAGACGAGTCACTCATTACAGGAGAGTCGATGCCTGTTGCCAAGAAACCTGGCTCTCAGGTTATTGGTGGCTCTATCAACCAGAATGGTCTTCTGATGATCAAGGCAACGCACATTGGGAGTGATACAACACTTTCACAAGTAAGTTAGGGGGCAATTAAGACGCGCTGAAGATCTTCGGCTTTATTTACTGCCCGACCTGCTTTATTGACCAGCCCGAAATGCTATTCGTGTTAGTGGCTTTACAAAGAATGTAAAAATACACCAATATTATGTAATCTCACACACCCCATTGTATCTTCTTTTAAAAAAATTATTATTATTATTGTTGTTTTTACTGTATTTATGTTTAAAAAAAATTGTCTCTAGGAGTAGATACAATCCAGTTAGTCTCTGAGAATGGCTTTATTGTCCAGTGTATGTTACAGTATATCATATTTTAATGGGCACAAGTTAGATACTTTAGTAAGTTATAGTATTAATTTTGTTCTAGATTGTAAAGCTAGTTGAAGAAGCACAAACATCGAAGGCACCCATCCAACAACTTGCTGACAAGATTGCAGGCTACTTTGTGCCAATGGTGGTCACAGTGTCTACCTTGACACTCATCTGTTGGATTATTATTGGCTTTGTTGACATCACACTAGTTGATACAGACTATGCCCAGAAGGTGAGCTATTTTTAGTTGTAACTTTAATAAACGTCTTTAATATTTGTTAAAAATTTGTGTGCAACTTTGACCTAATAAATTCATGTTTTCTGTTATTGTTAAGAACAAGAATTAATACATTTTCACAATTTCAACAGCTTGGTGAGGGATTTACACGTACTGAAATCATTTTGGAGTTTGCTTTTCGGTGTGCCATCACTGTCCTTGCCATTGCATGTCCATGTGCTCTTGGACTTGCTACACCAACAGCGGTGATGGTGGGTACTGGAGTTGGCGCTACTAATGGCATACTTATCAAGGGAGCGGAACCCTTAGAAAATGCTCACAAGGTATTTAAATTTTTTAATAATTAATTTATGTACTAATTATCCACTCAGCTAAACCACTTAGGTGGAGACTTTTAATCTTGATTTTCTTCCTTCTTGGATGCTAATTAATAATGTTAAAAGAAAAGAAAACAAATTTAAAGCAATTTTTTTCTTGTGCTTGCAAACATTGCATCAAACGTAGCCTATGAAGCTCAGGCATTAAACATTGTAAATATGTACATGAAATGTCAAGGTCAAGAAAACATAAAGTTTTAGCGGAGGCCAGCCAAAGGTCAGTATTGCCGTGTGCAATAATAATATCTCAATAAAAGGTTAGACCAGGTGTACTCACCTAATTGTACTCACCTAATTGTGCTTGCGGGGGTTGAGCTTTGGCTCTTTGGTCCCGCCTCTCAACTGTCAATCAACTGGTGTACAGATTCCTGTACAGGTGTGTGTGTGTGTGTGTACCCAGGTAGGTTGAAATCATATGGCTTAAACATAAGATACTCTGCTTGATAGAAACATAAAACACTCTGCTTGATAGATTATATTTAAAGGTTTACATTAGAAGCCGAACTTAGGTTATATAATTTATTTTGCCATATTACCATAGTGACATTAAATGTTAAAAACATAACATTTTCTAAATGATGTTTGATAAAACATTTATTTAAGTGAGAAGGTGGTGGAGGCCAAAACCACCAGTAGTTTCAAAGCTTTATGTGACAGAGTGCAGGGAAGACGGGACACCACGAGCGTAGCTCTCATCCTGTAACTACACTTAGGAAATTACTATACATTACACAGTTATTTGAACTTATGTTCTTACTTTACATTACTTGCACAGGTGAAGACTGTTGTTTTTGACAAGACCGGGACCATCACCCACGGCACACCAACACTAGCCAAGCTCGCCCTCTATGTGGACGAGACGGTGTGTACCCTCGCGCAGTTCCTCGCTATTGTGGGAGTTGCGGAGAACAACAGTGAACACCCTATTGCAACAGGTTTAGTGCTTTTCCTCATTTTGCACTCAACAGTTTTTAGGAGCTCTTAAGCAAAGAAGAGTTGGAATTCAAGTTCTTTTACAATACAGTTTAGTAAGAGTGACTGTGGATTTATATTTATCATGCAAAAATATTGAGCATTTTTAAGTTGCCAGAATATTTATAATCTTAAGAAGTTACATAGATGGTAAAACACAAAAAATATTTGTTCCAACTGGAAATATGGGCAAATGGAATTTTTAATTTTCAAAATTTATTATAGTTTTATATTAGCATAATAATAGAACATCCATTTACATAGATTGGTTTATATACAAATATCATAAATGTATAAATTACATTTATGATATAAAATTCAAAATAAAACACTAAATATTGTTTATAGTCATCTCACTTGTAGCAATAAAGTCCAGAGTGAGTGAAAATAATCATAATTTGATAGTCTAACTTTACATTACAGGTTATGATTATAGTCCCTCACTCTGACTTCTGCTATTGTATCCTGTCTATCCAGGTCCGGTCACATAAACTCAATTATATTTAAATTTTGTGTCTTACACATTATGGCAGCTCATGGTATGTAACAGCCTAATTCCTTGTCCGACGGTTTCATTGGACACTCGAGGGTGATGTGTAAATTTGGGACTGAGGACTAATTTAACAAGAATTATGTATGACAATAAAAAAGTATTAAACATAAAACAAATGCTAACAGAAATTTTATTAAATTTAATCTAAAATATTATTTAAATTTCCTTGCTGATTACATTATTCAAAATATTTAATATTTGCTGCTCAAGAGCTGTCTTACCATTTATATACTGTATATTACTATTGTCAAATATGTTAAGTATTTAGTGTGTCATTGTTTATTTTTGTGTTCAATGCAAGTAAATTATATTTCCTTTCTAGCCATATCCAAGTTCTGTCGTCAAGCATTGGGTAACCTGAATGCTCATTGTGAGAACTTCAAGGCAGTGTCTGGCTTTGGGTTGCAGTGCACAATATCTGGCACACAACACCTCGTCCAAGCAGCTATGTCCTCAGAAATGCTTCTAAATGTGAAAAATCTCACTATTAATTATATAAATGAATATGGGTAAGTAATTGATAGTGGCAGATGTTTGAATCAAAAGCTTTTTTTTTTTTACTTCTGAGGGAGGACTCCTCGGTCACTACCTGAGCTAGGGTCCACCCAGAACACTACACTCACTCCGAGCTGTCATTAATATGTGTATTTCATTGACAGGCAACTTTCCAAAGTTGTGTTACATCTTTACTACATTGTGCACATCACAGATTCACGCAAAAACTTCTCACTTTCTCATTTTGAGTATGTGATATTATACCAGTAAAAATAATTATCAAATTTGAGGGAAATTCTAGTTAAATTACTGCCACTATCTTTTAAAAAACTGACCATAACTAATCTGATGAACATTTTTAGACTGACGGATGTGGTGGATCGGTCATCACAAAGACAGGAGGATATGTTTCTGATTGGTGATGTCTTGATTGATTGTTCTCATGCACCACGTGTATCATTTGACACTGAAAACACTCCTCTGTTCTCACCATCTACAATGACTACCTCCAAGGATAACGATGAATGCAAGGAACCTTACCAGGTAATAATGAAGACGTGTTTCACAAACTTAAACATATGAAATATAAGATTTTGACAGAAAGTTACTTTTGCATATTTTGAGACTCATTATCTGGCTTTGATGCAGCTCAGTTGGTTGTATGCTTTCAGGAGCTCTATTTAATGATCAGATTAAGAAATGTATTCATAACTTTTCAATGTAGGCCTCAATGTATATTTAGTTTATTATGCTGGGATTTTTAGTAATATATCTAAAAAAAAATACTGGTAATGGGGTGCTTTACTAGTAGGAATTATTAAGGTTTGAGAATGGTAGTCATTGGTAATGTCATATTAGAGTGTTGAGAAGTGTAAATGTACCAGATACAGTACCTGGAAGAGAGAGCTCTACGGGTAGAGCTATGTTGACTAGACCACACACTAAAAGGTGAAGGGACGACCACGTTTCGGTCCATCCTGGACCATTCTCAAGTCGATTGAGAAAGGTCCAGGACGGACCAAAACGTCGTCGTCCCTTTACCTTCTAGTGTGTGGTCTGGTCAACATACTTTAGCCACGTTATTGTGACTCATCGCTTGCACAGGTAGAGCTAATTTGGTGTCTTTAATTTAAAATCATTGTCTACCTTTGGGGCTTCTTGTTATAATAAAACACTATATTATATATTTCAATACGATATACCTTAGGAAAGTTCATGCTAAACTGTCGATTTCAGGTGCTTATTGGTAATAGAGATTGGATGGAGCAAAACGAAGTAATTGTCCCCAAATCTGTGGATGAGCAGATGGCTGAACAAGAGCAGTTGGGCCGGACTGCTGTACTTACTGCTGTTAATGGTTGGTTCTGTTTACAAGCTCCAATAATTGTTGCCTTAACATATATATGTGTGTACTGAACTAGTTGTTTCTTGTGTATGTATTAACATACACAAGTAGTATTTTATATGATGTTTTCACAGGCCAGTTGCTAGGCATGATGGCTGTAGCAGACACTGTGAAGCCCGAGGCAGCTCTAACTGTATATACTCTAAAAAAGAAAGGACTCGGTGTCATTCTGCTGACAGGTGACAATCAGAAAACAGCGGCAGCCATTGCAAGACAAGTTGGAATCACCCGAGTGTTTGCTGAAGTTCTTCCTTCTCACAAAGTACGTGTAAGCTACATGTCAGTAATATAAGATGATCTTACTCAAAATAAAATAATTATTATTCACATATTAAAGTTATTTCAGAAGGGACAATTATAGCTCCTCTGTAGCTTAAGGATTTTCTTTGATAAATGTAAGCTAAGAGATAAAATTGCAATTAGATAACAGTTTTTGTTTAATAAAGTCATTATATGATCATTTAAAGCAACATTATTTTCTTCTATGTACAAATCATGGGAAAAATTGGTAGGAGTTTTAAAAAAAAAAACAGTCACATAACCTTATTCTATAATCTGTAAGAAAATTGTAAAATGTTGTAACTGGAAATACTATTAAAGTCACACAATGGATGGGATTGAACCAAAATGCCTGAGCCCCTCAGGCACACACACACACACACACTACTAAAGTATTAGTGCATGTGCCAAAGGAGTTCAGGTATGTGGGTTTGATCCCATTATATGGCTTCAATATTTTCTCATAGATATATCCCATCCAGTAATTGTAATCAGGAAATCATTATACTGCAGGTTCAATGACTTAATAAAATCATATGAAATTTATTCACATTAAGGTATTAAAATTATCAATTTATATACCACAGGTTTAATTATCTCAAATTAGTTATTGAGTTTATGTTTTTTCTCAGGTAAAGAAAGTGAAACAACTTCAGGAGTTGGGTCAGAAAGTGGCAATGGTTGGTGACGGTGTAAATGACTCGCCGGCCTTGGCCCAAGCTGATGTTGGCATTGCTATATCTTCTGGCACGGATGTTGCAGTTGAGGCAGCTGATGTTGTACTTATTAGGGTAAGCAGCTGTTTTTTAAGTTTATATTGAGAGATGGCATGGCACTATCTGAATATCTAACCTCATATAGTCATCGCATCTTTTCAAGTCGTGTAGGAATTGCATACATAAGGTATTTATGATATTATTAGATCAATATTTTTGCAAATAAATGTAAGATATATATATACGATATTATTCATTTTGATTAAGATGTAATGCTTTTGTGAACTGTCTCGTGTATGTAATATGAAAGTATTATACATGTTGTATTTTTCTCATTTCCTTGATCCAGAATGACCTAATAGATGTGGTTGCTTGCTTGGATCTCTCCAAGAAAACTGTGCGTAGAATCCACCTTAACTTCATATTTGCTTCAATCTATAACTTAGTGGGGATACCAGTTGCAGCAGGAGTATTTAGGCCTTTCGGTTTTTACTTACAGGTAAGTTTCTTTAACTGAAAAATGTAATGGTTCTATGGAAATTTTCTAAATTATACAGTACACAATTTTTGCTAATTTTGCAAAATAATGTAATATGTGTATAATAATTGTGGTTCCTCATTATAGGCTTTTCATCGTGTTAATCATCAAGCAACCAAAATTTCCGTCAAGAAATTATTTAAAAAATATAAATATGTAATGGAATATTTATCCTTATATGTGAATAGAAAACAAAGTTAATTATTTAAATGTTATTGTTACAGCCATGGATGGGCTCAGCTGCAATGGCCTTGAGCTCTGTGTCTGTGGTGTGTTCATCTCTTCTGCTTAAAATGTAAGTGCTTTATTATGCAGCGTAGTGTAATCTTGATGGAACAAACTGTTTGGGACCAGACCTGCTCTCGATTTTCCATGTTTCCGTTGTAACAAAATTTGTCTATTAAATTTTTCACAAATCATTGCTATATATATTTTTAGTTTTTGTTACTATATAATGTAACACAGCTTTATTCATATTTACACCCAAATAATAAGCAATCAATGTTTTTATATATATATACTCTACTGTATCACTACATTTGCAAAGCTATTCTATATTCTAATCAGAATATTCTTAAAGCAAGCTCACTGAATGTTTAGTTGGGCAGGTTCATGATTGTCAAGGTAGGGTGGCATTCCCCCAATGGTAAATCAGGAATCTTTTCAAGTTATCTTTATCAAATCATACTGGAAGATCAGTGACTAAATGCATCTTTTACATGAAAGTCTGATTGTAGAGTGCACAAATTGCTGACAATAATGTCAGTATGAGAGTAGACTTTATTTGTAGATAATTCCCGTAATATAAAGATCTTGTTAGAAATTAATCAAATGTCAACTCCAATCTTACCAGGTATCGTAAACCAACAAGAGAAACACTAGCGACTCTCGACTATCGTAAAGCGCAAGAAGCACGACTAATAGGGCAAAATGACGATGACAACATATCAGTTCATCGAGGCCTTGATGACATTCCTATTCCTGCCACACCAACTTCGGCTCTTTCCAGGTACTTTAATTCCATACAGTAATCCTATCAACTATATTTGTCTCTCCATGTAGTAAAACTTGCAGGATGTGAACAGAATTGAACTATAAATACATAGTTTATATATCGTAAGTTAGGTATTCGTGCTAGATTTTATTGGACTTGTAGCAAAACCTGGCAACCAAGATGGAAGAAAAGCACCACATTGTGACAAATATCGACATGCCTGTGATAAAACCATCTGCATGGTGTTCTCTTTACAACTTTTATACTACTAGTATTTATTTCTGGAAAAAAATTGAAGTCCTAATGGATTTGCTTAAATTTAAACTCAGGCAAAATATGGAATGGTGTATTGTTTTATGCAGAAAAAGCCTAAAGTTCCCATTCACAAACATTGTCCAATGTGGGGAAATCTTCGGTTCAGGTTAATATTTAACTACAGAACTGCTGTTTTGCATTAGCTTTAGCTTTTCCAAATATTTGCAACATTAAATGTGGTTGGTTCTACAGTTAGGAAAAACATTTTGAAATATTTAATCTGGTGATTATTGTATAATATCTTATAGTTTCGGTTCTTCTGTAGATCATTCCTTTCTTGTAAGATTCAGGTTTTTAATAGACGTTCACATCCTACGAGTTTATTGTAGTTAGGATATTATTTAAAAATAAATACAGATAGTTACAGGTGTATCATAAATTGTTTAAAACCAGTCACAGCCATTAGGTTTGATATGTAAATTATAACCTGTTCTAGTTTGATATATGTGCATCAGATTATTAGCTTGTCTGCTTATTTAGAAATTATAAACTGTCATCATTTTCCAAAATTTAAGAGTTTTAAAGCTGGCCGTGCACTAGTATTGAAAGATTGCACATTTGTATAAATTGTGATTTAAGCCAATTAACATTCATTTAGCTGAAGTTTTTTTAATAATGCATCTTTTAATTTTCAAGACTTGATAAACTATTTTTCCTTATATAAAAGGAGGGTTGTTGTGAAGAATTTTCTCAAAACACTGACAAAATACAAATAGACAAAACATTGTCTATTTGTATTAATTTGAGTATCTTGCAGTTTAGTAGCCAAGCACGAGACATTTGCCCAAGAGTTCTGTGTCTTGATAAAAGCTAGAGAACGTGCCTTTTACTTCCAAATAGACAGAAGTGTTTATTTATGCCTATATCTATTATTCACACTCTTCATACACCTACATTAAATTGGACTGCCTTCTGGATTATATTAAATTGGATTGCCTTCTGGATTCATATACTGTATACCGTTATATGTATATATATAATTACTCTGTAACTCTATAGTTATTGTCATCTTTCTAGCAGACTAATAGAGGAACTGGTAATGGGAAAATGTATCTCGCCTATGTTTAGGTTTTGATCTTGGTCATAATACAGTATTACAGTACAGTATTGACAACTGTCGAGCATTCTTCACACATTCTTGTAGTGCATAATATTGTTGGAAGACTTGTGATATTATTTGTCTCATTGTTTCTCTGACAGTTTATATAGTTCCTTACTTCCAGTTTTTGTACTTCTCGGCTTCAGGTTTTATTCTTCCTCACTTCTAGTTCTTATTCTTACCCACTTTTAGTTCTTATTCTTTAAGGTGAAGTAAGTTTCTCTTTACACCAGTTTATTCCTTAAAGAATTGATCACATTGCTCACTCGATATCCAAATCAAGACAGAGAATTTTTCAGCAAAATTTTTTAACTTTTACTGTCGATTCTCAGCCACTTCGAGAAGTGTATATGCTGAGGTTCCCAAGTGCTGGAGGAGCTCTCTTCGTGACACCCTCCTTTAGATGTTGCTACCATCATATTTCTTATGCTAAATACATAAATAAATAACTAAATAACCAAATAAATATACTGTATATATAAATATATAACTAAATAAATATATATATTATATATATAAGAGAGTTAATGCATTATAATGTACTTAAAATTATGTTTCAAGTAAGTTTTGTTGTAGATAATATATGTAATAAATGAGTACTGTATATTATAATACTTTTGTGGCATTTTCTGTATTGGACTTACTAGTAATACTGGCTTTTGAAATACACTGCTTTGCATAGTTTCTGGAAAGAACGGTTTAGGGTTTAGTAGTGAATTTAAAATCTTGCACGAGCTTTATCATTTGTTTTAATGAATTGCAGCGCATGATTCAAAACTTATGCTTAATTGTCTTGGCTTGTGAACTGTAGTGATTGTGTCTGTGGAGTAGACCATGTGCTTGTATTTTCGTTGCTTTTTTTTTTATTAATTTTATGCTTCCTAATAAATGATTTTATGCCTGCTAATCCTATCAGATCATTACATTACAGTATTTTATTATTCATCTTATTGATGTTCTGGTCACAATGTATAATAAAATGATTACACAAGAATTATGAGGGCCACAGCAGGCCTGTTGGTCTATACTCCACTGGTCTTGTTTAACTCCCTCTCACCCATATTCCTGTCCAATATATTCTTGAAATCACGTAAAGTGTTTATCTTAATAATGCTAGCAGACAGCCCATTCCACTCATCCACTAACTAGACGTGTTGAGCATTCATTATTTAGAGGGTTGCTTCTCCTTTAGATTTGGTGCTATACTGTACTTAAATCTCTTTGAAGGGCATTATACCATAAATCGTATATTAAATAATAATTATACTAAAATAAAAATACTGTACCAAGTTTAAAATTCCAGTGGTTGACAAGTAAAGAGAAGCAGCTTGGAAACTTGCAAACCCTGCTCTAGGCAGTATGACTTTCATTACCAGAACAAACGCAGCCACTTTAAACACATCTAAGGTGTCAGCAACTACTGCACATATGTCCATTATAACCACCACCACCACTTTTCTTATTTATGTTATATATGTACTACAGTTTGCATGAAGGTTTTCTTCTCTGGGTGACTGCGTGATTGATGATGTTGAGAGATACGTCATGATGACACGTGATGTTTAATGATTAGGTCATGCTTGAGTGTTATTTCTTTGAGGGATGTACGTTGTGTTGGCAGATCACTTCTGTTACTGTGGTACAAGCTTTATGTTTTCTATGGTTGGTTGTCTGGGTAATTTTAATCGTATGTATTGGTCATATGTGGTATAATTTATTGATGGACTGGAGATATTTAGCCAATGCTACGACTGCTTATATAGGGTAAGAGGTCTCCTGCCCCTAATTGTTATTTACCCTGCTTATTACAAATATATATATATATATCTGTATACAAATAATACAGTAAGTAAAGTAATTCATGATACATATATGTGTTGCAAAATAATGCTGGTAAACATTGCAAACCTTGCTTGGGATGGTGCTGGTAACTCATTATTTCATCTCATCAGGCTCACTTATTAATAGGCCATAACAGTCCACATAGTATGTCCTGTCACAGCTTCAATGCAGTCCAGCGAGTCACAGTTAAGGTTTATACCCAATATGGGTATTTTCATGTTCAGTATGTGTACCATAATTGGTGATCAACTTCATTTTGATTTGAAACCATAGTGAAAGGGTGAGTTTTAAAGTTTACTATTTGTGGTGGATGCTTTGGCCAATAAGGTCTTGATAAGAATGCTGTATTTGAGAACTGGTCCTGATATTCACTTTTAACATGAATTAAGGTCAGTTCGAATAGAAAAATCTGTTAAAGTTAAATTCTTTTTCGTTTTTATAACTTTTATAAATATAAATAAAATAAATATTTTATAAATAACTTTTTAACAAAAAAAAAGGGGAAGCTTTTTAACCTGCAATTTAGAAATTGGTTAATTACATAACCGCAAATAATGAGTCACAATAACGTGGCTGAAATATGTTGACCAGACCACACACTAGAAAATGAAGGGACGACGACGTTTTGGTCTGTCCTGGACCATTCTCAAGTCGATTGTGGACTTCCCACAAATCGATTGTGGGAAATGCCACAATTGACTTGAGAATGGTCCAGGACGGACCGAAACGTCGTCGTCCCTTCATTTTCTAGTGTGTGGTCTGGTCAACAATTACATAAACAATTATATATAGGGTATTTATTTTGCATCTAAATTAACACCGACTAATACTGCATTATTTGTTCTGAAGATCTGGTAATGTGAACATGCGGATATATCTTGTGTGCGACACTTCATGTGCCTCGGTGTTGAACTGGGCCGAGAACCCTGGTCTTGTCTTGTGGGCCATGTTACAGGCATCTTAATTATTTGTCTTATGATAGAGATACTGTACTAAAGGAGTTAAAGAGTAAGAACATGTTTGAGTGATTAAGGTTTTATCAGCCATCATACACAAATGTGAAAATATAAGGGAATGAGGTAAAGATACAGAAGGAGATTTAATCATAAGATGTATATAGGGTGGGGAACTGAGAAAACAACCCAACTAAAAGGACACTGTGTAGTGTCTAAACTAAAAAGACATCTAATACAAATATCTATAGATAGTTGGACCATATAATTGGTCCAGTGCCTGGTCTAACGACTAAACCACAGTGACAATAATGACAGAGGTGCAAGAATCATCTCATCATGTTAGCTTCCGTGCGACTAATGTGCTTCCTGAGAATGAACATAAAACGTAAAAACTTCAAAATGCTTTACATTACAAAGTAGGTTCTATTCGTCTATTTTATTTTATCCTTACTAATGAATAGTTTCAAGTACAATCTTCAGTACATTATTTATGATCATAGTGAGCCTATGAAATATAAACATTTTGAGGTTTTACTAGGTATACCATTGTAGTTATAGCTTTGAATAGTTTATGTGGAGTGTCATCTAATGTTTATAGGGGTTTGTATTGGTACAGTACTAGACTTGGGGAGGGTCTGCATGTGCAAATAGGGGTAGATTCTCTGATGTACTGTATTTTGAAATCTTTCTACTTAATATTTGCCTTGGGGTATGGCAACTGCCTTACAAGCTTCTTCAAGTCTTTCTTTTTTTTGACAGCTGGCTGTGGCATTCTTTGATTTCTCTTGTTTGGTTTTCATTGAGAATTATACTTGCTTGATTCTCATTGTGATGTAAATATATTTGGTTCTTTGGAAGCATCAAGCAATGTCTCCAGAAGCAATAACTAGTGTTATTAGAGTGTTCTTGCCTCTCCAGAGTCAGAAAAAATCTACAGGGTCTTTACCGGTCAAGGAGATCGGAATGTCAGTGCGCAGGCATGAGATATGGTGGAAAGTGTTCGTGCAGCTATACTCAGTCCCTGAAAGCCAGGTACCTAGACTATAACTGATACTGTTTTACCTACAAAAAGTGAGCATGTTATAATTAAAATGACATAAATTATTACATAAAAATTTATTGCCTTGATAGGTCACAAATTCTTCAGAAAGTTATTTGATTAATTGTTATTGTAAGTAATGGTGTATAGAGAAAAACACATGTCAAATGTGTTCAGTTTTTTTGCCTTATATGTTATCCTGGTCACTGGTGCTTGACGTGTGCCCAGAGCGAGGTTGCTTAGGTAGATATTTAAGAGCGGGGGTTTCCTTCATAGTGTCATGTGGTCATACTGTACTTGCTAAATATTAAAGTAATTTGTACAAGGCTAAGAAAACCAAAATTACCAGTAATGAAGACACCTCAAATCCTCAAAAGATTTAAGTTGTGAAGGAAAGATATAATTACTGAAATTTCATTTTAATTTTGGTTAAGATCATAAAGTTTATGTTGTATCTGAGGATAAAAAATTGACATGACATTTTAAACATTGAAAATTGCCTCTCTCATTCCATTTTCTGGTAGATAAATGTTGATATGCATTTTTGTATTTTTTTTTTTGTTAATTTCAGTTGATATACTAATGATAAGGCACATAAAAGCATCAGTGGCGAGAATAGCTTTATATACGAGGGGGAAACCTCCAAACAATTGAAAACTCTTGATCTGTATCTGTTTGATTCATATTTGTGTTATTGTTATTGTATGTACTATAGTGGAGAAGTTATCAAGATATACAGTACTTTTGTGTGTGTGTGTGTATATGTGTAATTTGTATGTTTAATGTGCATGAGTCCAGTATACATGTCTATATCTCATGATTGATGATCAGAAGACTTTTCATTTTCAAATTTGATAATATGTATAACTTAGTCATATGTAATATCTACTGACAAAGTAACCACTTGGAAAGTTTCAGGTACTATATATAAGTGGACCTGTGGTGGCAGAACGATATTTGATCTGTAGTAAATATGGCAACATTGCAGGTACAACGCCATAACAGGTGTGGAGATAGGCGAGAGTGATGCCGAGATGGAGGAACTCTTGCCTAGAGTTAATGTAGCTGAAGGAGAAGGAGGGAGAATGTTTGAGCATGATTTTGGTGGTGGTGGTGGTGGTAGTGGTGTTGGTGGTGGTTGTGGTGATGGTGATGGTAGTGGTGAAGATGACAGACCCACACTAGTGCCATCTGAGTCTCTAGTGGTGCATCTTTAGTCAGCTCCTGCTACTATTTACACTGTCTTGTAAGTGCATGCTCTGCCTTTTTATATGTTGCATTTTCCTTGCACGCTTCCTTCCACTACAAAGCATTTTTTATTGCACAAATTTTATAGATTTTACCAGTTTTTTCAGAATGCTTATTATTTTGCTTCAATACTTTATATGAAGCTTTCTAATCATCTACATGCAAAATAAATTTTTCTTGCTAATAAATATTTGCACTTTTGCTTACTAGTAATTTATATGCACACTAGCAGTCATAACAAATGTCATGATGGATATCATGCTTGTTATGTATGTATTTCAGAATATTTGGATCCCTGCGCAGACCAGGGAGGCAAGGCCACATTCCAGTACCGACAGATGACGACTTGGACCTGGAGCTCAAGTTTATTTCCACGTGATAGTTTTATAGCTATCTTTCTCCGCTGTTTTCTGATGTGGGCTGCTATTCTACTCTATTTTTATCATTGCAAGATTTCATAATTTTGTAAATTTTTCTCTCATCCTGAAAAGATTTTAAGATCTTTTTGTAATGTGCTTCCTAAGTACTGTACTGTTTCAGAGCAATGGCAGCCATCCCATCAGTTATGGTCTGTTTCCTCTACTCTGGGTTCACTGTATCTTTGTAATCCTCATATACCAATCACCCTCTCCATACTCTTGCTTAGTCCTATCCTCATTGTCTGGTACTACACATGTATCTTACAGTTCATATACTGTATTTCAATAGCCTGAATTAAAATTCTGGTACTGTTTTAACCATTCCGTATCCAGATTTGACTCACATGTTAGACTCAGAATGATCCTTGCTTCTTGTAGTCTCAAGAAATTCCTTGTTGACTTGAGAACCAGCTTTTATCATTCTATGCTACTGGTCCTCTCTTGCCTCTTTTTGACCCTCCCTAGTGCTCCTTTATGATGTCTTGCTGTACTGCCTCACCCCCTTGTGTTTGTCCTTCCCTCACTTGTATTTCCCTATGACATCTCACTATACAACCAAGCCCTCACCTTATTGTCTCATTCATGTCTCCCTCGTCGAGGGGTCTTGGCAAGGGAGTGCACGTGCATTTTGCATATTCCTAAGATACCAAATCTTTTGGGTTTTGCCTTCAATTAATTCATCAATCTCCAAAATTCTTGGTTCTGTACTCAGCAAAACTATTCAAGCAGTAATATATTGTACTGTACTGGTATATATTTGTATTACTTTAGCTAAAGCAGACAGAATAGTTTACATGTTGGTTATTTCCTCCTGCATGAAGGTCATGCTACACTGCTCACATGGGTTGGGCTGCACTTAGCGCACATAGGTTGAGCGTCACTTAGCTTTAAGGTGTGGTGATATGCGAGTATATTTATTCTTGTAATCCTATCAAAGTACAGTACTCTGCCTATTTTTATATTAAGGGAATATTGTTGTGGTGTCTAATTTTAGTCTGTTACTTAAAATGTATATTTTTAATATTTGTATATAATACTGTACATGCACAGGTACTTAGGTACTGTGTATGAGTTATCATGGACAACTTATAATTCAGTACTTCAGGTTTATACTCTATTTTTTTACATAAATTTTAGATTTTATTATGTTATAAAAATATTCAATGTGACACTAATGCAAATGGTAAATGTGAGGAGAAAAATGTGAATTTACATTTTGTGAAAACTTTGAATGAACAAATAAATGAAATCAGTAAGGTTATTGATAAGAGAGAAAGATATTTAGTATATTATATTAGGATGCCAATTTGTTAATATCTGGAAGAAGTATGGAAGGAGGCAAGGTATTAATGAGGAGAAAGCACAAAGCCATTTTGACTGTAGCATTTGGAAGGTGTATCAGGACAACGAGCTAAGTACAGAGATGAGAAGCTTGCATGACAGAGCAGCAATTGTATGAAAATAATGAGGTCCTCCTGCATAGTGTTGAAGATATGTGATATAATGTTGATAATGGGCAATAAGAATGCTACAAATAAAGAAAGAAAATAGAATGAAGATTTGATCTTATTTTCACATGCAAGTAAAGTATAAATTAATTTCTGTCGAATAACATTCATTGTAATGTTATTCTACAGTGTATATACTACAGTGGATTCTACAGAACACTGACAGAGAAGGTGTACAATAAAGTGAATACTTTATACATTATAGATATAAAAAGATTCCAAGTCTCTGTCTTTTAGAGGGAAGGAAGTCAAGGTTCTTTGAAGTATTTTCAATTGAAGAAATGTATGTAATAAAGTTAATATTCTCATTGGTAAGATTGAACATGAAATGAGGCATTGTTCCAGTACAGTACAAGTAAACCTTGGTGGCAGGGAACAAAAATGAGTTAATTTTGTCCATCTTGCTGTCTTATCATTCCTCCTAATTCATCTTCTGACGAGTGTGTCTGAATTTGTATACAGAAGGTTGTTAAAAGTAAATTTTGATATGAGTAAGTGTCTTGTTTATGAAAGACACTGACAGCCTGGATGTAGAATTAAAATTAGGTGAAATATTTTTTTATATACTGTATATAATTTTGCATCAATCTGAAATGGCAAGAAGAGTGATACTTAGCCAGGATAGCAGCAGGAAAGCACAGTCAGGCTTTGATAATGGAATCTATATTGATCAAAACTATTTTTAATAATTGTGGCCATTCATTTTCTTACATTTGGCCCTATCATACATAAGTGAAATATTATATTTAGTATGTTATACAGTAGTTGTAATGAAGAGCATAAAGAATAAAAATTATCTGTTTGAGATATGTTTAGCATTAGGAAGACATTAAAGAGCTTCATGGCTTGGAGTGCATCGGGATAGGGTACCACGAAGAATAAAACCTGGAGGAATATAATGAAGTGAACATAGTGTGACAGATGGGGACAAGATGAAGGGCAGACAATGGAAAAAATGGCAATGATAAATGATGTATTATTAAAATACAAAGATGTCAGATCTTGCTAGAGATTAGCTGAAGACTGTATAGTGGAAGCATTTTGTTAAGGGCATTAAATGAAATAAAGGAGCAGCCGTTACCTTACAAGCCACATTAGCACATGTAGTTAAAGAAAGAAGTGCAGTAGATATGTGCAAGATACATGATGGTATAACGAAGTATACCAGGTGAAAGAACATAGTAATACAGTACTGTACTATGAAAAAAAAGTTGTTGATATAGTAAAATATTCGAGAGTTCGAGTCTCCCAGGGCCCAAGTGAATGAAATTGTTGACATAGTTATTGAGAGATATACAAGATATTGCTGGATTATTTGCTGATTATCATATTAAGGCAGCCCTGATCCTGATACAGGAAGCCACTGGGACTCAGAGAAAGGTGTTTCATTGCATTCAACACTGGGTTTTTTCGCATAATTGGTAAGCTGTATAGTACTAATATTTGTATCTCTTTAATTTAAAAATAAAGAAAAGAAAATAGAGTTGGGAGAATTTATGTAGAAATAATATTTTTCAAAAATAGTTTGCACAAACATGTTATCGAGAAAGTTTTGATGAAACAAATTGAAATTGAGTGAGAAAGTAAGGTGAAGAAAACTTGAAAAAGAGTATGTGAGTGCCCACAATCCTTGATCACAAACACATTAATACTCTCCTTGATTTGTAAATATTGTACTTTCTTCATGTATTCATATAATCCATTATAAAATACAATATATGTTTTGCCCTGTTGGTTTATTGTTCCTCTATAACAATGTCCATATTTGTCATATAATCACCCATTCATCAAATTCTTAAGAGTTCTTTGAATTCATACAAAGTTACAAACTTAATTCTCTCACCTGTATTCCATTTCTAGTTTAAGTCTTCATATATTTATTTAATTTTAAAATAGGTTTTCTGGGGAAGCCCTGTAGCTTCAGGGAGCCTCCCGGGCTATGCCCAGAAAAGGGCTTTTCAATAATCCACTGCTAGTTTTTTACTAGATTTTCTCTAAACACTATTCATCTTAAGAAATTATGTGAATAATAGTATATATACTGTAATTAAAATATAAAAAATTATGGTAGAGAAATTATATATATCATTGCAAATTCACTTCAATCATTTGGTCGCCGGTCGGCCGAGCGGACAGCACACTGGACTTGTGATCCTGTGGTCCTGGGTTCGATCCCGGGCGCCGGCGAGAAACAATGGGCAAAGTTTCTTTCACCCTATGCCCCTGTTACCTAGCAGTAAAATAGGTACCTGGGTGTTAGTCAGCTGTCACGGGCTGCTTCCTGGGGGTGGAGGCCTGGTCGAGGACCGGGCCGCGGGGACACTAAAGCCCCGAAATCATCTCAAGATAAGATGTAAACCAATCACATTCCAGGGGTAATGTTTCACAAGTGATGTGAGATATTAATATAGATAGGAGGTTTATTTTCACTATATTTGATCAATTTTAAAATGTGAACTGTAAAATCAGTCAGGTTTATTTTTCAGCACATTCTTTTCTGATTACATATACAGTACTGTATCATAAATCCTATGGGTTGAATATTCAAATATTGTAATGTACCAGAAGCATGTATTGTAATAAAAGATTCAAATAATAAAATTATCATCAAAATCCATTTATTATGTGATTTTATGATTGTCCAGAAAGAATAATATAAGGTAAAATATTGATATTTCAAGTTAGGGCAGCAGAACTTTAATGGTGCTAAATTGCTCACAGTGATCAGTTCTTATAGGCCTTCAGATCAGGCCTATAGATCAGCATAATAGGCAGATCAATTACGAAATTACTCCGCACCGCATGTGTAAGCTACTTAGTTTTGAGAATGCTAGTGGTCGTTCTCGAATCCATTGTTGATATAATACAAATATACATTAAACTGTGTAACTGGTTTATCAAGACTTGCTTAACTATATGAATTTTGGGGATTCAGTTCCAGAGGCCATTATGTGCCTATGTAACCCTTTCCACTACTGTCCACAGGATGGGTATGGGTTGCATAATAAGTGAACTAAACTAAACTCTCCACAAATAAGAGGAGAGCCTACCCCCCATCACAAGATGACGGAAAAGCAAGACGTCTACGTTAATGGCGAAGTTCTTGAATGGGTTGATCGTTATCTGTACCTTGGGAGTCACTCGTCTCTTAGCAACGGCAAGAAAGTGGAGTTTGATCAGCTCATAGGAATTGTAAAAGTCATTGCACGATCTTTAGAACTATGACCTGGATTGGTCATACCTTGAGGTTACCTTGAGGTGCTTCCGGGGCTTAGCGTCCCCGCGGCCTGGTCGTCGACCAGGCCTCCTGGTTGCCGGACTGATCAACCAGGCTGTTGGACGCGGCTGCTCGCAGCCTGACGTATGACGTTTGTCATGGAGCTTCTATTGCCGTACTTAAAATGTTGTACACTTCATATGTATTTTCCGTCATAGATTATGCCACACGTGTTATGAACGTACCCTTAGAATGACATAAAAAGTTATTAAGGTATACACAATGAAGCCATGACACTAATTTTTGGTAACAACAAAACAAAACACTGAATCTACTTCAAGAACTTTGAGCATTAAAATGAGGATCAAGACATGACTGCTAAGATTGTCAGAGACTCCTGGGACACTATATACATTAACAATATTGCTGCCAAGAATACACAGAATTCTGCACTAATTATAGGGAAAAACCCCAGCTTGAAATGGCAAGGTCAATCAGTATGCTTTCTCGAAGAGCTCCACCGGCTTGAGCAAGCACGTGATAAACACCTCCAAAGGATACCTAATCAACCAGGCTGTGATTCATACGTCAGGCTGCAAGCAGCCGCGCCCAATAGCCTGGTTGACCAGTCCAGCAACGAGAAGGCCTGGTCGAGGACCGGGCCGCGGGGACGCTAAGCCCCCGAAACCATCGCAAGGTAACCGCAAGAAGGATGCCAGCTCCCTGAGCTGAAGAAATATGTATAATTGGTATCTAAGTTGAACAATTTCCAAGCCGAACCAGGCACCTCAATGTTGAAACCCGTTCAATTGTCGAGTTTATGTACCCCAATTAGAAAATGAGTGCTTTGCCATTAATAAGGGTTTGCCGACTGGGTAATCGACCCACCACGCTCGCTCCTCTCCCACCCTCTGTTGCATAGGGGTTTGTAAGTCAGGCTAGAGAGACCCCCTATCTCCCATCATCCAATTTCCCTTCCTATTCTCTCTTCTAAATCCACAAGATGGAGGAGTGTGGTACGAGAGGATGTCATTTCTGTCTGTCGGTGTAGATAGCTGGCGGTATCCGTCCTACATTGCTTATCACAGCCTCACCTAAACTTAAGAGATATGCTGCCACTGGCTGTGTGGCGACAGCCGTGACTTACTGAGCAATTTTGTGTTTACAACACGGGGTTTCATAGCTGTCATAATAAAATCAAATAAATTATGTCAGACTACAAACACTGGACTGTGGTAGCAATAGCTCCTATAGCCTGCAGCTACTGAGCTGTGGGAGGAAGAGTTCTTAGCCTGCAACTACTGAGCTGTGGGAGCTCGCCGGCGCCTGGGATCGAACCCAGGATCACAAGTCCAGCTTGGCTGTCCGCTCGGCCGACCGGCTCCATGACGGTAACAAGAGCTTATCTAAAGCTAGTTTTTTTAATCCATTATCCTTACTCAGTATATACAGAAGTACATCTGGTGAAAAGAAATTAATATTTTCGTGAAACTCGCCCAAAAATTCAGCTATGTATTTTTATTACGGCAGCTTGTTTTCTCTATCCTTGTAAAAATTTCACGTTACTTTTTTTCTAGGCTGATTAATGATAACAGATCCTTCATGTTGGCAGAAAATGGAAGGCTGGGGGGCGATTGCATCCTCAGCCTCCACTTGCGGACTCACCATAGCCTGGGCTACTTGGAACGTTTTGTTCCGAGTTGCAGAATCTAAAACAACAACAACATTACATCTTAGATAATGGGCTGGACTACAGAGTATCTGTCTGACAGATGGGAAACAGAGCATATGTCTGAGAGATATGAAACAGAGAGGATATGTCTGGCAGATGAGAAACAGAGAGTATATTTCTACAGATGGGAAACAGAGTATATTTCTACAGATGGGAAACAGAGACGATATGTCTGACAGATAGGAAACACAGTATATGTCTCATAAATGGGAAACAGAGAGTAATGTTCCTGATATATGTAAATAACCTTTCTAAAGAAGTATGATCGTACATGTCAAGAGAAAATTATCAGATTTTATTTTTAGCCTATCATGGTTCAGTCGGTAGTGCATATGCTTGGAGAGTTCAAACGCGCAGGTTCAATCCCACCGTACAGCCTTAATCTTTACTCATTGATGTATCACGTAATTGTGAGTTTACTGTGTATGAAAATGTTTGTAGTGATGCACAACTGATGATTAAAGTAATGATCATTGAGAACTAAATAATGCAGGACATACACAGGCTGCAAGATTACGTGGAATATTAGCTATTAGGGAGTTAGGGAGGGAGGGAGGGAGGGAGAGAGAGAGAGAGAGAGAGAGAGAGAGAGAGAGAGAGAGAGAGAGAGAGAGAGAGAGAGAGAGAGAGAGAGAGAGAGAGAGAGAGAGAGAGAGAGAGAGAGAGAGAGAGAGAGAGAGAGAGAGAGAGAGAGAGAGAGAGAGAGACAGAGAGAGAGAATGTGACCTGTAGGGCAGTTGTTAAGAGAGATCGTATGAAGACCTCGCGCTACCACGCAAGTATATGGATACTCGATACGGTAAGAAATTCCTAATCCTACTCGCAGGAGCTGCTTTAAAACTCTTTCAACATTTAAGTTGACGCATCATGAGAATTTTACAAGAGTTGTACTTAACGTTTCTGACGTCACCAAGAATGACCATCCCGATTGGCCAAAAACGTCCAAGCTGGTAACCCTCTTTTGATGTGTTTTGAACTTTCTCTCGAAAACTAGTAAGAAAATAATATTTCTTATTTACATTGAAGAGTCTATGATCAAGTACATTGATATCTGTAGTATAATGAACATAGAGGCTAATATTTGGTTTTATAAAATAAATGGATGGATAATAGTAGGTGGCACCCGACCGCAAACATTGAGAAAGGAGCAACTCTGAGAGAACAGCAGCCAGTGATGGCCAGACAGTGTGAGAGAGAGGGTGTGCGCGGCACTCCTTACTAGTGAATGGTACCGTACCATGTTAGCGGGAAATATCTAGTGGGCGAGGATTTCATAAATCTCTACCATGGAGCGGATCTTCGGGGCCAACGGTAAGTGTAACATTTGTAATTTCCCCCCCGAGTTGGCGGGTAGGAGGGAATGAAAGGGGAGGTCCGGAGCAGCATCGATTTTTGAGGGGACAAGAGAGACCTCCCCAACCCAACCCGATTTTCCCCTCTGATCTCGTCCCCCGTGAAAACATATTCAGTTTTTAACGTGTGTGCCAGCGTGCATGGCAGGTGGTGATGCGAGGCCGGCCAAGAGGGAAGTATGGCAGACAAGGGCAACTAGACTGGCGTCTATGTCTCAATAGACCTCTTGTTTTGACGTGTCAAGAGGGGAAACTCCGGAACACGCCTGAGGGGAAAAAATGCATTTTGACACCCTTTTGCAATCATAATATCTGAACATATATATTTGGGGGTTTGGAGTGGGTATGCGAGGAGGAGGTTGCAGTAGAGCAAGATGCACTGAGCGACGGGGGATGCAGTTAATACAGCTGTATAGTTACTGCTGTAGTTGCTGCAGCAAGCAGTCCCCCACCTCTCAGCCGGCCCACTGCCTTTGTTGCACTCACTCCTAAAGCACTAGCGTTGCAAAATGTTGTTTCAATGTTTTCAGTTCAGAGGTCAAGTGTGTCAGGAAATGTACATTTTCAAAGATTCATCGGGGTTCAGTACCTGAATCTATTATGTAACTGTAACCTTTCTGCCACTCGCCCACGGGATGGGTATGGGGTCTATAATAAACTAAAAAAGCAGTAACTTCGATTTCTGAGACCATATATTGGCGTGTCAAACTGGCTTTTGGATGTATCTAAAAAAGTAATCGTATCTCCCCTCAGAGACGCTCTTAACCTCCGATAAGAGGAAGTGAGCCTGATAAAACAAGGGAAGCCAAGTGTGTTGAATCTTTGTTAGCGTGAAGATAAGCCGTATTTTAAAAGTTGCCTCGAGGTTGAGGTGTCAGGTATTCGCTGATGGCCATTGTGTTGCTTAGTAAATATATTGTTTTTGTGTCCATTACCAACACGCGGAGGACGGTGGCTGTGGCAGCTCGTATGGTTTTGCGAATAAGAAAAAAATATATTTATTATTGGCTCCACATTGATATGAGTACCTTTACCTGTACTCCAAACATGTATTTGAGACACTCCCAATACTCACTTTTTAATAATGCTTTTATTTTTCGACAAAAGTATTGAAGTTACAAAAATAATCCTAGTACTGTACATACAAATATCCAACTGGCCGATATATTAAGGTTACAGTAATTTATATTTCAGTCGACAACATGAGGCCTACTGACAACCTGCCTTATCTAGACTGGTCAGGGATAGAAACGGTGTTACTGGTACCCAGTTCTTATCTCTAACATGTACCTATTGTACATATTACCTGCCCACATCTCCACTCTACAGGTGTTACTCCCCACAGTAATATTTTTGTCCAAACATTTTTATGCTCTTAAATTGTGCGTTGGTTATTTGTAAAGTTCAGTCCTTTTCCTTCCCACCCTAACTCAAGCACAACTAGGTTAGTGCTATATATATAGTGACGAAAAATCAATGCATAGTTACATCCAAGTTAGGATGGATTGTTTGGTTATGCTTGGTACATAGGCCTAGGTTCGATTATGCTTGGTATATATGCCTAGGTTTAGTTATTGCTATATACATTATAGACCTAGTTTTGGTAATGCATGGCATGTGTGGTTCTAGATTTGGTCATACTTGATATATAGGCCTATGTTTAGTTGTCTTGTTATATAAGCTATAGGTTTGGTCATGCTTCATATATTGGTCAAGGCATGGTTATACTTGCTATATATAGGCTTAGGTTTCGTTATATCTTGTATATGGTCTAGGTTTGGTTATGTTATGAATTACACTCTGGTTTCCTATCCCTCCAACACAATGAATTATTATTATTATTATTATGTTTAGTACATAGGTTTGGCGCCTTCTTTTGATAATTACTTGGTACATAGGCTTTAGTTTGTTTAAGTGTACGTTTAATGCATTTATTAAACGTTATCATGCACAACATTTTTAAAACAAATAATCGTAAATACTATGAATGTGCAAAATTAAATTACTTATTACTGTAAATATATTTTGTAAGAATAATAATGAATTAGTGAGAATATGTAAATATGTGTTTATATTAAGGATGAAGACAGCTGACATTTGGAGAGTTGCTTATGTTTTATTACAGAACAGGCTATGCTAGTCTGCAGTAAAGTTGACCATTCATTAATTAAAATGGCAGCAATTTGGTCGCTATATTAGACGCCATTGCAGCTAAATTAGCATGTAACAAGGATGAGGTTGAATTAAACTTAGGTATCCTCATCTCTTTCTGTCACACCTGTTTTTAATTGTTCCAACTATGTATAATAGGAGAGAAATTACCGACTAAATCCTGAAAGCACCATTATAAAACGCTATGGTTTATTTAGATCCGAAACCTATGTATGCAGCATAAAACTCTGATCTATACATAGGTTTGCATAAAACGCACTAGACAGTGCGACACAGTGGTTACCAGGATCAGGTCGGGCAGCCGTTACCTGTGGCAGGTGGCTACAGGTGACGAACCTCCCAATCCTAAGCACTCCAGGTACAAAGTGAACAGGATCTGGAGTCACGATCTCACACATTACATGTCGAATGTCCAGTCATTAGACCCCTTGAGACCTGCCGGTATGAGGTACCTGGAGCTTTGCAATCCCTTTATTAACTGATTGTCACAACAGTATATGTGGATAACTCACCAACATCGACAGTACGGTATCTGCCTTCTTCTTTTCTTCCTACAGAGTATCAATATTCTTCCTCAGTCCAAACAATTTCAAAGTGTTACACGTAAGTTCATACTCATACAACAGACAAATTTCCTGATTGGGGTAACGCAGCCACACGTGAAAAATTTGTCATACTAGTTTCCGGGATATTTTTTTTTTTATACTTTCAATAACACAGATTTATGCCATCATCTCTCCTCATCTTCGCCATCACTCGCCTATAATCATCCTCTTAACTTTACACACCCGAAGTCTTCCAGCAGATGAGTTACGAAGGTTTTCCGAGCCGTTGTGGCAGGGGAGACGTGGGGTTGTTGTTGTTGTTATAGATTCAGCTACTCAGAACAAGTTCCAAGTAGCACGGGCTATGGTGAGCCCGTAGTGGACTTACCTGGCACAGGAGCGGTGCTGTGGAGACGTGGGGTTGTGGAGGTGTCAACAGCACCTCTACTGAGGGAGGGACGCTGACCCCGGCAGTAAATGATCATTTTCTTCTTAGTGTATGATATTATCAGATATACTTAGGCTAGTTGACTTGATTTGACTTTAATTTTAAGCGATGTGAGCTGTATCGGGGGCTGACAGCTGAGTGGACAGCGCTTCGGATTTGTAGTCCTGAGGTTGTGGGTTCGTTACCCGGTGGAGGCGGAAACAATGGGCAGTTTCTTTCACCCTGATGCCCCCTGTTACCTAGCAGTAAATAGGTACCTGGGAGTTAGACAGTTGCTAAGGGGTGTTTCCTGGAGGTGTGTAACAAAAAGGAGGCCTGGTCAAGGACCGGGTCGCGGGGACGCTAAGCCCCGAAATCATCTCAAGAAGCATACAGGTATAATACATAAATTCATATACATATATACATTACATACATGCGCATAAAGTACACAAATAGCTAATTATACATATTTTCGAGAGGTAAACAAAAAATTGGTAATTCAGGCAATACAGACGAAAGCTGGAAATTTGTTAAATATTATTATATATTTGTTGTATCCATTGTATCATACTCCTAGATGTATATATTACTGTATTATTATCTTCCAGTATCACCTGTGTTTGAGACACATTATAGTTTCTAGATGCATATATTGACAGCAATATAGACACTAGAATTTACGATGGCGCTACGTCGCCGGCCCAAAGCTCCGATGGGCTGCCTCATGATGAACTAAAATATATTTTACAAACCTACACATCACTATGCATTATAATCATTCTCCAGATTACTTGTGTAAAGGAGGAAATGTATATGTTTATCTCTCAGAATGTTCGGTAATACGTTTATTACTTGTGATGTGTGTCAATGTATGTATTATCACGATGTACTGAACGGGGTGAGAATAGCTTGAGCTACCTCATCCCTTTGTGTGTATTATACCGCAATAAACTTATTTCAATTTCAATTTCAATTTCTCTATTTGTACGCCAATGACCTGTTAGCCGCCACACCAACGAAAGGTTAATCCCGGCCTGCAGCCTGATTTAGCTAAAAATATATGAGCGGGAGTTCTCCATTCTACAGACATATTGTTTCGTTCACTCTAGGGTCGTTGAAACATTATTTCGTCTACGTTTTCATTTATTATATTTTTGTGTTTCACATTTCGAAATATTGAGATATTAAATGTGAACACTGATACATTTGTGCAAAAAACACACTAAATAGGAACATATGGCAGTAAAAGTGACTAATACAAAGAAAACAATTTAGATACTTGTAGAGTGTATTAAAAAAATTAAGATACCCTTGCCTTATCTAGGCCTATATATGATAGACTTCACTAGTAAGGTACCTCGATATCTTCATATATTTTTTTACGTCTTATTTTTTTTGTTTTTACATAAGACACAGACTCAGAAAATCTAATTAATGTCATCTAATTAAAATCAGTTGTATATATATATAAAAATGCTTTGTGCTGTGCCTCTGCCTGTTACGCAGTATTTTAAAGAATACATGGCAAGGAGAGGCAGGAGAATAAGAGATACAGTTTATCACGATAGGCTAGAGTAGCCTGGCAGTGGATGTCCGGTATGATAGCACTAACCGCACCACTTCACTTCTCAACTAAACTACTTACTAGCTTGCTTGAAAGGTTGGAAATGATGAGGGTATTACATTAAGACACGCGTAAGGTGTGTTCTCTTAGTTTCCACCGTAAAAATGCTGCTCCTTAATTCATCTGGTTTATCAGAACTATAATTTACTGGTGCGTTGAATACAATTTTTAAATTGGCCATTTGGTAG